ATATGTTAATGCTTCCCTGCTAACTTTGTCGATTTGAGCTCCATTCTCTAAAGTCCTTTTATACCCTCGATGAATTGGCAAAATATATCCGGAAAATTTGCAACATCAGTCTCGTGAAGCTAAAAGCGAATAAACATGGCGAAGAGTAGGGCTTTTCGTGCATGAATATTAAAATCTCTTTTTTTACCTTTAACAAAATTTGCATGCAGACATGTGCATTCTAAGATCTGATTAAGAACACAGCAGATGTAAACAAACGTACGGTTTTCTGTGCGCAATGGTTTGGATTTGTCTTGACTTATGCTGCTACTGCAGAAACCACGACGCTAAGATCTACTAAACTCAGCCTAAAAGTGCGCTTGAAGCCTGCTTCACCGAAAAAAATTATTTTTTAGCTTTAGCCGATAAAGTCTCAAGTAGTTTTACACGGAAACGTCCCATAGATGTATATATATATATAAGCGATGACCCTTAATAATATGTTCCCGTGGACAAGCCCTGTTAAGTTGTGGTGCCTTTCTGTAAAATGCTAACGTTTTCATTATATGTTTTGTTATTGTTATTATTATCTTATCATTATCAACAAACAATCAAACATCTATCAGTCACTTAGGCAATTTCTCTATCTACTTTGTCTGTTTACAAATGTATTATACGATATACCATCACCATGATCAGCGTCAGAACATCTCACGTGATCTAAATTGCGTGACAGATAAACAGTAGAGGACAGATAATACGTTTTGATAGTTTTCTGCACGAACGACGCTGTTTCACATTCATATACGCAGCTAACTTAAACTTGCAGTTAACCTCGTCACTTCTATCTTTCTCAGACCCATCGACGTTGCGTACTACCATACAGAGACGACAGCTTCGACCGAAGGGCGCATGCTGGAAAAGAATCGAATTCATAAGTCTAAGAGAAAAACAAATTATGAGGAAGAAAATGTAAATAGCAGAAGCGACTGGACCATAGTTTGCAATAAAACTACTCTTGTGTTCTGATGATAGAACTGTATCGGAAGACCGACTCCTACGAATCTACAATTTCAGGGGAAATCACATCCCTTTTCGCAAAGACATGTAAAGCAGTTAAGCCAGCTAGCTCAGCTATTCGTAGAAAATCTAAAGTGAATGTCTTGTTTAGAATTAATTTTCGTACTTATGGAACGGTTTGTCGTCGGCGTAAGAGTCCCTTGAGCTGTGGGTTTTGTGGAGTCGGTCGTATATGACGCGTGGTCGGATTGCCCAGAAGGTCCCATGGAGCCTGATGTCTTATTGAAGTTTTCAGTTCCTGAAAGTCCGGCCACCTGGGCTATAACGGGTCCGCCAGTTCCAGTCGATGGAAGTGAAGAGACCACACATGCAGGCCGTGGGCTCAAGGGACCTCTAGTCGACGCAATGTCTTTTCCAGTTTTTGTTTCGCTCGTCACAATACGAGGGACTAAAGAACCGGAACGAGAATTCCGTAGCACGGGACGAGGCTGATTCGTGCCCGTCAACGTTCCCGAAACACAAATTGAGCGCTGCGAAGATACCTGTTAGTAAAATTGTTTGTGCAGCCAATTTTGCCTATTATTAGTGCACTGCCTACCGCAATGTGCTGTTACATGTTCAGTTACTATTATTTTTATATAGCAATATATCCACTCGATTTGTTGACTTTCAATAACAGTCTACTGATTGAAGGCTGGGCAAATAAAAATTTACTTTTGCACTGTCTTACCTGTTCAGTGTTATTTGTCCCATTCGCAGTGACGGCCTGTTTGTAATACAAGCTTCCTGCAGTTGAGGCCGCGCCTGGCGGCAGTGAACAAAGTAATTTTAAAGCGAGGACAAATAGTACGAACATAGCCAGCGCGGACGCAACCACTAGCGGAGCGTAGTGCGATAGAAGCTGGGCCAATGATGAAATCGTCCTTGTAGATAACAGCAGTTTACGAAGGGTAGCCAATGGGCCTGACGGGTCAATCTTAACATTGAAGAGAGGCATGACAAACATTATCAAATACTCCGAGGTTATCAAGTCCGCCTACTCATTTATTAGATGACACTGACAAGAGTAACTGAAAACGAGATGATTCTGACCAGCAAACCCTAGCCGATCTCAGTCGCTCGGGTGCTTACCTCGCGGCACCTCTGGAAGACGTCGCAGTACCCGTTATAGTGGTCACAGGGTGTTCCCGGTTTGGCAAACAGGTCCGGCACATCGTACGGTGGGGTATTCCACTCAAATGACGACTTACACGCATGGCCTTCACCTGGCATTCGACAGCATAACTCGCAGGCCTTTGTAGGCGGATCTGACGGTTCTCGACCGCATTGGCACGACTCCAGACCATACGCCGTACAGATAGAACCAGTGCACTCCTGCCGTTTATTATTATTATAATTATTAGTATTATTCACCAACAACGTATTTATTTAAGATAACATGATCTTAATCACGAAGATGTCAGTGTGCAACACATATATGAAAAAAAAAACGAATGTCTGTTTGTCTGTCTGACCAAACCAACTCCTAAAAGTGTTCAAATAGCAATTATAGGGCTGCCTATAAGAGAGAGTCGATTGCATGAGTACTTCTTTCTTGGGAGCAGTTCCTTTTTCCATTCATAGAGCGTGATGTTAATTAAATAGGTTGTTTGTTTCCTGTAATATTTGCAAATGTTTGATTTGGTTTCAGGAACAGAATCATCAGATTAGCCAATCGCAAGTTAGCCAATGACTGATCCTATTCACGTACCTCCCGGAAGCAGAGTTAATATGTTAAAACTTGAAAAAGCCTGTAATGACGTTGTAAGAACGAATCAAAATCTGACATGTCATGAACGAGACAAATCTATAGTTGGGTGAGCTCGTAATGAACATATTAGAACCGGTTGATAAAATTTCTTCACGCGTTAAACATTATGGTAACTGCAATAAAAGAACCGTTGTTGTGCTTTATAATTCATGTTAGGCTGGTATAGTATCAGTAAATAAGATTAGCTAAATCAACATCAAATCAGCGAAGATTGCCGGTCCATATAATCTATTGATAGATCTATACATAACCAGAAGTCTCGTGTTCATATGTTTATCGATCCGATCCAAATTTGGCGGGGCGTTAGAGCTTCATACTGAGAAGAGTTGCGTATACCACGAAACCGGTTGGATGAGTACGTTCTGCCTTCCTAGACAAAGTGTGTTTTTCCATTCCTAATGCATAATGTTCATATGGGCAAAGTGCTCGTTTTTGCAATTTTTGCTGAATTGGGCTACATTTGAGCAGGATTTTGTCGAAGAATGTTTTCTACTGCATAGAACTCTATGTAGAAGGGTCGTTCTTGATGTTGATCAAAAGCCTGCTTTGAGACGAATGAAAGTGCAATACATGTCGCTGTATTCAAATCTGAGTTTCCATGCCCTCCGAAGAGCCAAACCTTAACGTAGCGCTTTATGTAGAAGGATCCCTTGTCGCCAATTAATAGATCTTGATAGACTGAGCCAAACTACCGTGCACGTATTTAAAACAGTAAAACGGATATCTCGGTGAGAAAATAATCAAAAACCCACAAGAGGATTTGCCTCGTTCACGTGACGATGGGGCAAATACGCGTTTCGACTTATTTTTGAACGCCTTTTTTAGCGAATTTCTTTTGAGTTGGAAAGTTGGAGCGACAGATGTAGAGGGTTCCGTGAACGATGTTCCTTCATTTAAAAGAATGCCCAAACTTCAAGTAAATATATACCTATTTATTAACAAAAAAAAACATTTAAAAAAGCCTCAGAAATCGAGTCAATATCCATCCCGAAAATCAATGCACCGGCCTAAACATGTCAGCTGAATTCATATCCATATCATATGCATCTTCATTTAACAGATTGTTCAACTACTCATTACATACAAACAGGAGGGATAAAACTGTTTAGCACTGACAGAGTTAATCTCAATGTAATAAGTGTAATGGTTTCTTATAAAATATATGTATTTTAATTCTGTAAGTTTCGGAAAAGTGCCGGGAACAGAATCAATAGGTTAGCCGACTTTATCGAAGACGACATCGATTAGAAGTCGATCGAAGGCCTATCCGATTTATGAACGTCCTTCAGAAATCGGCCGTCGGCCAATTCTATCTACGAGCGTTCCGGAAACAAAATCAATCAAACATCATTGAACAAACTGGAATCACGTTGTGGAACTGTACCGAAAGCCAACATATCACGGGCGAGACAAGTTTAAAGTTAGCTAAGCCTCTGGCGAGCAAGCTACACAAAAACCGTCGAAGGTTAAGAGGTCAGGCGGAGTAGGCTATTTGCAACAAGTTAATTGTTAATGTACACCCGACCTATAGCGTTTGTTACCCTAGGTGGATAAATCATATTAGTCGGTAACACAAAACAGGTACAGGACGAAGCACACGGGTCCGTCCACTAATATGACAAGTGCATAACTTTAGTAAACATTTTGGGTTATCTTGTTCGGTATAGAGACCAATCTACTCTTTAATGCTATAATTCTTAATTGCTCTCGGATGCACGTAATATAATCCGTATACATAACGATTTAAATAACGCAAATGACTAGACATCCGTCACGGACATGTCAGAAGCTTATCTTACCCCCATATAGCAAACGAATTCATCATTGCAGATAGTCTTATTTGGCTTGCTCACAGACGGCGGACATTTAGGACCTCCGCCGTCGCAGTAGGCAGAGCTTCGGCACCCATTGTCGTCGCGACACTTATCTCCAACTTTCAGGTTACACTCCGCCGTACAGCATGGGCCCTAACAATAGCAAGCAAAAATTAGGAGCACGAAATCATTAAAGATGATGGCCTGTAGCCAGTATGTGCAATGGGTAAGTTGAAAGACTTACTCATTGCGCAACTTAAATTTGCGTTGAGTGTGACCTTGGCAAACATAAGCAGAAGGCACAAACGGAGCTAGAGGGAGAACTTACTGATAGACCACTTATATCTGAATAATAGCCCCTATTCAGTAATGTTAGATACACTACATAACGCAATGGGCTTAAATACGCTTGGAGCGGTTTTTACTATCTAGATATTTTTCTAGATGAATAAAATGACTTATCGAAAAAATTAACTTCCAACGCCTTCTTCAGATATGTTCGCACCTATATTTCTCACGAGGCTTTTCCCATTTCTGAATACCATATTAAATCGAGTTCGGCTCTTGGTTCCAACAGCTGAACAGACAGGTCACCATATTCATGTAGAACCGTTACCGGGTTCACCATTTACATCTTTTATTTTCATATTGGTAAATTGCCTTAGGCCTGTCACGTGCGAATACCAAAATCGGTGAGTTATTAATTATCTTACCTGGCTCGGGCTGCAGACAACTCCTTTTCGCAAGGTACAAGGTGGTTGTAGGTCCAAGAGGTCACTCCCCGATTGCTCCCTTACCGTTCTTGCGCGCGCTCCTATAGCTGCGCCTTCCCCCATGGGGACGCAACACGACTCACGGCACTCGTCTTCCCAACCGCAGTCACACTCTTCATCTTCTTCAACTACGCCATTGCCACAGATCGCCCACTGGGGCTCTGTAGAGAAAACATCGAATGCGGCAGCCACAAAAAGCATAGCCAAAACAGGACTGAATTGAATACGTGTTTAATTAAGAGAACGAGTGAAAACGATCATCACATATCTATGATAACAGTAATGATAGACCCGACGCATACACAGTATACACGTACTACTCAAATGGGGTTTGCATAATAACATGAGACTGGAGTATATATAGCGTAACGTGCACGATGAAGGGAAAGCCGTCCTAGATCAATTGAAACTTTTTTCCAGGTAGAATGATGATTAGAATGTGGGGGAGTAGAAGAATGGCAAAAAGGAATGCGTTTGTACTGTACAATCCGCAATGAAACAGAGCTACCGTTATGGGTCTGCTCAATTGAGTCCGACTCTCACCGGAAAAGCATCCTTTAAGATTGCGAGCTTTGGCATTAAGCACGGCGTTGATTGCTCGTAAACTGCAGGGTGAAAATCTGTTGTTATGGGCTTTGTCACCTGACGTTGCATGGGCGAACATGATATAATTGCCCGCCTCACCTCCAGGCGTACAGATCGCGTCGTCTTTCGGATCGTGCTATTATTATTTATTAGAATGATGAAGATGCGTAGCCAAGAAAAAAACAAGACGACCGTTATGCGTTTGTTCCAATGATCGCCACTGAAGCTATGAAGTATGTATAATTTCAAGAACGGTATTATAGTTCATGCGGCCTAACATTCGTGCATGAATAATACACCTTTGCTACTATGTATCTCCTACAAAAATGCTGTACTATCAATTTGACAATAGGTCAGTGTCCATGAGTTGCAACCTTCACCCAAGATGTTGCCTTGGACGGCCGTTGCTAATTTCCTCATTCTAACAATGTTAGTCATTCATACTCTGATTTGTCATCTACGGAAAGCTGGACCTTCTCAGCGTCCACAGTTAAGCCGGAAATGTATTATACGATTCGCTTTAATTATAAATTATTTGGTCGACTGTTATCTGATTGATTCACTTTTAAACAAAGGCCACGTGAAAAATCTATGTCAACCTACCGGTGATCCAAAAGAATGTCCTATTTCGTGTGCCAATGTGACGTGAGACACAATCGGTGGAACGTGCTTGCCATAATTAAGCAGAGTAACAATGCCCGTGTTCAAACTTTTCAATGATCCCCGATAATGCTGAAAAACGTTCCCGGATTACCGAAAAATAGAACGTTAGGGACAGGGCAAGTAAGAAATGCTCAATCTCACTTTCGCCATATGCTCAACGGCAGATTGAGTTGAATTTAGGAGCTCTATATTTCAACTAGCATTCTTTGTCACACTTTTCGTGTTCGGTAAATTAGCTGTTTGTGCTTACCCCGTTCTTTTCACACACTCCACCGGCATTTTTTAGGTCACCGGTCCAAGCCAGGCCGAGTGTACCGCCTTCGAAATCTCGATATGTGAACATATATGCTAGACAAAACGCGTCGTAGTCCTCTTCAGAGAATAGCTCGAGGAACTTTTCAACGCCGTAGTTATCCGGATAACGATAGTCTGCGCTATGAAGGCTAGCTTTCGTGTGCACTTTTACCCGCTTGATTAAAAATGATATGTTATCTGCTCGACCATCCTGATCGAAGTCTGCAATGAAGAAATTATTAACATATTGAGCGGTATGTATGTGTTCATATATATATACGGACACGGATTATACTCGTACAGCAGCTTGCTCGTGAATCAACAACCGTAGATATCAGTTTTTTGGGACGTAAGTGATAAATAACTTCGTTTGCTGAGAACCAATGCTAATTGACGCTAGAAGCGCGCTTCTAACTACGAACTAGTAGCAAATGAGTTAAGTAAAATAAATGTATGAGTTGCTAGGAGACGAAAAGAACCTGTTTTAAAGTGTCTAAATGTTATTATTAGTTTCGCAATAAACGACTTTTCCGAAGATTGTTCCGAAGAATTCGCAACATGACTGCAATGAGAACTACTATGTATACATTTTTTAAAATATTTAGATCATTTGTAGAGATAATACCAAAAATAAATGTCTAGCTTTTAAATACCCTTCTGATAAAATTGCCCAAACATACATTCAAATTTCATTTGTTTTCTATAGTTGTCAAAATCAGTCCATGTTAGTTATCGTTAAATTCTCCTATCCAATACGCTCACGCGAATTAAAGCTAATATAGATAACAGCTGGAAGAGCTCTGTTCCCTTGTTTACCACTATGAAGGTTTGCTTAGCTGAATCTGAATGTGATTATACTAGGCTGGCTGACGATAATCATGTGAGATGGCCGGAAATCTCAACTACTAGAAATAACGTCGAAAATATTGATCAAAGAGTGTTAGTCGACCGTTCAATTGAGACTGATAAAGTAGCAAAGATTGTGGGCAGTTCGATAGGCAGAACGTGTCTGTCACGTAGTGACGGAAGACTCTGGCATGAAAAGGTACACCGTGTGCCCTTACGGCACATTAGGTCGCTCAAAGGACATTACATTTATCGAACACACATTTTCAAGGCCCTCTTGAAACAGTTTGAACGAAATGGGCTGGAGTTTTTGTTAATAATTCTACGTAACGAAGGTAGAGTCAAAGGGGTGGATTGTGAACAGCAAATCGGCCGCGAAAATAGGAGAAGGAGATCATCATAGAGCTTTTTATTGGCTATTTTGGAAAAAGAACGGAATGAAAAAGCGCATCATTTCTCTATATGCTGAAGGCAAAAACTGTAGAAAAACGGACGAATTTCACAAAAAAAGGAAATTTTGTATTATCAAGACAACGCAAAAATTAACTCATTGGGTTTGAACTGATTGACCATCTACACTATTCACCAAATGTGACCCCCTGACGAACTTCTTGGCTTCTCAGGCTCAAGGTTTTATCGAATGAAAACGTCGGTACATTTATCAACCCGTATTTTGCAGAAAAAGGTGTTAACTATTACTCGCATCGCGGCTTTGAAGGGATCAGAGCATTGCTGCGCACACTTACAAGGGAAGTTGGCAAGGACGCTGAAATAGCAATTAATGCAAAAGAGGACTGTGTTTTCTGTGTTAAGCTGAAAACTTCTCCAACTTCATATATGTTTGCAGTAGTGCTAGCTATATAATTTGTGCCCCGAAGCTAAGTAATAAAGCGCTTGGGCTTTGTATGAAAAAAAAATTAAGGGTGAAGAGAGTAGGAGTTCAGGCGAGAAAATGCTCTAGATGGCACATAGCAGTTGGATGCTCCCTTGGTCGTCGAGGCGCCGAAAAACCCGTTTCACGTATAACATTTTTTGCTCAGTGACTAACAGCAGCAATGCTTACTTTATAAGGGGCACAGAAAGCACTTTTGTGTAAGGTGAAATGCATATCTTACCTTATACGAAAAACAGCCTACAAAAAGGTACGCATAAATATCTGCATAGCTGTTTGAAAGTATTTCATGTGGGCCTTAACATGAGTCGCGATTTACGTTCCGAATTTCATTATCTTCAAAAGGTGGAGGTGGACGGAAAAAGGTAAATGTCAGTTGTATTTTCTTCACCATTAAAGCAACCCGATTCTTACCTGGCCATTTTTGCAAAGACTAAAAATCGTCCGTCACTAGCGAAATTAACGGTTTACCGAAACGTACTGCCATTCTCTGATTTTCGCAAAGCCCCTTGTAGCACATTCGAAACCATCGAATACTTCTTGCAGTCATTCATTGCTAACCATTCTAGAGCACACCCTTTTGTGTGTTCAATCAAAGAAGTCGTAGATTTACAAAGCGCAATTTACAGACGAAAATTACTGGAATAGAAAATAAACCATTTGAAAAAAAGGCACCCTTTACTCTGTCCACAAAAATAGAGTGATACCCGTCAACGTGCAGCCTATTAATATTTAGAGTATGAGGAACAATCAAAACCCGGCTACTTCCAGTGTACTTCATCTTGCACCTGTATACACTGGTGATAACTGTTTGAATTTACTGCAAGACTGCTTTATCACGTATTCAAGAAGGCTACTTCTGATCTTGTTTCCCCACCTGCACATTGTGGTATAAGAGCAAATCTTCATGGAAGTTTTTATGCGGTGCCACCTTCCCAACAGACCCTCAATAGACGTAATATTCCGTCGGCATGAGTGTTTTTTTTTAATTCTTGATCAAAAGCTCACCGTTATTACCTGTATGTCGACCAGGTACAATTACGGACAAGTCCAAAAAGAGGATCTTCGTGCATCGCTCAAAACACCTTGTTTATCCATAGATCGCGAAATCGTTGTGGGCTTGCGAGACCCACACATGTACATGACTAACCGAGCGTCATCGTTAGGTGGCAGAAATGAGGGTTCTCCTGCTACTCTCAATGTGTCGAGTTTTACGTTCGGCATCGCTGTTGATTAAGGCTCTTCAGTTACTCACTTTAATCTAGCGCTCATTCCGCGACAAGCGTTTTTATAGGTTCCGCAAAGCTATCGTAACGTGCCGTTTTCTAAGTTCTATGGCGACCAACCGACCGTCTAAGCTGTCTCATCCGATAAGGTGAATGGCCAGCACAGTGATGTATATACAGACGGTACAACCATCGACACTGTTTAAAGACCTGACTTCTGAAAACTTACTACAAACTGTTTGATCGTTAGGGATCCTTCCCTAATCCGACTTGCGCTCATGGGACGCCACATTTCAACCAACATCTAATGTTCTACGACTCGTATCGTTTGGAGGTTCTGCGGAGATGTATGCCGCAATATCCTTAGTAACTTACAGGTTACTTAGCTGAAAAACTTTCAGCAATGGACACGGTTTCAAGCCCTAGCCAAAACCACGCAAAACCTCGTGCCATGAAACGACGAGTGGTTTTCTTTACACTTAGACAGGCGGGAACATACAAATTCCTCGTTATAACAGCCTTCTTCGAGACTAATTTTCCTCAAGGTAAACCTATTGACCTTTCTTATTTTCCTTGAGACGACTATCGTCAGCGGCCGCACGCGACTGTTTAGTTGACGACCCGTCGATTCGCCGCAAAAATTTCAATGGTTCCTTGCAGACTTCTGCTAGGTAGTGTAGCAGCTTTAAGCAGCCAACACAGTTGGAATATGGCACTACGGTTCGCCTAGACTTAACAACAGTGACTCCTACAGCCGGCCATACTACAGCTGCCCTAAAATGGACGGCTTCGTCGGTGTTTCTGTTAGGCACTCGTTCTACCCTTATATAGGAACTCATGCATATATATAGCTTGTCAAAGGCTATTTGAATAATTATTTAAATAATTTTTAACTATCTGTAGCTGTGACTGTAGCTATAAGCGTGAAAGAAATAAAAAGTTCATAAACGAAGATGCCGTCAAATGCTAAAGGTTAACGCTAAATAATTAAGTTTATATTCGAGTTATGAGAGGGCGCGTAGAATCTATTGGAGTTTGGTAAAAACAGGAACGAAAATAACCGACTGAAGACCACAGAGAAGGTAGCCTGTAGACCTTCAACGGATGTGCGGGTTGATGTAATTCTGAGAGTAAAACAAAGCAAGGATAATGCGTTACTTATTGACTTAATATAATAGGGATCCCATACTGAGTTAACAAACCCCAGAGCACATGTTACACACACAAATACAAAATACACAGAAACAGCCGAAAACGAGTGTGGTGCACTCTTTAGAAGTAAACTGCGTAACTATTATCAACAAAAACTACGCTTCAAGCATACCAATGCCATAGACGAGATACGGGTCAGTCTACACGGCTTGCCAGAGATGGAACAGACCATCACATCGAGAGCTGAACAGGAAAATACACGACTGCAGTGTTAGTGTCGAATAGATAAATGTTTATGCTCATAATAGATATCGAAAGCACTTGTTCTTACGAAATCCTTGCCAGAAGTAGAGCGGTCAATGTTACCACAAATATATAATTTCAAATTTTTGAATAGCTTCATATGTGATGTGGGGCAACACATTTAGTATGGTTATTAACGCGTGACTCCGTTTCCGCATTTGAATCATGGCCTCGATCTAGAACAGAGTTGAGCGGTAGATTCAGCCTCCATATTTACAAGATTCAAGTCCGTGTGATTTTGATAGCGTGCATGCTGTGTCGGTAAGAGACTCAGTGATATCTGTCCAAAATTGTCTTAAACAAGCCGCTGGCAACGAGATTGGGTACATTCATGTAGTCACCGAGTAAATTGATGCTGAGAAAGTCCTAAACTGTTAATCTCAAAAAGTAAACAATAGAGGGAGAAACCTTAGCGTTTACCAATGTATCACTGTTCCGCATTATATGACTTAAAGATAATTCCTGCTTTTTAAGTCCGCCAAAAAAGAACCCAGATAAACCAATAGATATGTATTAATATTAGTTTATTATACAAGTCAACAGTTGTAGGCTTTATTATTGCCTTTATTGTTGTTGCCTAGTGACATCTAGCGAGTTATCATAAAGCAACGACTCTTACCTGTCCCTTTGTAGATGGAATTGACTTTATGCACGTGACGGGTCATGGCTTCAATGCAAGCCTCACGCGTGCCCATCCGCTCAAAGAACAGATGATCCGCTTGTAGGTAAAGCATGCAAGTAGTCTTTCGGGGGTCCACTACAACCCCACTCTTACCACCCGATCCCCGCTCTGTGGACACCCACATCGTCCGCTGAACTGATCGGATTCCATAACCAGATAACGACGAACCGTGGGTTCCCGTAGAATCTAACGATACCTAAATGTTAGGGGTCGTAAACCATTACATTCAGGTGATTGATTACAACAGCGGCCTAAAGAAAAACGTTGTCAGAAATACAGGCACGATTTTGAAATTATACGCATTCAGCACATATTAAATAGCTATGTGTGGCAATTTTTCGTTGCCAGTAATGTTAACATAGATGACTATTATAAAGATAGTGGTAACAAAATTTAATATGGATTATGTTAATTGTTTGAATGATTCAAAGTATGCGAGAAAATCGTTAAGGAGGCCGCACTATCCAGGTTCTGTAATACAATAAGGTTCCAAGCTAATCACTGACAAAACGTTTCACTATAGCACAGACTGAAGTACAAACAGTATAGATAAGGACAAAAACAACTATAGATGTAGGTTATATGTAGAATAAAAATATCAGCAGACAATACCTGTCGATAGCGTAGCATGTCGTCCTCCTGCTCGACCGTTTCAACGATTTGCATCTCACTATCGTTTTCGTGAAAACCTATAAGACGTAACAAAACGGATTGTTGATTCATCTTAGAATCTAGACTCCTTATTGGTGCCTTGAAAAAGGTAGCCTATTTCAAGTTTATAATTAGCTTCGATCAACGCATTTAGTATGAATAAACTTCTAGATAAGCCCAACCCAATTAAATGAACCAGAGATCCTCAAGCCGAACTTATCCTTCGTTTAAGGAACATTACAAATCTCATAACTGGAAACGGACTAGGCAGTCTAATGAAAGCATTATTCCTTACATTGCCTGTTTGATGATCCAAATAACAATTAGCTCTTTACTCCATTGAACTCCTATAAAAAATGTTTTTCATTCTTGCACGGTTTTTTGTTATCCGTTACATTATATATGACATGTATCATTATAAGTCTCGATCCTACATCCCTTTTTTGAACCAATTCTGAGAAAGAGGGCTGAAGAACTCGTATTGCCCCTCAAACTTAGTTCTCTGCCGATATTAGTAGATTTTTTAAAGATATTTTAGAGGGAAAGAGACCTCTATACCAAACCACAAAAAAATTAAGCAGTTTTTTATGCTTAACCCCTAACCTTCGGATTCCATTTTTCATGTAATAGTCCTTCACACGCAAATGCCGTAAACTTAAATCCTAATCTAATCATAGGACACACAGGAAGCGAGGAGCGGACCTTGTGCTCACATCACATATGAACTATATTATCAATTCGATAGGACAACTGCTTGTGACTGGCGAAGAATATTGTACTAATATTGATGTTAGCAGAAAACGATAAACTACTCTAGCAGTGGCCGTGAGACTATCGACGTTTGTGACCGGGAGAAGCTGCTGGTTTATTGCAGTAAATCTGTTTATTGTGTGTCTTCATTCATACAGATTCTTTCTAATCGATTCACGTGATTGCGAAGTGTGCTGAGCGTCCGCCTGCATTTGATGAAAGCAAAGGTCACAGGTCGCAAATCATCAAGGCCCTCCTATACGCGGTCAGCTGCTACGGCATCGTGCCCTTACTAGCTACAATGTCCGCTTGCCATGACTCATGAGAACTGTCTCTCCGTCAATATAGTGACCTCAACGGTGACTTTTCGACTTTTTACTGGATGATCCAGTTCGGAGCACCCAGGCCAATCCTACCCTCTAAAAATAGTCCAAGTATAACGTTATCTGTATGCAAGAACAATTATTACGAGGTGTCAACCCGATGACTAGCTTAACCAAACATGAAGCCATGTCAGAACAATAACACACTTCATCACTCACTTATTATAATAAAAAGACGGACCGGAAAGACAAACGCTGCATGCAAGATGCAGTTAATGAATTAGCGCACCCAAGAGAATAACTCCAACATCCATATTATAGGAACTGTCTATACCAAATATAAAATACGCAAGGCTTGCTATAGCATGAGAGAAATGTTCATTTCATATTTCATAACTGCGCTATTTTATGATGATGCTTCTTCTTCGAGGCACTTTTCTTTGTCTCTGAGATATATTTGCACCCGTTAACTATTTAAAAGTTGATACCATAAACGCGGATACCATCACTTGGACCTGTAACTGCGAAATTGCTGTGAGCCATGGAAAACATGAATGCTTTACAGATATGACTTCCATCTTGGAATTTCAATAGCGGAGGCAGCTCGTCTGCCACGTATTTTGTAAAACATTTACTACTGGAAACATCGTGACCCGTTCGTTCAAATAATTTAGTGAATGGAATTTTGAACTCGAAACTGAGCCACGTGGAAGACACCTGCAAAGGCAAATAACAAGATGTGAAAGGCTGTCAGAGCCGACCTACCTTGAAATGCACCAATGTTGGCACTGGGGTTTGGTGTGTATGAAGGTATCATACCTGTTCACCTCAGTCCAATGAATAAGCTAAAAAATGGGGCAGATGGGTCCCGTATCAGTTGAACGGAAACAAAAACCGAGACACAGAGACGCTTACTACTCATTGTCCTCACGCTAGAACCCTGACCTATTCATATATCGAGTTGTAACTTGTGATCAGAGCGGATTAGCGATAATCTCAGATAAACACATCAATGAATGGATGCGAGACATCACTCTAAAACAGTTGTGTGTCTATAAAAATTTATGATGATTTCTTGGTTGTCTACTGTAGCTCTTACTCGCTGCAGTTTTACGAATCGTGGTTAATCGACTAGAGGAGGAGATGATGACTAAACGTTGTTAAGATCGACCAATAAAGTTAAATAACTTCTATCGTGCAATAGTTCTCGATCTCACATCGCAAAAATCACGGTAGCAAAGATGCGGTGGTGCATTTGCAGTTTTTCTGCTGTTCGCCATGCTTCACCGCTATGGATCATCGTTTTCCTGAATCTCAGCAACTTCCCTAGACGAATACTGTTCAGATATCAGCATGCTGTCGAAGTTGCCCTTCAAAACTTCGTAGATATTTGCACCCCAGGACCCCAGCATCTACTGGAATTACCCAGGTAAACGGGTTACCATTCAAGTGACAGATGGTCAGAGTTAATAGTGGTTGGTGCATGACTTAATTATATAACTATGCTTTGAAAAATTTTAAAAACTCAGTTCCCAGTGTCGCGCTTCTTATTAAAAGACCTAGTGTATGTATATATTCGTATATATTAGGCCATTAAAAGAAAATCTGGCGGACTTTGAAAGATTAGCTTTAATTGTGTTAGAAGAACCCGCCTTTACTTTTTACACAGTTTTCCCAGCAGCTTCTGAAAAGCAACATACCTCTATATTATATTTGTGTTCACAGATATAATTTCTCTCGTTATGAGTTCTCAAGGTAAATCGATAGTGGGATACGGTTGCCCACCAGTTTTACTTCTAAGGACACGGAAATCCCCGCAATCATACGGATTTAGATCGGACCGAGGCGAGTTAAAGTGAATCTGCGGTATTCTTTTGCTCAGTCCAGAAAGTAATTAAAACGTATCGATAAGGTCTGACATTGTTTCAAGTGACTAGACCGTGCGCTTTCGATTGCCAATACGATTTTTCGATTGTACCATACGCATTCCCATCTGTCCTGGAGTCAATTCGCCGGGGAGTTGTTTTTACTTAGCTTCCACATGTTCAGTATCTGGGTTATAAACCTCTAATTGTAATGCGTACGTCAGTTTTGGTCGACAAAATCTTGCTCTGTTTCTGTAAAAGGTCTTTTCGATCGCGGCAATGCGTTACGTCTTATCGTTCAACTCACAACATATAAGTGCCTATCGTCTAACCTTCAAGGCCCCAATCTCCATTCTTGAAATGGTTGCGCCATTCGGGTACTGTGCGTTTGCTTAAGGCATCCTTGCTTAATGTCTTCGTCAATTTTCGAAAAGTTCCCGCGGTGCTACAGCTTACAAAGATCAAATATCTGACCGCTGAGGATCAATTTTTGAGACTAAAAGACATTTTTCCTTTAGAACTCATTTCATCTGGTTTCTTACTCGCCAATTTCTAGAAGACTTGAATATTTACCAACCAAATTTCATCCGCTAGCAGCCCGTTATTCAAAAGTTATTCAGCTTCAGAGTCCACCGAATTTATTTGTAACAGCCTAGTGTAATGCCGAAAATGTACTGACCGTCTCAAAACAAAACTGAAATATATATTTCCTTCCATTTAAAAAAAACATTACTGAACTATATATGTAACTGATAATTGTCATTTTCCCATCATTGTTGAACTTCTGAGGTTTCTGGGCAAAAGATCGTGATCGATCTTGTGTATGTCCTGTGTGCAAAGATGTATATGGTCTGGCACTGGCGTGGCAAAAATCAACGCTTTTCCAACTATATTCGATCATTTTTTTCCACGATTTGTTGCAATCTTGTTATCTGTTGACAATGAAGATCCAAGTTAATTGATTTTGTCTCGCCGTATCAACTCATAACACACGTTCCTTTCCCGTGCCACTGAACACATTTTTTACTTGCATCCACTTTTCATTGGTTGTGATAAAATGGAGTAGAAATGGCTCGGTTTCGTTACCTTCTATAGAGTTTCATTGACGGGAAAACGATCATTTTACGTCGGGAAATGATTGTTTTACGTCGGTTTGTGTGGCGGCACCCAAACATCCAGCTTTCTTCAAACAGTTCAAAACTATTTAATCGTGTACATTTATTTTTTTAGCGATATCATGGCTACCCATGTATCTATCTGCCTTGTTCAACTTTCGCACAGACTTTTTCCGTAATGGGTCAACCATTTCGAGGAACATCTTTCATGTCGAAGCCTTCCGAGCGAAGGCGGCAGGAACATCTTTGAGCCACTTTTATTGCTAATGAACCTTAATCATAAACAGCGAATTGTACCAGGCAGCATTTGCGCCTTTATCGTAATAAAGCTGTAAAGTATAGCGGATTGTTGCAGAAATATAATTTATCTTTAAGGTACTCTATCTCAAGTCCTTCCGTCAATTTTAGCGCATTCACTACTACCAAATATAAGCTTTCAAATGACATTGAAGCGACCCTACGCAATCCTACGAGACATGTGAGCCAAGAGATACTTAGCTAAAATCTGTGGGTTATGCTGACGATAATCTTATTGTTAGTACTGGTACATTATGATCGAAGATTTACTTATGGAAGAAGCACGCTCCTAGCCCTGATCGAGTGGCTAGTTAAAAGCGGTCGGGGATAGCCCTAAAAAATAGTGGGCTTTTCTACTGGTTCTAATGGATGAACACTCATTTACATCGATTATTGTATAAAAACACAATTGGTATTTTCAAACCGAAAGCATCTGAAAACTACAAGTGCCATACAGCTACGTTCTCTAGGGAGATATCTCTAAATACACGTAACTATTTGATGGTATTTAAAGCAAACTTACTAAGACTTTCTGTCAACTTCAACACAAGCTATTCGCTTTGTAGATTTTTACGCAATGCACATGTCGCCGTATTTGAAGTGGGCTGTAACTTACCGGAAGGATCTTTCCGCCTCCTATTAAGATAGCTCGTTTGGCGTGCTGACGACGGCGGCAGGAGCTTAATAAGTGGGTGCCTTTTAATTTCACCGTCCAATGTGATTGAACCACACGACGAATTCTGAGGAAATCGGACATCTGAACCCTGAAATGGAAGGGATCAACGTAACTGCGACTTGTTGGATCAGCATGATGTTATATTTCTCCTTCCTGTGTCACTAAAGCCGCTCTTAGCGTTCTTGGGTGCACATTCTGCATGAATCCAATGACGGGCAAAGAGAAAAAGATGTCGTGTTGCTATGATTTTTTTTGTAGATCCCTTCGCTCTTAAGCAGTACAGAACCTCTCACAGTAGCGAATTTACTGAATCACCGCCCAGACCTACTAAGATTGATGTAATTACAAACTTAAAATTAACATCGTAAGCTTTCTCGGTTATCGCTGTAGATACTAGATAAGTAACTGTAATGCCAACGATAGTGTAGTCAAGTTACGTTCGCGTCACAGAATCGCCACTCTGGTCTTTGCATCAAACGAAATCCATATGCACGAGCAATAATACGATAGCAGACCGTGAAGGGAGCCGTGACAGTGATCTGGCGTCAGCCTGCACCACTTAGTGTTGGCCGTCGAGTTCACAGAGAATACATGCAGCCCTTTGGGCAGGTGTAACGAAACCAGTGATTATGGGCGTCAGTAAAGGCTGACTGTCCCGGCCACCCTAGCTCGGCCTGGTAAGGCCGACGCTTCGCCCTTTATATCCGACGCGACACTATGAGCTGATATACCATAACCAGAAGAGCTCGAGCGGCACATATAATACTCACAGCTTGAATCGATCGCAGCATTACCGAAACTGCAGTTGTCAGAAGAAAGTAAAGTGGACTCCAATAGTCGTTGTGCTTGAAAAACAGTAACCAGTTACTTGCACGTACAACTTGTTGTATTGTGTACTAATTTTGGCTGGCCTTGTATGCTCCTACAGATGCCTGCTTGTGGACTCGTGTAGTGATAATATGCGATACGACTGTGCTTCGTTACCCTCCTTCCCCCCCATGTGACGTAATGAACCTGTTCTTCTTTTACTTATTCAAGAACGTAGGATGTAGGAGGAACGTAGAATGTCTTCCTAGACCGTATATATATCCAAGCGCTGCTCTTTCAAATTACCCACTGGAAAACACTTAAGCCGTTTATGGTACTTTCTACCAGGCATCGCCATTGCATCGCTTATAGATGCCGCCATTTTTCTAAACAGCGACGCCACAACGCGGATATACGATAAGGTCTCTAACATACAAACACTCACGCACGAAAACACATGTATAGTAGTACATAAAAGGTTCCATGCAGACACCTCGCACGTTTATTCGTCATGGTTAAAACACGCTACCATATGTCGTGTTGAATAAACATTAGGCGGACTGCGTCTAATGTATTATTTGTCTCCTATTGTAAATTTTAATATTTTAGTTTTATGTACAATTTTTTGCCTATAATAATCGCCTGAAGGTACGTCAAGGACGATGACTGAATGAATCAAAAGGAGGTCTATTGGGACTGGAAACCATGTACTAGGCCATTTAGGCAGGAAGGTCAGTTGTTACAGCTACGAAACTGCTTAAGCTACATAAAAATACTACTGGCGAAGCCTCCTCCAACAACTTATAATTTAACATAACGGTCTACCACAGCGTTCATCATGTACTTAAAACCTGTCCTAGGATCATGCCTTAACGGCATATGTCAGAATTGCAAAAATAAAAAAAGGAATCAATTCTTAAATAAACTTACCAAATAATTACTGAAAGCTTAATTTATAGCGCAAGTTGAAACAAACGCAAATTACACTCGGGTCAGGGCCCAATAAAGCCGTTACACTATAAAATGCGACTTCAATATCATTATTTACAACATAAGCCATACAATAGTTAAAAAGAATACAGAGCCATATGAGAAATCGGTCGGAGCACAATGGTAGCATCGAAATTTTCTCGAAGGAAGAAATTTTTAGCAGTACCCACTACGCACTTCCGCGATTGACATCGGAGATCACTATATCATCTTATCTCAAATCAGTATTATTAAAAATTATGCCGAAATCACTGAAGTCATGATGACATTATCTAGTAAATTTCAAATAATTAAAATTTACTAGATAATGTTTAGCGTATTGTTCATGTGCGTGTTGTATTAGTTACTGGAAGCCTCACACGTGGTCTCCGGCGGCTTTACATTTTTAAGCATATTTATTGAGATACATAATCAATTAGCTTGTGAACTTAGCGGAACCTAACGGTTTCGTAAGCTATATATAATCTGCATACGTTATTTTCCCAGATCACAGTCTACGTATGACGATGTAACCGTACGTGGGTATTGTTACATTATAATACGACTAACGTCTTATGAGCTAAACCTACCTTATATATCACACTGTGAAAGATGGGGTCACCGCTGGAGGTCGTGGTCCCGCTGAAAGTGGCGTTATATTTGTTTTTATATTGTTTTTTTTTTGATTGAAAATCACTTCCCGTGTCCTCAGCCACTTGTTTTTCGCTTGCTGTTTCAAGGTCTCGTGAGTGATCCCTGTACAGATGAATGGCTCCATCGGCGAAGTACCGATGAGCAGGTTCAATGAAGAATTCTTCCCCCCCATCCCTGATAACTCCATCAAATAGGCCTTCTGTCGTAATAACACCCTGTACCTCCGAATCAGCACGACCTGCATTATCCAACACCAACAAATTGTTGACAATATTAACCAACCATGTTATATATGTGGTCTTAAGCTTGCGCATAAACGAATGCTTACCAAGGAGATCTTCACATATACTTGAGCTTCAACACCGACGCACGAACAATAGCTTAGATTGTGAATGGATTTATTGGCAAAACGCATCATAGAGGGAGGACTCTGTAAACTTTGCTCAGTGCCTTTATGACACGTATATATAGCTATCTTGAAAACCCGAAATATATAATAGAGAGAGAGAGAGAGAGAGAGTGAGAGAGGGAGAGAGAGAGAGAGACAGGGCCAAACGTTAGTAGGAAAATTGTAAATTATCACAGTAAAGAACATATTCAACTGTGCAGCACATTTGTAACGGAAAGATGCTAATTATGTCTCTACACTTCCTGTAACATTAAGTTGCCTACTACAACCATAGCACTATTATATGTTTACGATAGAGTAGCTGAAACAATCACCACTGCGGTCAATCAAATTAGATGACCAGCACAAAACATCTGATTTATAGCACTCAAAGTACATCGCTACTGACTTTTAAACTGTTATACGATAACTCACGAAGTAAGTTTTCGAAGGAGACATAGTAGTGCCACGACTGAGTGCTAAATTAGAAAATGAAAGATTATTGATTACAGATCGGCATTTTACGCTTCCCTTATTTCGTTTTCCTCAAAACTTAAGGTTATCTTTTGGCCTTTCGTTGTTTACATCTAAAAGAATACACGGAACAGGCAATAGGTGCAACAGTCCATGTAACAGCCGTAAAACGACACCTAACGCTTGTCGTTTGAGGCGCCGCTTGGCCTTCTTTTGTAAAACTATAGATACAATTCTTTGTAAAAACGAATTACCTGTTTGTGTTGCTCGTCTCGAATAGCTAGGAACTGTATTTTTTGAACTTCATTGAAACAACATATCACCGAGCTCAATACATTATCTATGATACTTTAGACGACGAGTTGAATCCAGTGAAATTGCAGCGGACAAGATATTTAGGACTGTGCTTCGTCAGCAGACCTGTTATTATCGGATTTGAGAGGCACTCTTAACCCAGATCACAGTAATACTAACAGTTTCGTACTGTAGGAATTACGCAGACGGTATTAGGAAGCTCAGCTCACAGATGTGTTGTACTGTTAAATCTACTTTTTATCATAATTATTTATGTATCTTCTGTTGTTTTACTAGATCTTAGATACAAACTTTCCAACTACCAAGAGATTCTGCATATATGGTGCGCTTTCCAAATGTCTCGGTCACGAGCGGCTGAGACACGTACATACATTTAGGAAGCCTGAATATTAATGAAATCAGGCTTTTTCGATTACAGATATATTTGTATATATGCCTTTTATTTACTATATTGTTCACAGTACTGTACAGAGTGTACTGTTTTCAAGGATACGAGACAGATTTGATCAACCGGCGACTACAATCAATCTACCATTTTTCACGCCATCTACTCCAGCCTAAAGATCCGAGTGACTGATAGAGAAGAAATAATTCTGTGACGTGCACAGAAGCCATCAGGCAGGAAAAATGGCAAATCCATTATAAAGTAAAGGAAATAGTCAGGTGTTTATGAGGTGGGCATAGACTGGACCATTATTTCCATGCAATTATAGATAGACTAAAGTAGCAAAAATAATCTGTAAAGATTTTGGGTATGTTGTCCTTTCTATACAGCAGGCTCTGTATAATATTCACGAACCCTGCAGGACGCCACGGACAACGCTTGCCGTGTCGTACCAAACCCGGCGTCCATCTTCAATAACCTCCACATCTCGTGCAAAGACCTCATCTGGTGCTAAGTCGAGACGCAATTTGAATTTCCTGCAAAATACAACAACAATGAATTCCTGGATGTGTCTGCCTGTTAGGGTTTAGTTATATTCTAAGACGGGTAAAACTTCTATCGGCATATATGTGAAGTTATAAATCAGGGCAAATCTTATTCGCTTATTGTAATTGTGGGTAGGCCTAGATATCATAATAGGCTGTAAAGAGCGAACTGTTCGCAAAAGCACCTTAGAATAGATTTTGCTTTTGTTACACGTTTAACCGATTATGGTAGGACTATAATGCTATTAGCTACTACACAAAAACAAGTAGTTACAGTTTCAGAACTATCACTAAAGGGACGGCCAGTGCCTGGGTTCGTCTATTGATTGTAGGCCTGCTACTGTCACATAATGGCCCTAAGCGCGCACGTTCGAGCGCTTGTGACTCGGGCATGTTAGTAGCAGAAATTAACAGCTAATCCATAAAAATAAGCCAATGCAACGGTCAAGATAAGAAGTTTTTCAAGACGTAGACCGAAAAGTGTAAATCATTTGGAAGAAGAGTCGACAAATTATAAGTTAGTAGAACTGACTGTCCCGGATCTGTCGAGTTGGCTCAAAAAAATCATAGGTAAAGGTTTTATACAATATGTAGGAGTACTTCCGCGCTAATAACCCTATCGCAGAAAGTGATCGCAAGAAGCGACAGCTACGCGGTTTCTGTGCTCAAATTTTTACTGTGACAGCAATAATATAAGATTACTGAATATGAAGATGCAGTTCGGTCATGTATTAGGCTGTCACAAACAAATTCGGCGAACTTTAGTAGTAAACAATTTTTAAACTACATGTCGCTAGTGCATGAAATTTAGCTGCTATATATTTCAGTCCTTTCGGAATTTGTGAGCAAACAGCGATCGAGCTTCTAAAAAAAAAATTAGTTCCGAAGGAAAATATTTTGAAGTTTCGAAAAATGGACGCTTACTGGTTAAGCTTTTGTTCCTCGAAACTTATAGCACTGCGGAACTCCATCGACGATTGGCAAAGTTATTAGGTAAAGAGGCCTTAAGCGGGAAGCATAGTAGGTAAATGGAGTGACCGTTTCAAAAATGGAGATAGAAGCGTTGAAGCGCAGTGAGAAGGTAACCAGATGTTGTGATTTGAAAAACAAGAACGCATCGCTGCAATCGCAGAGGCTTTTTACAGAAATAGAGCGTAGAGTCTATAGACTATGTCGGTCAAAATTGACATTTCACCTATAACGTGCTACAATTACAGAATTATGACGCAGTTACTGAAAATGTGGAAACTAAGTAATAACTGGTTCCCCAAGAATTGACTTTAAACCAGTTGGAAATCATATGGTGTATGGCACATGCAATTTGCGGAATATTCGTCTAAATCATACGGTTGCTATAGAGGAGGCATAGTTCAAGCTCTACTATCGACTGGAGGGGAGACAGATGAGATAATGGCGTCTCCCTATAACGAAATTTAGTTCAGAGGCACTGTCGAGCAGTTAGGTGATGATAATACTCGCGAAGGGCCATCTGCTGTGCTATGCTCGTTGCAAATGAAACAATGAACACAATCCTCTATGATGTGTTTCTAAATAGGTTCAGGGGCCGTCGACACGGCAACCAAAAGCACCCAGTCTGGCTACTTGATAAAAACCCCAGATCTCATCGCCATTATTTCTTAAACCAAGAGAAAATATCCAACGTTGGTTTCAGCCTACTTATTTTTCCGGTCTGTGTGATTGTAGGGCTCTCCGTGCCTTTAGAGGAACGACTAGTGGGCAAGCGTATTCCAGGATAGAAATTATACATGAGAACGCGAATGATAGGTATGTGGTTGTCGAAAAGCTTCCAGAGCCTTTGGATGTGGGCAAAATAAAGGAAAGCACATTTAAGGTATCTGAAACAATCACCAACAGTTTCATAGTCCGCTGGATTCGTTTGTAACAGCATAATATAGATGAAAGCTACGTACAATCCTGATGCCTCATTCTATTGGTTGAATAATAACTGTTATTAGGCATATTATACACTTATTTGACACTGCCTCTAGATGTTATAGGTCTGAGACGCTTCTCTGAATCGTAGAGCCGGTTAATAGGTTTATAATAACGTTTCTATTATATGTAGAATATCTGACGCAACCTCATCGTAGTAACAATAAGAATTGGCCCTCCAGATATAGCATCTCAGAAGACAAATGTATTTCTTTAAAGAGCGATTACATGTAATGTAATATTTAAAAAGCGTCTGTTTAAGGATAAGAGAATTTATTTGTAATGTTTCTCGAGAAATTAAATAATGAATTGAAGATTAAACGATAAAAATCACATACCTCCCATCGGCATTAGAAATCAAAAAGGTGTTGGCTTCTACATTAACTGCTAGAATGTAGAAACAAGACAAATTGAATCTAAATTAGTACGTTTCGAACTAATACGTAGAGCAATTCAGATTCTACCCTCGTCCATTAATTACACACATGCGTGCATATTTATCCAAAACTCACGTTAATCTATCATATACCAGCAGCGGCCTTGTTAAAAAGATGAAATGGTAACGGCTGAAATCGCTAATCTGCATGCAGGAGCGCCTTCGATGTACAAGCAGCAGTAAGGGCAGATAGAGACGTGCAAAGGCATGCTATACAGATGAAGTAAAATCAGGTTAGTGACAAGTGTCATCCACTCCCAATCACCTCAGTAAGAGAACTCTTCGAAAGGAGGGTTTTGATCCAGCGTCGAATTCACAGCATATAACTGTCGTGAGCAGTACGCATTGGACATCAGCGCAACGCGTTCCACATAGTCTCGAGCCTTTTACTGTCATTTCAAGTAATTGCTATAAATAACTTAATAATTTAGTATATTTAAATAATATCCATGTTATACGATACTATCATACATGCCTTCAATAATGTCATACCTAACCTACAGTCAGGCACTATACTTCTTAGGTATTCTTGTCTCTGTGTTTCGAATTTTACGTTCCAAGGCATTCCATTAGATGGCCGGCTTCCAACACGAAACGAAGTCGGTCTATGCTCAGCTTTGAACAGGAACCACAACGGGCCCTTAAGATCCACCCTTACGTTTCCGTTGAATTTAAGCGACTAAAAGTCGAGAGAGCGTCCAGGGAGTTGCTAACAGAAAGTACGCTACAGGATAGCGTACATCGAAAGATCGATAGGCGTGGCACACGAAATGCATGTCTACATGCCCACTTCAGATTGTAGCAAACTTTGTTTATGTCAGTATGAATATCCGGTTTAAATCAGTATTGACTAGTACAAAGGTGGAAAAAGAGTATCGCATCGTACAGAAAATATCGATGTCATATTTTCTTGAACCGATTGGTTGCTCGTACGAGCTCTGCATCTGATGGAGTGCGGAACAGTGGACCTAATATAAAACTCTAAACATTTAGTTTGGGAGCTTTATGCAATGTGTTTTGCGTGCTAGCTTTGTTCTCTCTTCGTACATGGCGGAGTCATTGAGAAAAAAATATGCTTCAAAGAAAATAAGAGGGACAAACCGAGAAGTGCATACCTGTAAAAGTCAGTTTAAAATATGTGACATGGTAAAACTCTTTCAGTCTCTGTGCACACATTTTTAAATCCACTGCAGATGCTCAAAAGCCCATTGCAGTGGACTGACATAATGACCTAAAGTAGTAAAACAAATCAACTTTATTATCCAACTTGTTCTTGACCTCAAGCGGACCGTAAAGATCATTGTTGAAGAATGAACTCGAACATTGAAGGCTGCAAACGAGTAAAATGATGTATTCTAGCTTCGCGAGCGGACTCCTTTAACTTGTGCGCATGCATCAGTGTTCGATCGATTCGACCCGGACTTCAACACAACACATCTATCACACGATATTAGGTTTTTAGCCTTGTTGTGCTTACATCAGACCGATAAAAAGGCTGAGTGCCCCATTCCATTCAAGGTTTCTCTGAATAGGTTAATAATCTAACGCCAACTGAAGTCGCCTGAGAAAGCTTTGTTGATTATTGGCAGGCTTAAGTTCTAATCAACGTATCAATTGAGGACGTAATTTCCTACCAAACAAATCAGCTTGGAAAACCATCGACATTCGGACATGCGATACAATCAAAATATTCACGTACATAGAGAGAATTGTTCCAACATTAGCGTTATCTTCTTCGTCGTCGTCGTCGCCGCCACTGCTGTTGTCGTCGTCTTGCCTCCACGGGCGAGAAAGATTTTTTCATTAAGTTCATATACTGCACTAATCGCGTACTTATTTATTTCGATATCTTTGTTGTTTGAGAATAACTAGGAACGTAAATTCCCGTCGACGAATTGCGCACCGTAGGGTGTGCAAAATCATGCGCATTTGCCAGCTCTTTGACTCGGACAAGTTTTGATCCGGTTAAAACTGTTAATATCAAACGTTAGTTTAACACTAATTAGGCAATTTTATGTGACAAGGAAAATCGATAAGTATCGTTTGTTATTGAATTGTTCGATCCTACTAGAAAAGCGAACGCGCTTCTGCTATCCAATGAAAAAAAATAATTGAGCCTCAAACTACACGGGTGTCCCCTGAACGATCTTAAAGTATCTATCTTTTGCCCACGTTCAAATTGGTATTGTTGCAATGTGTATGATAAAAGTTACGAAATGCCACTGCTATGTTTACCATACGCAGAATCATATCTATTTTTAATTATTACGAGCAATTTTGTCTGATATCGATTGAATATCCTATGTCCCATCTGCCTACGAAGGGAGGTATAGGTAAAGTGCAGAAAAGTATGCTCGGGACCGTAGGGCATGGTGCATACAGGTATGCGCAATGTAATCTATAGTTCTCATAAGCCCTTACGTTCGAAGTTACTCCCTTTGTAGTGGAAGCCTGCCGAGGCAAACTCTGGAGTAACTATGATTGAGAAGGCACGCAGTCGTTGCTGAGAATAATTTATCTTGTGCTGTAGCATACCGCCTTAAATCCAGGCGTCCTCTGTGAGAGAACATTGGCTGTACCAGTGACTGGAGTAAACATGCTCTCCTCAGGGCGCCTTCCTTTTTGAATATATAGATGAAATCTATAGGGCAGGTGCGGCCGGAAATATGGAGCATGCTGATGTGAATTGCGCCCACTCCCACTCCAGTCACAGTTTCTTTACGACCCCACTGCAATTGTGTGATCCCGAGGTAAGCATTAATAGACATTTAAAGGTTCTTTGGCGTAGAGAGATAATTTACTTCAAGATTCGTATGAATACTTCTTTTAGAAGGATGGTTCCACAAAGCCTTTGTCGTCAAAGCAAATTATCAACACAGACGGTACACGTTTTTATATCAAAAGTTCCAAGAAGCTGCGAAATCATTAAGCCGCGTTGCGCTCCTTCAACAGTTTTCAGTTACAGATGCGACAGTTACAGACTTCGAAATTTACTGCGCCGCCGAACGTCATGTTGTAGATTAGACAACTCTGTGACACCTCAACAACTAGTCATCGAGTTGATCGAAAAATGTATTTATATCCTTCCTTCATTGGTAAAAAGCAACAGATTACTAATTTCGATTAAAAACATACTATTTGGCATCCACGGACGGCACTTATAAGCGTTATTCGCATTGAGGTTTGTTGGCCCGATTCAGGGTACATAAAATACGAACTGTAAGACAAAGAGGCAAAGGAACGCACACTGACACGGTTAATCATTGATGATGACAGTTGGATTCCATACCAATGGACTGAATGACGAAGACTACTTTATTTCGATCTATTAATGCCAAGGGTAGATGGGAAAGCGATGGGCTGAATAAGCCAGGAGTGGTCGCACAGCTCAAATAGGAGGAAAGACGACAATAAATGTCTCTAGAATAAACCTGACTCCTTTTGAGGTCTCTTACGCCAACGAACGTAAATGATTAGCTCGAACCGAGGTAAATTAGGCGGACCGTAGGGTTTAAGTTCAGTGTCTTCTTCTTTCGCTGATGTTGCTGCTTAACGGACGACTAATGCAGCTTGTTACCCACACGAACGCGGCTTCGGAGCCATAGCTACTACGTCCAGGACATTATAACCAGATGTCCTTTGCTAAAATCGGCCTATGTTACAACGGATATATCCTGTAAATCACATCAGAACAACCGAAATAGCAACACTAACAAACCCCCGTTTGGTTCCCCGTTATTTACCTGATTGCCTTTGCATACGAAATGCTCGACGCAAGGTTTCACCTACCAAATGAAAAGCTTGGACGTAAACAGGAGACAAAACATAACTGACTTAGCCAGCTAGAGACAACGTATCTGCACTCACGACAAAATCACTCTATGTACTTCTAAGTAAAAATTATCGTTTGAACGTGATAAGATTAGGCGGTTTATTCATAAGGCTTCAACAAGCATTTGCTAAATATGACTAGACATCGGTGCATTAGTTACGGGGCTTGAATGCCTTTACAAATATTGTTGGCCAGTAAGTTCTCGAGCTTGTAAATAGGATGAACATTTGTAACTCTGAAATATTAGAGTTTTTGTGATATAGAAGAATTCAATTGAAGAACACTTATGTATACAAAGGGAACAACTGGGTTGTTATTGTTATTAGCAAGCCACCAGTAACAATCAGGTTGGACTTGAGAGTGTTTGCGTCGATTACTTTGTTGCGCTACTTGATTTGTTCCAGTCGACGTCACATCATAGAGTCAATTGTGATACGAAGCTACTGGAGCAAACTGAAACAGACGGCCAATAGCGCAAGCTGTAATATTAGTAAACTAATAAGTCGTTATTATAGACATTCGACAACTCAGCCACGGTCACAATCACAAACCTCCATATAACTTTTTAGGGGCTTATGGCAATTGCTATGCTTACTGCTCATCAAATACACAGCTATATAATGCATTATCTTCTTATGTATATATAGTACATGCATTATAGTTTTTCGCCCCCACCCGATAGCCAACGTGCAGTTCACTAAACAAATCCAATTCTGGGACACTGTCATAACCACGTTAAAAGAATACGCAGCGCCGTCGATTACGGGCAGGTTCGATACGTTACGTCAAGATACCGTGTGGCCAATGACTTCTCTCGCAAGGAAGCCGATCGCGCAGTAAGTTAGCATGCATTTTCTACGTATCCCATGCTACTCATTTCTGTATAATAGTACCGTATCCTGTCTTGTGTGTCCGTACACACTCAGAACCGTCCTTATCCGTATGTGCACATATACTATGGACCGTTGTAAATTATACTGGACTTATTTTGGCTGCAACACCGGAAAGGTTGTCATATGATCAGGCATTATGTATTAGGACAAAATTGGTATCTCTATCACAAATCTACTTTCTTCTACATATCGTGGCACTAACAGACGCGCACAAACCTTTTATGAGCCTTAAACGAGAGTTCAATGGGTGGCCGGTCCTGCCAGCGTTCATCGAGGGCCCTTTTCCGTCGCGCGTGCAACCGCATCGGGCTGGCATCGAAGTACAATGGTTCGTAGTAGTCCACCAACTCGGATAGAGCCCCCGACGGTGAAACTGTCTGTTGTCTGGGCGCACTACTAGGGTTCGCATTCGTCAAACACACTAGAGCGGATAATAATGTGGTTAATACACACCACTTACACCTGAAGGGGCTGTTATTCCAACGGACGGGTCGCAGACTCCGAGAGGAGTCCTGCGACATCTCGGATCCCTCGACCCTATTCTGGGCCCGTTTTGCGGCCTCGGCCCCGACGGCTGCAGGCCCAAGATTCTACCTCCGCATCTTGCCACTTAACATAACGCTCTGAGAAGACAACAAACTCGAATCGTTACAGAACGATGGCGACCGCAGCTGTAACGGCGGCGTCAGGTCCAACGACGGTTCGTCGGCAGGTTTCCCTATGAAGTTCGCCATCGGGTATCTGCGCCGACCAGCCGATTGTTGCTGTTTACTATTACTACTAGTACAACAATTACAAGAATCGGTTGCTGCTGTCTGTCTCTTAAGACCACAACAGCAGAGCCAAGCAAATGCCAGGCAGCAATTCCATAACCACAGCAAAGTAGTGTCTCCCTCTCTTTCCCTCTATCTGCCTCTATGAATCTCTATGTGTCTACGCATCTTTTTGCACTATGCGGCCGGCCAGTCTCTACACTGTGCTCTTTTCTGTAGCCAGACGGATGGATCAGCTGGCCGTTGGGAGTCTACACGGCAGCCATCTTTAGCCCTCTCGCTCCCGCCGTTTCCCTCCCTCAATGCCATGACCCTAGGCTTTCCCATTTCCGAACAACACAGCGTATCCCAGTGCCTTCTCGTAAATCGCCGCTTAAAGGCGGTGGCTGCGCAACCTTCCAGTTCTGACCCCCTCAACTTCCACCTTGTTCCTCACCCCCCGCTAAACTTCCGGTACTCGACACGAACTCATAAAGTCATTGTTCTCTTTGTCCTGTTTGTTATTTCGTGAACACATTCCGTCAACTGCAGAAGATGAACAGAAAAACTGTGTACATCTTTGTCAGAGTTGACACTTTTTGTTCGCATATTCTATCTGTCGTCCTATCCATTCATCGGTAACCTGCGCCTCCAAGATTCAACACGTTCGTACTGTATGGACGCTATTGAAGTTTTAGATAGTTTGCAAATTTTCAGTAATAAAATTTATTAGTTCTACAGCGGTGCAAGCTAGAGAATCGTCTTCTGTTTTCAATGTGGTAAAGTCACGACATTCAGCTCTAGTCATCCAAACAGCTATGAAGTATTTCAAATGATCCAACGTGTCGTATGTTTTTTCGTTCAGCTTATTCATCCTGCCAGTACAACATATAATTAAAAAAAATTATTTCTTCATTAGGTATCAATCACCCGAAGGTAGTACACTGAAATAAATTCGTAATCTGTCAATTATTAAAAGAAATAGCTTAATTCTATATGAATTACTAGTTATGGGCTCACTTGTTGTCCTGAGTGCGATTATAGACATTCACTTACAATCGAATCAATTTATTTTCTTATCACATGTTACTCGCAATCAAAACTATAAGAGTAGTAAAAACAATTGTAACTAACAATTTGAGTAGATTTCTGTTAGAATTTCAGACTGAATTCGATGATACCCTGTTCTCTCTGCAAGCAGGACCAAAGAGAACGTGTGTGTTAAGCACTAGAAACTGGTAATGCTAAAACAAATAATGTCGGGTTTTTCCTTCTAAAAAGACGCAACGCTTTACGCAAATTTCAACTCACAATTCTTACCAATTAAGTGCCTTTGCTGGCACTCTTTCAATAGTAGAAAAGAACACTTCAGGTGACTGATGTTGATGAACTCATCTGGCTGATTTTTTGAGATCCTTTGCTGTTCAAAGGTCGGTTACAAACTTAACTTGCCAATCACCGAAGGTGGATACAAGGGAACTTTACGTTCAAGCTTTTACACAGAGACCTAAACAACCTTTGCCATGTGTGGCCTAGCACTACCATGGAAAAGGACGGCTTTGCCTTGTCCATCGCGTCTTTTGTGTGGGACAGCCTATTTCATTTAATGCAATTGGGCTATTAACAAATTATTGTTCACTGACTTATTTTTCTCAACTGTTCAAGAGTCTCTCAATCCCAGCAAACACACATCGTGGTCTTTTTCGCATGCAGATCTGGCCTAACTCAGGGGCGTAAGGCCATGTTCCGGAACTGTGCACCCCTTCCTCTCATTCATATCGACATATAGACACTTTTCATGAGCCGTAACGATTCCGTGTGAAGACCTATAATTGTGGCTGCGTGTTATCCGGCGACGAGGTAGATGAGCAGAGCAATAAAAAAGCGTATTTCGTTTAGCGCTTTATGGTTCACGGAACATTTAATGATAGTCGAGTAGCTGTAACTTATTTTAGAAGGCAGTTAAGAAGCTGTTTACGTGGAGTAAATCTCCGGGTCTAAGATGCCATGCTTGAATTTAACAAACTTCTTTTAGCAGTCCTCTCAATTATTGAGTTGCCGCCTTACCAAACCCAAATATCTCGGGGTACTTTGGCACTTACTTAATTTCAACAAAAGGTGCAGTAAATTAGGCGTCCGCCTTTGGAACCTGAAATCGATGTAAATTCCGTTTACTGCACAATGAAGCCATGACGGGGTCAGAGCAAAGCAAGAAAGAACGTGCTTTTGAATAGGGATATAAGGAAGAAAGGCAGTCTCGTAAGAGACAATGGCGTACCTATAACACTATGTTCTAACCTAATAGAATTATTTTATAACATAGGCAAATAGTAAAATGACAACCAAAGCAATCGTTGCAAGGGGTGAGGTATTAGTTCCTCTGAAGTATGCTCAAGTTCTTTTTCTATTTAATGCCCTTCAAGCACTAGCAAGAAAAGCAAAAAAAAAACCTGTCTTAGAACCGTCCCTGCCTGGGAAGATATGCTTTTACTGGACTCGCATGCAGTAGTGTTGTCATCATCATTTTCCACTAGCCGAGACAAGAATAGCAGCTCATAGTCTCACCAGGCGACAGATCGCCGCTCTAACGCTCTCATACAATTTTGTTCTGGCATTCGGGCGGAGACGGCTACGTTCACTGTTCCCATCCCTCGGTGGCCGTCACGCTTCAAGAGCTTTCAATGCCCAGCTCTCGCTATCATTATTTTTCCACCGAAGCGGATCGAAATGCACGAATGGCTCACACATGTATATGCATAGATTTATACTTGCTTGTAATCTACGTGCGGCACTTCGTTTTAAGTGAATACGACTTCTGTTACTATAATGGTACGACAACTTGATTCTTTCCTCGAAGGCATCTCAATTCTAGATAGCACTTACCTACTTGTCTTAAGTATAGGTTACAGACGTTTTAGCTGCGCCCGGTGTTAGGACACTGAAGTTTAAGGTGAATAATGATATTTAAAAAAAATAGCATTGTGACTGCATATACGCTGTATAGTGTTATTATGTGGATTCAAATTAGCAGCAGAATTTACGGAACATAACTTTCACTTGATGATAATACCTTCGAGGAATCATACCCACATATGATGGCACCACGTCGGTTTGGGCAAAAAGTGGCACAACCAATCTAATAATTAAAATACACACACAGAAAAGATAGGCAATTGTTGGTATCTTACACGTGTAAGAAGGCAACAATTTTAATGGCAAGCCTATTAGTTCAATAGTGCTTCGCGGTGCTTACGATTTCAACCGTCAGGTGACCTTGAACATCTTATTTCTATCAGCGTATCAAAATAATAACCCGGGAATAGAATTATAAACAAATAAGTTATATTTATAATTGCTCTTTTTACTGTAAACAGAATACTTCTGTAGTAGCCTAATTTTGCACCTTTCATTATGCTACCAAATCTGTAGTTTGTCTATTGTTTCACACACTTGTTTAGGAATTATTATTACTTATGAAAGACCATCACACTATATTAAATAATAAGCATATGTATTTATTTATTCATATATAGATGCGGTATTCACAATATGGAATTTTCGTGAATGACTGTCGCCTGTGACGAATTTTTACGAGACTGTTTTTTTTTTGTTTTTCTTCGAAATTATTATCCATTCGTTTAACTATATGCACGTATATATGAGTGTATATAGGTTTATAATGAAGGTACACTCTGGCGCACTTTATTAGTTTTGGCACACCTGGTTTGTTGAGTTGTGAGTGGAGGCCCCATTACTGACGATACGCGGCTACAGCGAATAGCATGCTGAATCAGTTAAAAGCTCAAATAGTTAAAGCGTTACGGTTGTTCACCCAGGAAACTTCCCCTGAGACATCCATAAAATGATGATTGACAAACCTATCAGGTCATCCTTTGTTTTGCAGTCGATGGCGATCGCTATGGCGTGACCATACGTGGACACCATACAAACAGATGCTTTTCTCACTTTTGCCATGCACACTTATTTTACGTAAGGTAGAAACATCATTTATCGGCATATATTTGACTTGAGTGAGCCTGACTACGTTGCAGTTTACAATAATGCTCATTGATACTAATACTTGTCATGTTTGGTACTGTCGCCGGTATAATAATTGCTAACTTATTATCTCATTATTTGGTGTAAATAAAAACTAGCCCTTGTGCAAAAACCTATCTGTTCAGTATGTATGTATGTATCATTAGTATTTTATAATCAGGAATTGCTTACCTTTACAAATTATAACCTACCTAGGGAATACAAATCACTGCAGACTGATATATATCAAGAACGTGGAAATGATACAACTGTGTTACGCACAAAAGACACCCTGTCGACAAAAGTTTGAGGCCCTCTTTGTTGCATTGTTTTGTCTATTGGACAGACCTACCTCCTCCGCCGTTGCTCAACTGCCCTTGATTGAAAATACGAACAACTTGTCTCTTAAATTCTACCACTGTGTATCTTGCTATCAGCACAGACTCAGCTAGATATAAATAGAATCATGCATATTCCTTGAGTGGTCTTCTTATGCGAATGAGTCACAGTCACTTCCTTTCCCTCACGATCGATCGCAGGCCCCTATCTATTACGTGGAACACTTTGTATCATTTTGGAGATTCATGGTTAATTCGCCATTTTTAGAACCAACATTAGAACTAGACAGACGGTAGTGCGCTGCATCTTGACAAATACTAATTATGTACAGCAGTCTTATGCTCTTAATAGCAGAGAAGAATAATGATAATAAACATTTTCGACTTCTATGAGGACGATTGCTCGAGTTTCTCTTTGTGCTTAACTAGCATTTCGCAGACAATTGCAAGCTTCTTGAGACGTGGACGCGACCTCACTTCAGTAAGGTGAGCCATTGTGGCGGTGAAGACACTTTCCAGTGCCCGGGCAATATCCTTCAAGGCTCCACATTCGCCCACACCGCGTGGCACCTCAGTCATGTTAACCAAACAGATCTCCTCGACGAATCGAATTACCTTGGATTTGTTCTTCAAGATAAATGGATTCACTACTTCCATCCAAGACTCTTTCAAACCAAATTCCTGGAGATTAGCTAAATTTTGTAGGCATTTTGCCACTAACATCAAATTCCTGCTTGGAACAGGTGCCGGAGCTGAATTGACAATCTTATATTGATGCGGGTTTATAATGGCAGGACAAAGCAGACGCAGGAAGATGAATGAGGATATAACTTGCGCTTTAAGAAGAGCATCATTCGGCCACTTTTTCGCTATAGCTCTCTGTAGTGTCGCTAAAATATAACGCAAAGATAACGGTAGCTGGTGAACCGATGCAAAAATCCTTTCCGTAAATTCATCCAGCATTGCCAGCAAATGCTCCGCATTAGCGCAGGCGTCATTCATAGAATCTAATTTTGTCGGATTTAGCTCACATGACTGTTTACTACCAACGACTAATGCTACGGGTACAGATATTGAATTACGAACAAAGTCGGCAGCACCATTCTTCATATACAATTCCATCATTTGCGTAAAGAGGGTACTCGAGCGAAACAATACACTGGGTTCATTTTCATTTTCTAGCTCACGTAAACCTAGGGTCGTTAGGAGCTTTGCCTCTTTCTTTTCGGCGACAAAAAGCGTCACTAACACTTTCGCTAAAAGAGCGTTCTCCTTTGAAAGAAGCTCAGAGATCTCGATCACAAGTGAAAGGTCATCCTCGAGTAAAAGTTGGCGCAGCGTCGTGTACTCACTGAGCGGGAGAATGACTTCCTTCGAGAAGTGTACCTGCAGATGCAGCGAGCCCCAGTTCTCAAGCACAGGCGTCATCCCCTGCAGTGGGTACCACCTGTCCACTGGCTCCATCGTCCATAAGTCTTTCAGCTCCAAGATCACTTGGGCCATATCCTGGGCATTCTTGTCTTTCTTACCTTTTGTGCACAGCGTTACTGTAAAGCTATTGATATTTGGCGGTATATCATCCAGGCAGTACTCCTCTTCCCAGACAGCGTCTGGGGCCGATTTGACCTGAGAGCGGCATATCTTGATGTCGTCCAGCGACATAACACAGAATGGGTTTGGCACTAAATGGGACGGTAGTCCCTTGGCCTCAACGAGGCATACCCTCATAGAACAGACGTTTCGAACTTGGCCTGTCTGTGGATTGCAGACCTTCGATAGACCTGTGTACCAGCTTTGAGCTGATTCACCATCCGATGCAGACAAGTAGTAGATTGTACTCAGACATGGAAGAGCTCGTTCCACCAGCTGAAATGTAAATTGTGTAACACACAAGTACATACAGATTTCATTATTTATCTTTTAGCATTATATATATATATATATATATATATATATATATATAATATTAATGTGCCATATATATATATATAATGGCACATTAATTGTTGCTTTTGTAGTTTCAATATTGTTTTCAAAGCTAATCGACGAGTAGGTTCTTTTAATAACTGGTGTTAGCCGTAACAACGTGTTAGCCGAGACACCTGCTGCGCTGTACGCGGAGCGATAATCTAAGACTCTATAGGCTAAACGGAAAAGATCTATTCGATATTTACATCCTTGACATATCTCTTTTAATTCGTTGACTCTAGCCGTTTCACTCATGTGTCATACTTCGCAATATGCAGTCTGTCACTTAAATAGCTATAAAGCAGGTAGATAATCAAACGTTTTCTGCCTTGGCCTATGAAAAGGCGGTCTTATCACACTGCGCAATTCTTCCAAAAAGATATTATTTTAGGTATTAAACGTGTCTCGCGACAATTTTTTATTTAATTTTGGAAAAGATATACTAGAAGTCACTTGAGTGAATGGTACGCTGCGCATTTTACAGCTTGCGTAATATCGATAGACATGTGGTTATAAGTAGTTGGAAAAAAACGTGGCATGGAAAATTTGTCCATTTTGTTTATTAGTGCCATACTACAGCTATGCCTGTTTTATGTGGTATATGAAGATTATGGCTGCAACGAAAAACCCCTATTGGCTAATGGCTGAATACTGTAAAGAATAGCTAAGGTCATTCTGAAAAAAAAAACAAAAACAGTGGAGTGGACCAGCTGTGGCCACTTAATTTTTTGCGATTATCTGATAACCAAAGTAATGCTGATCGAACTTGGAATTACTGTGCGAAACTGGGTTACCGTTATGGTACAGTATTAACGTGTTTGCTTATTAAATATAGGAACACTCGAAATCAGGCCTAAATAAGCTTCGTGTCATTTTTTCGTTGCTAATTCAGGCTGGAATAACTATTCGTGCGAAACCAGAAAAACAAATTTCTCGAACAAGCACTGAGCAAAAAAAGCCGCACGCTTATAAACGAGTTACAAACAGGTGCTAAGTTTGTTCGAAACCAATTTCCTTTCATATTATCCAAAGCTCCAATAACGATGGAATTTTTCAAAAGCGCTTTACGAACATTTTAGTGTAATTACGTTGTAGATCGCTTTAACAAAAATGATGCATTCAAAGATGCATAGGAAATCAATCATCAAAGTGATAATATACAAAATGTACGATCACAACGTCCAGGCAGGCCAGTCCATGTAGACTACTGGTACTAAGGTACTACTGGTAAAGCCTTATTCCTGACGGCCTATATATATAATTCCTATATATATATATAGAGTCAAAACAATATTGGTGGTGTCAATTTCTTCCAGTTGAACGACCTCCGCATATGGCCGCTGACACGAACAGCTTCTAGAAGTTCTAGACTACCGGAGTTTCAATCATACACATAAAAGTAAATATTAGTTGTAAATTATTATGGACTAAAATTATTATAGTTATTGCTATAAGAACTGTGGGCAAAGCGATATTGAGCAAGGCCATTTATTAAACCGATACGGAATACCTTCCGGAAAATATATTAGATGACTTTTTTACCATTATAAGTACAATTGGTGATGCGGTAGCAATTGAATAAATTGTCTGAAATAGATCGAGCAATGGTCGTAAGATCGTGAATTAAAAAAAAGTAACTGTAAGTACGTGACCCTGAATTATATAACTAACCTGAAAGCAGTGCGGCTGCTCAAGCAGCGAATCGTGTACCGCGTATAATCCGGAACATCGAAGATCGATGACACCGCGGGGTTTTGCCCTTTGTGGGTTATCGTAAAAATACAGCATGGCTTCGGTTGCATTGAGTACAAACCACGCCTGTTTCCACTTTTTGTTGTCAATAGTCTTTTTATGAAGAAACCCTTTGAGTGCTGTTGTTGAGTGTGAGCTCTGCACGCGAAGCTGTTGAATTGTCGAGTAAATTTCTTCAACTTTGGCCTGCGCGTTTGGCAGGCCAAACTGCGGAGCCTTAAGGATGGGATCTCCTAGACAATGGCCCTCAGCTATATGTTCGCTTTTATATCGAGTGATAATTGCTTCTAAAGTGTCAAAATATCGGCCACCCATCACGTAGTGGTTTTGCTTCTTTTCGATACGGAACCGCTGAATTGATTTGTTAATGAAGAAAAAAATAGAATAATTTCCTGGTGATCTATCAGAGGGTCTGACAAGAAAACTCTCTTCCCCGCCTTCAATTAGCTTTGCTATGGCGTCTTCAGCGGAAATGGTGCCATGATACCACGGATAACATTCCTCAGTGAAGTCTGCCACTAGCTCGTGGAAGACAAGACCTGAAGGAAACTCTTCACCTGGTGGTTTATTGAAATTTACACCGTCGCCCTCGATCTTCTTACACCATAGCCAACCGTCTCCTATGTCCTGATCTACCTCGAACACGTCGCCTTTCTTGAATGACAGTTCATCAGTGTCCGCCAATTTATTGTAAGGAAGGATAGCAACAACTTTTCGGTTGTGGGGCGCTGGTTCGGGTGGTACAACGTTGTAGTGCAGTCGTTCATTCTTTAGAATATCGGATACGTGTGTATAGTAACCAACGAGTTCGGAAAGTGTAGAAAAACGTCGGCCGCCTATATAAAAGTCACCGCATACAGCGGCGATGCGGAAATGATGAATACCCGAGTGGCCGCGAAACGAAAGCACAAATCCATTCTTCGACTGTCGAACAAGATATGCTCCGCGCTGATTCAGCTGCTGCAGTCTGACTTCCGCTGCATGTCGGTCAATTTTACCGTGAAAAAATTGCGCTTTGGGTAGTAACTCCTTTTTTGGCAGCGATTTTGGTTGCTGACTGGGAGTCGATCCAAACGGGTCGTAGTCATCCTCAATCGAGTTAGTCGTATTGCAATCGACGTTGTAATAGCCGCTCATTCTCCACTCCCAATAAATGAATAATCTATCCAACAACTCTAATCGGTTGATAGGCGCTCCGTAAGGGTTAAATCCTACTATCTCTACCACTTTTATTCACTCGACATTGTTGAAATCGAGACGAAAGACATTCAAACCATTTTATAAATAGAAACCGCTGTCCGGAGTTGTTTTTGATTTGGTACAGATTAGCTTGGTTCGTTACACCCACTAGTCAGCCGAGCATCATATTTGTTCGCACAAGCCACTTGCGGGTTGTGCCGTTCCGATTCAATTGATTCACCCATGCAGTTTGATCGTAATTAAACCTCGCCGAATGTCTTGAAACAAAGCTCAACCAGGTGCTATAGCAACGCCGCTTGCTGAGAGCAAGCTTCCTACCATCCGCAACTTCCTTTACAGCGAGAGCTCGCACTCCGCCAGACCATAGTAGCAGTACTGGTACTCCACACACCAACTCACTGACTTTCTCGTTCTTCGTGCTCCCTCAATCAGCTGCAACATCAAACAAAACGGGCGGATGCTTTGCTCCGGAGACGCAAGCACGGGTAAACTGGCGAGCAGCGCTGTCAGTATTCGCGTCTACGAGGCTGGCGGTACCGTGGATCGTTCGCAACCACCATTAATAATCGGGACCACTATGGGCTATACAATAACCAAGTAGAACAGGCAGAGAGGACGACGGCGGCAGCGATGGCAACACTCCCAATCCGCTACCGCCGACAACTTCTTCACTACCAGCAGCCATTCCACCGCTGAAACGAGTTGCCAATTGGCGGCGGCCAATAGTCGCCGCCTCGATACGCAGTCAAAGTTGAACATGTCCAGGTTTGACCGTTCCATCAGGCGGCGGCCTTTAGTATGTTGAGCTCCGATTCGAACGTTGGCTCCTTTTTCTAACTAGTATTTTTGCGTAAGTTGAGTTGCAACACGATCAGTTCTAGAGCTCTACAGGTAGAAGGGAGCGTCACAAGCTACGTGAAATCATTTGCCCCTCGATCATTGAAATCGCTTTGGAATGACGTCATGTAACACATTGCCGGCTGATTTTCACGTGATAAAATTCTTCGAGGGCTGATTGCTCCACGCTCAACTTCTGCTGTAAGGCAACCGGTGTGACGCCTCTGGTGCTCTAAGAAACCATCTGGTACAGATTTAACCAAAACATCGCTGCAGGAGTGATAGTGCTTTGAGAAAAATGGAAACGATGAGGGTCTCGATGTCGGTGGATGAAAAGTACGACCTTATAACGAGAAACCTACAAGAAGTCCTTGGTAAGATATTGGTATAAATATTAATAGTGAGTGATATGATGATGATAGGTTCTCACGTGTGACACAATAATCACTGGGCAATTGCAAAGTTATCTTCAATGCCGTTATAGCTCTACGCCTGGCATTCATAATAGTACCAATTTGAACTATGTTTGTAGGTTTCTAGAGTCGATTGCAGGAAAATCTTAGTGATACTATTGACATATTTATGCATTAAGGCAGTATGTTTTTTATTCTCTAACAAAACTAATTTTTGTTTTCACATGAGTCGCATTTATGTATCTACTTAACTAGCTTTGAGACGTTACGCGGATGCCGAAACAGTGTGAACAAAAATTAATGTCATATGTATAAAGACATACAGCGTAGTGAAATATTTTGAGTAGATTTTGTTTATATGTTATATTTTCCACGTTGACAAGATGCATAACTTATATAATAAATTAATTGCGAGGGTCGATCTTCTCTCGCCAGGAATGAAAGGCTTGAGATTTGCCTGTCGTATGAGAAGTCCAGTTGAACTGATCTTCGCGCCACATTATATTCTCATAGTGAAAAGAAAAAGAACAACTGAATTAAGTGTACCTAGCAGTAAAATGAGATTTTTCAAATACAATATACTAGTTTATGATATTTATATTTTAATTGAAGTATTTCAAAGTGCACTTTTTTCCACCCTGCACGTTTTGTCAGTTATCATTAAGCATAACTCTTTTATTATTGTATTACAATAGCTCCCAAACAATGGTAAATATGCTTTTTCTATATCTTTAAAGAAAAAACTTATCGGACTATTTAATAAGATGATAACAGTTCGAATTAATATGATAAGAACTTTGAAGCACTTTAACTTGAACGTACTAGTATATGTTAACTCGACGAAATAAATAATACATTTTCTTCTATTTTTTTTGAGGTGAGCAACGCATCAAGGATATTCTGAAGCAACGCGATTTGAGAATTTACTGGGGTACGGCAACAACGGGCAAACCCCATGTAGCTTATTTCGTTCCCATGTCCAAGATAGCCGATTTTTTAAACGCCGGTTGCGAGGTACGTAACCAGTAACATCCTTAAAAATTATTGAAACGAATACGTACATGTTACGTTCACACGTTTAGTATGCAAAATTCGGAATTGGCTGCAGTATTAAATTGAATTTAAAGAAAAACGCCTCGTCTTAACATATTGTGCTTAAATTGTGACTCTCAGGTGACAATTTTATTTGCCGATTTACATGCCTACTTGGACAATATGAAAGCGCCTTGGGATCTGCTTGAACACCGTGTAAAATATTACGAGGCAGTAATTAAGGCTATGCTGACCTCCATTGGAGTGCCACTTGAAAAGTTGAAGTTCGTCCGCGGTTCAACGTACCAACTCAAACCAGACTTTACGCTCGATGTCTATCGCCTTGTTTCTATGGTAACAGAACACGACGCTAAAAAGGCAGGTGCTGAGGTCGTCAAGCAAGTGGATCATCCCTTATTATCAGCGATGCTGTATCCACTTTTGCAGTGCCTCGATGAAGAGTACTTAAAAGTCGATGCACAATTCGGTGGAGTGGACCAGCGCAAAATTTTCACATTCTCGGAGAAATACCTCCCGTCCCTTGGTGAGTATGCTTAGCAAGCGATTCCGCGATGGTTACGTGACATAGAGCTTCTTTAATTCATAAAACCGTACTTCTACATATTTGGCACAGATGTGCTTAATCATTATGGCCCACACGTGAGAGAACCAAATTGCTCATTTGTAAGTAGATAAGAACGACAATGATGCACTAAATGTCTCTAGACTTATTCTGTTTTTCTAGGTTACGCTAAGCGGAGTCACTTGATGAATTCAATGGTACCAGGATTGGCTGGTGGCAAGATGTCATCTTCGGAAGAGGACTCTAAAATCGATCTTCTAGATTCTGCAACAAGTGTAAAAAAGAAACTCAAAAAAGCGTTTTGTGAACCAGGAAGCCTTGATGAAAATGGCGTTCTGGCTTTTGTCAAGCATGTACTCTTCCCTATACACTGCGGTATGCACAATGTGTTTTTCTGGATACCAATACAGCTTTTTTAATTTTTTATTTGTCGTGCTTTTTCCAGATAGATCCAGTAGATTCAAATAGAGGGAATTTGCTAATATTAATCCATATAAATGACAGATCTCCAAGATAAATCGTATGTATGTTTCTTTTTCATTTAGGAAAAATTATGACGATACGCCGTGCGCCTGAGAACGGCGGAGATGTTTGTTATGAAAGCTACGAAGCGCTAGAAAACGACTTCATTGCTTTAAAACTTCACCCCGGTGACCTCAAGACATTAGTTGAAGAACAGATTAACAGACTCCTTGATCCGATTCGTAAAGTAAGTCTATAAATAATTCTTTCAATTAGCCACATAACAAACCCTACAGATGTTAAAATTACGTAATATTACTCGTTGAATAGATTTAAATTATACTATTTTGTTTCATTTGTCTTCTTATTCATAGATTTTTGAAACCAGTCCAGAGCTGCAAAAGATCTCAAATGACGCTTACCCCTTACCAACGAAGAACGCGCTGGCGATCGAAGAAAACACTCCGGCACTGCTGGACATGCGCGTTGGACGTATCCTAGAGATCGACAATCACCCCGATGCTGATAGTCTATTCATTGAAAAGATTGCTGTCGGCGAATCTGAGCCACGTACTGTGGTTTCTGGCCTTCGAGGAAAAGTTGATCGGAAAACCTTACTTAATTCACTAGTAGTCGTATTGTGCAACCTGAAACCAGCAAAGATGCGTGGAGTCGAAAGCAAAGGAATGGTTTTATGTGCAAGTACACTTGAGAAGGTTCGTTTATTATGGCCGTGATGACTCAACTCTTGGACCATATCGTTATTAGCTTAGCAAAAATAAGAATCTGCCAGGCGAGTTGTTCTTATTTACAATAATCAAAATATTTAATATACTACTAGTTTTACAATAAATTTACTTAATTTACCAATTTAGATTTATATTTAGAAAGATGTCTAGAAATACCAAATCTTGGTCATCAACGTCATTGTTCTATTTTAGGTGGAAGTGCTTCGTCCACCGGCTAATTCAAAGGCTGGAGATCGTGTTGTTGTTGAGGGTTATGAAGTTCCTCCTCCTACAGGAATTCCTGAGGTAACAATGAAATTATCTTAAATCATTCTATGCCTAATTATATTGTCTGTGTTAAAGATCTAGTATTTATAATAGTATCTAGCAAAATCTTGTTTTCTTCTACTTGTTATAATGCAGTCTGACTAATCTGTTATTTGTTACTTTTTATTGAAGGTGCTGAACCCTAAAAAGAAGCATTGGGAAAAGTTATCCGTTGATATGAAAGTCTCGCAAAACCTTGTTGCAGAATATAGTGGTAACGCCTTCCTTGTCAACGGTGAAAATGTAACCGCGCAAACGCTGAAGGATGCACCCATTCGGTGAAGCTTGCTTATTCCGGGGCGCAATGCACAGAGCACTATATTTTTTAGTTTAGCCGCTGTTGACTAGTAAATGGGTAGCTCTAAATAAGAAACTATTACGGGCCCTAAGACACTTCTGGTTGTTTTTTCACCCTTTCAACATATTCATGAACTGCGTACCTGTTGACTTTGGATGGAAAATGGATTCGTATACTTTATTTATATGAATGTCCCAAAATGGCACATGCAACAGATCTGAAATGGTGCTGTCATTCACTTATATTTAATAAACTAAAAGTCACATCGATGTCACATGTCTGCATTGGAAAAAATGGTCTTAGCCTTAATTGGAAAAAATCATACATAATAAAATAATAAGTCAAATAGCAAATCCGAAAACCCAGAAACATGATGCCGTAGTTCGGTTGTTAGTATATATGGCTGCTCTTTATTTCGCTTGATTCTGTCAAAGACCTGGGGGCTAGTTACATGATATAGAGTGAATACATTGAACATCTTTTCTTACGAATAAATACACTGATTACTATCTATATAATGCACATAATGAAATATTTACGAACTATAGCTAATTCCTACAATTATTTATTCAGCCTAACTAAAGGAGCTCATGACACGCTTCGCCACAATCTTCCTTAATTAGCATTAAATTTTTGCTCTGCTCTTAGCTTATGGACGAATGGTGAGGATTGAGCTATTTAAAATTTAAACTAAAGGTCAATATTTTCAGTAACTTTGAACTTGGTTTTTCCGCGCTCAAACCCATGTTTTCGGAAGTGCGAGCCGTAAATTTTAAACAACTTATCGTCGAGGGTGAATGCAAAAAGCGAACCTTTTTTAGGTATACATAGAATGCGGTCAGTCTTCGTGATGATCCTAAATAGCAGAAAATATAAGCACGTTAGGTAAGAATGCCTTGTGTTTCCAAGTCATACTACTCTCCCACATGAAAATTTAGCTGAAACCGAAAAAACCTTTTCTATTCTATTTATATGACCTGAATATTTGTTAAAGAATACTGGTACTGTTACTAAGCATTATGATACATTTTTTAGTTTAGCTAGACAGTTCGGTATATTCTTTAAAAAATAAAATATGTTACCTAAAGCAATTTTTCGTTTCTTGCACGACAAGACCTGTAGTTCCTACAAGAGACGCGCATTTGGACGCGGCCACCACAAAATGACAGCCCGTATAGTCGGCTTTCATTAGGGACCTCTGTAATGCTTCAACGGCAGACTGTGTTCGTTCTGTACCCACTGCTTCCTGAAAATATCGGCGTCGCACAAAGACGTGTGTAAATACTTGCACAAATACCTACGGCCTCGTCTCAATGAATAATCATTTTTTGACTTTGCATAGAAACACACACAGAACAGAGTAGTGGCTAAGCGAGAAGGTTATGTACAGATTACGGTATATAAATAATAATACTAATATTTCACCTTATCGTATCACGGTTATATAGCTCGTGGTTTGCTCGTTATACAGCTCAGCTGTTAACAGGCTATAATATTATATTAAAATAAATGGATATTATTATTATTATTATTATTGATTGAGTAAATATATTCTTCTAGTATAAAAAAATAAACAGTTGTATATGTCGTCAAAAAAAGGTAAAAAAAATCATATTACTAAAATCAAGTACAAGATTAAACAGTGAAGAGGCGGTATTCAAAAAGGAATAGATTATTGCTTAAATGAATCGTAACCCGAGCACTATACGTAAAAAGGTTAAGACTTCAAACTTACGTGAGGTAGGCTTAGATATAGACTAAGTAAATCATTTACTAGAAAGCTGGGGACTATTACTCTTGTAAACCAACGTTTTCAAACGCGACCAGTGTCTCTGATTTAACGCGATAACCAATTCACATGTCAATAGTTGGAAGGCTAGCCAAACAAGATTAAAATTATTGGGATAGCAGTGCGGTAACAGCTCACCCTGAAATAGCCTTTCCACAAATCATGAACCTTAAGGAAGGTGTCATATGTGACGTCACCCGTTTCTATCTCGAATATTCCCAAGGTTTTCCGATCTCGAGCTGTCAGAAGATTATGGACATGCCTTTTGCTCTTGCCAGTTTTCTTTTTCTGGCTTGCACGGAGCCGTGATGTAAAAAGGTAACCTTGTCTGCAACGTGTTAATCGACCTTAATAAGAGTATCGATGTAAAGCATTCTGCGCGTTTTCGTCGAAATATGCCTAAAGAGCACAAATCGAGTATCAATATAAGCCGAATCTTAAAATGTGTGCTATATGTACCTGACTGTTTGAATCGTTTCGTCTTTAACATCAGAATTAGCTTTAAGGAATCTTTCGAAAAAATGCGCTTGGGGTCCGCCGGCATCCCCTGGATTTAATCCAACCTCATGCGCCGTTTTATAATACTGTTCAGCATGTTGAGAAGTTGATGAGCTACTCGCTGCAAATGAAAAGAAAGATACAACTAAAAGGTGAACCTGATATAATTCGCCTATCAATATAACACCGATCCAGGTATAAAAAGCTGTAAAAAAAGCAAGGTCGATTTGAGGTAGAAGAACGATCATATTTCAATCAAAATTGTTACCGAAATTATTATGCAGTATCATAATGACAAACCTTGGTTTAACTTTAAACATCGATTATCGCAGCATCCATACATCTACTTCACTGTGACATTACAGACAATAGCATGCAAAGTTTTTTTTCACATATAGCTTTCTATTGCGAGACACATTTGTGAATGAATGTTTGAGTAATCAAGGTTCACATGCCAGCCTACGTTAGCAACAAATTAACTCTTAGCGGTTAGAATGACAACAACACTATACGCTTGTTTGTACGTGGGCAAGTAGTAAGCAGGATTTCAATCACTGGTTTGTTCAGCTATGCACATAACAATCGAAAGGGATTTTGATAGTTGAAAAGTGAAACAGTTAAAACCGTGTAAACCTTTCTGATCCATTATCAAACTGCTGAAACGTTCACTTGAAGCCTTCCACTGAGCAAGGTGTTAATGATAATTCATTACTAACACTCATGTACACGTACGACCAGCTCCACCTTAAACCCTCTATAATTAGATATAAATAATCGAAATACAAACGACGATAGCTACTAGCCAATGAAGTCAGCATGTGGCGCACATGGGCCGACATGACATTAGCACCGTAAACTTGTATACTAGACATTGCAATTGACGGGAAAGGTGTTCGAATTTCTTCTTGCCTTTTCCACGTGAACGGACCGCGCCGGCCAACTGACATACTCACAACACTTTGATTATAACTGTCAGTCGGTACCGTTTGAAATCACTGAATGCGTGCCTAAAAAATGTCGAAGGGGACTGATAAAAAGAAGTCGCGACATGGCGACGCCGACATAGATTATTCTCCTGCTGACACAAAAAATGGAAAAACGATTGACGCCCAAGACAAAGGTTAGTTTACCTATAATTTCCGATTTGCCATGTGACTAACGCTACCGTATGGCGAAAAATTCACGATCAGGGTTTGTATCAATTGCCAGTAGAATCTGTCCTGATTTACCAAGCTGCAACGAATCGGATTTGTTTTTCCCGAGTTAGTCAATTTCGTAATCTTGTTTTTGGATAAAATTGCGTGGTACGTTGCGCCTGTGTCATATTGATTGATGTTATGTGTGTTACCTGTTAGGTTTGGCAGCAATTCGTGTTAGGTCATATTATGTACCTCTAAGTGGACAAATATTAGTTATCTTGCTTCGTTTAATACGCTTCATATGAATCATAGCAAATGGTTTGCACAGCATTTAGTAGACCGCACAAGCACAAACAATTCGTCGTGGGAAGACATCATACAGTCAGCTGATTCATTTAGGTGTGTCTGAACAGAACTAAAAGACTGACACAAAAAGGAAAATAAGGATCGCATGTCCCTCCAGTAATTTCTTTATAGAGCCTCACGTACACCAAACGATGTTTTCAAGGTTAATATAACCTTGCACTGGGTTTTAACTTAGTTTTAACATAGTTCTGTTTCACATAGCACTAAATTCTCTAATCAAACCTGTGTCAATTACGGAATAGCTGGGTAGTTCGGGTGAACTTTTTGGTTTTAATGACCATGAAAATTCACTTTGGGTAATTGAAAGTTAGTGTTTCCAGTTATTTTAATGAAATGGATGTTCGCACATGTTATTTGAACAGGATTATGAAGTTATTATTGGCGCAAACCATTAGATATCTGACTGCAATGTTTAAATCTCATAAACCGCAATTGCAATATCGTACACACTGTATTTATTAACTATAATTTCATCAATTGAAATTCATATTGAAATTTTGGGTATATTTTTTTACGTAATTTTAATCCAAGCACTATTTTTCTAGCGTTATTGATGAAATGTATTCGGTTTTCGTTTCAGCCAAGAAGAAAGACAGAAAGTCGAAAAAAGCGGCTGAATTGATGGCCTTAAAGACTGAAGCGGAATCTTGCTCTGCTACAAAACACTATCCACCCGAGAAGGTAAAGCAAGCAAAAGCTGACAAATCGGCAAGTAAAAAAAGTCAAAATGGTACTGAAAATGATTCCGATGACAAGGACAAGTTAGACGGAAAGTCTCTAAAAAAAGAAAGCGAAGTAGAAAGTCTAGCGAGGAGTGCGAACGCGGAAAAAAATAGACCCCCTAATAAATCAATTGAAGAGGAATTAGAAAATTTCGAGATAAATGGCGACGAAAATGAACCTGGAGAACTAGCTGAGGGCGATGATGTTTTTGACGATAAAGAAGAACTAGAATCGATGGGGGATGACCCAGCTTTAGCCAAAATGTCAAGAAAGGAACGCAAAGCGTGGAAGAAACAGCAAGACTATCAAAAAACTCTTGATGCCATGGCGGCGCCTAAGGGTGTTACTGATACAACCCAGTTCACCGTGTCTCAGGTCGATAAAAGTGCTGTACAGCAGGCTCAGTTGAAGCATGCCGTGGATATTAAGGTGGAAAACTTCAGCATATCCGCCAGAGGCAAGGACTTATTTGTCAATGCGTCTCTGTTGATAGCTAAAGGAAGGCGTTATGGCCTTGTTGGACCAAATGGACATGGTAAAACGACACTTTTGAAGCATATCGCCAATCGATCCTTGAATATTCCGTCGAGTATTGATGTGCTCCTCTGTGAACAGGAAGTAATTGCTGATGACACGCCTGCCGTAGAAGCGGTTATCAAGGCTGATACGAAAAGACTTCGCTTGCTAGAAGAGCAAATGAAACTGGAGAAATCTGTTGCTTCTGGTATGCATTTTCTTAAAAGAACATCCAGAATGATAAAATGGGCATAAGGAATAATTTGAAGCTATGTACTCTACGTGCTATGCAACCCTTTATTATTGTAAAGCTCTGAAGGCAGAACGCATTTAGGCACACTTTTTTTCTCTTTGATCATTAATAGTACATTTTTTTATTGAAGGTTAACGTTGTAAGTTCCCTTTATATAGGCAACGTAAAGGACCAAGAACGTTTGAATGAAGTTTACGAAGATCTGCAGGCGATTGGCGCAGATTCAGCTGAACCTCGGGCTCGTCGTATTTTAGCCGGTCTGGGTTTCGATAAAGAGATGCAAAATCGTCCTACAAAACAATTTTCTGGAGGTTGGCGTATGAGAGTATCCCTGGCTCGAGCTCTCTTTATGGAACCAACGCTGCTTATGTTAGATGAACCCACGAACCACCTGGATTTAAATGCTGTCATCTGGCTTGATAATTACCTACAGGGTAAGATAAGAAAGCGAAAACAATCTCGCGCTTACCTGCACCAGTTTAAAACACGTGTACTTCTGGTAGGTTACAATTATTTAGCCACAAGACTATACGTCTTTATGATTTTGTAATAATTTTGGACGAAACAAGAACTCAATAATTCTTGACAGTTTTGGTTAAAATCGATGGGAACGTGGAGCAGGCTTATTAGCTTCGATTTTCATTTACACCATATGTCTATTAAATTTCAGTCTGTTTTTCTCCCTTAACAAAAGCATTTCATTCCTGGCATGAACAATTATATAGTTTCCTTATTCTTCAATAATCCTTATTGTTGAAAAATGCAACTAAAAACTTAATAAATTACAGGCTGGAAGAAAACACTTCTAATCGTATCCCATGATCAGAGTTTCCTGGACAACGTATGCACGGATATCATTCACCTGGATACTCAAAAGCTTTTCTATTATCGAGGAAACTACACGCAATTTAAAAAGATGCATGAGCAAAAGAAAAAAGAGTTGCTGAAGGAATATGAAAAGCAAGAAAAGAAACTGAAGGCTCTTAAGCAAAGCGGACAGAGCAGCAAACAAGCAACAAAGAAAACGGTGTGATAAAACTATACACGATATCCTTTTTCAACTCTAGTTGTTAAACATTCCAGCCCTATATACAGTCGTGAGATGTATCTGAGTTCTTTTCCAGGCATAGAAACATGTCGACTAGGTATTTTGCTCAATAGGAGAGTTATCCATTCTTCTTATTCCGTATACTGTTGTAGGTGGAAGCGTTAACGAGAAAACAACAAAAAGGTCGCAGCAGTACAAGTGCAGCGAAAGCTGCGGAAGAGGAAGCCATCCCGGCAACATTGATAGCAAAGCCTCGCGATTATATTGTTAAATTTCGCTTCCCCAATCCACCGCCACTACAGCCTCCTGTACTCGGACTCTACAATGTCAACTTTGGATATCCTGGACAACCCCCTCTATTCAAGAATATCGATTTTGGTGGGACACAAAACCAAGTTACTAACAAATATCTTTAATAATACAAATTTCAATAAGAAGTTGTGATTCTGTAACGAGGCGTTTTGACCATAGTTGTATATGCTAGCAAACTCAATCGTATTAGACTCGTGTTTTAGCAACCCTTACTAACAAACGCACCCAATTTGGTTTCACGTCTGTGTTTACTAAGGTATCGACATGTCTTCAAGAGTGGCTATTGTTGGACCCAATGGTGTTGGTAAATCGACTTTCCTCAAGTTACTCGTCGGTGAACTTTCGCCGAACACGGGTGAAGTCCGCAAAAACCACCGACTACGTATCGGCAAATTCGATCAACATTCTGGAGAACACTTGAACCCAATTGAGAGTCCGGTTGAATACTTGCAAAGACTGTTCAATTTGAACTACCAGGACGCTCGCAAGCAGCTAGGCACATTTGGTCTTGTTTCTCACGCACACACAATCAAAAACAGCGACCTCTCAGGGGGTCAAAAAGCCCGTGTTGCCTTGGCAGAGTTGTGTCTAAAGGCTCCTGATGTCCTCATTCTTGATGAGCCAACTAACAATTTAGATATTGAAAGTATCGATGCTTTGGCAGAAGCGATTTCTGAATATGAAGGTAAGTACAAACACCATCAATTGACCTGGTTGATTACACAAAATTTACTTTAAGTCATAGAGATGATTATCAGGTTCTGCGTTAAGCGGCCTATCTGTAACATACGTACAAATAATATCAAAGCGCCACCTTTCTTTACATGTTTGATCAGTCGAATTTTGTGTCTCGATTGTACATATTTAGAATTTGGAAAAATTTTAATGTAGCATACGTTTTATAGATCAGAAAAGGTACTGTACTTCAAAGGTTTAATAATACAAGTTCGAAAACGATGACTTGTATTCTAAGACCTGGCCTATGAGTTTTTTATGATGGTCAAGACAACTGTAAGAATTTTTTTCAAATAAATGTATGCAGGCGGTGTAATAATTGTATCCCATGACGAACGGTTGATTCGTGAGACGGACTGTCAACTGTGGGTCATCGAGCATAAAACAATCGAGGAGATTGATGGTGACTTCGACGACTACCGAAAAGATATACTGGAACAGCTCGGAGAACAGATCAACAATCCATCGATTGTTGCCAAACAGGCCCTTGAGTAGGCTCTTTATTCTATATATATATATATATATATATATATATATATATATAAAAGAATACATAAAGGTAGCTAGGAACATTTAACCTTTAACAATGATTGGCAAACCGGAACCGATTAATTCAGATTTTTGAGATTACGATACATTAGTACAGAAGCATTTTACTGGCAAAAACGATACTAATGAAGTTAGACTGAATATAGAGTTTGGTATAAAAAACATTCGTCAATAGCAATAATTCGTAGCAGCGTAAGCGTCGGTGATTACCCCACGGTGTAGTGGGGTTAGGTTACAACTATTAGGGAATATGATTGAAAGGCTGCGACACCACTTGCTCGGTACGATAGCGGAACGTATTATGTTCGAGTCCATTTGTTAACCCACAGATTAACAATGTACTTTAGGTACGGTTAGATTAAAAACCGCCAACGGACAAAGAAACATAATATAAAGTGTGTTGGTCGAGTGGTTAGCTCTAAGTGGTGAAGGCGATAGCCGAACGATATTATGTGAAATGTTGGACGGATCCGGGCGTTGTAATAAAAAAAAAATAAAATTGCCACTTCTGTTGAGGTGATGATGGTGTTCATGCTGTCGAAATAAGTATCGTTTTTTAATACATTTGATAATTATCGTTCGTAACCAGACGCATTTGCAATAGTAATTAGATATCCGCTGCCGTCAAGAAAATCTCTGTACACAGAGCACTACGTTAACCTGTCACTTTTCAAATGGCATATTGACTTAAGAATGAGACCTAGGTAAATGAACACATCCTGCATTTTGATTCAGCTCATTGAAAATTTTCGACTGGTATCAAGACACACCCCTACTGCATAGACTTTTTTTGTAAAAAATGTTTATTTCAATATCACAGCAGCAAAAAACCTTCCAAATTTTTGTATGCTTTTTTATGCCAAAGTTACCATTTTAGATATAGTACCACATCTTACTCTGTTCGTTAAGATTTACTAATTAATGTAGAAAATTGGTTTAAAGAAAATTGATTTTTTTATTTAAATGTTTCTCTAAAAAATGTTTAAAGAATATTTTTGAAAGAATATTATGAAAAATATGTTCAATTAAAGTGTATTTCATGCCAGCCGCCATAGGTTTCCGACTAATATCTATTCCTTCAAAAAAATACTGAAAAGTAGATTGAAACAATAATTGATTTTTGAGAAATTCCACGCCGAAATATACATTCTCGGTATAGAAACATGTAGTGCATTTTTCTTCATCTAGGCGAAAGTTTTCGATCAGAATCAAGAACGACTGTCCCCTACATAGATTTCCATATAAACATTTGGCTGCTACTTCGTCAGTAGAAAATTTATTTTTTTACATGCGGTAGTTCAGCCGTTAGGCGTCATTTCAAACAGCTAGCTTCCACCATGAAGCAGAGTATGTATATATGCCCGGACGCGAACGTAAATCTCCAGTTCCCTTGAATTTGAGAGGTAAACGTCTTGTCCACCACGCTATGACGAACATACGTTTTACGGGTTGAAAAAAAGCCGATTGAATGAATACTTCTTTCTCGTGTTTTTTTTTTTGTTCAGTACTCTATGTGTTAAAAATAATTACGGATCAGCTTTATGGTGCTGAACAGATGTAATTTTTCACTTAATTTCATTAGTTATCACGCATAATAGCCTAAGCATTCCTCCGTTAAATTTTTAGGAAACGCTTTATAGTCATATCTACAATACTAAGGCCTTTTGCTATTATCTATGGTGAAAGTATTATAACCTATTAATGACCTATACGAGTTTTGTGTAGCTTCTAATATTTTAGGCTAGACAAATTATCGTTTAAAACTATAATTATCGGTTAAAACTAAGCTTTTTATTATCCAAAGATTTGGTATAAAAATAGATTAATATTTATTATAGTGTTACTAAAGTGCTACTAGCTTTGAAATTTATAGCTTTGTTAAATAATATGAAATGTTAAGTAATAAAAACCATAGTAAGCTCATTTGATTTACACAAAATGCCTCCTGAATTGTTTGTTACATGACAAAGAGCTGTTTGCAGAAACCATATACTTCTCCAACGATTTCTTACTGAATTTCTTACTGAAAGCTAAGTGTTTATGAGGCATCGCTTTAGTCTCAAACGTGCGTAGCTAGGGGTTAGATTAAACTATACGGAGTTGATTTTAAATCTTCTCTAGTACGTGTATTCTTATCAGGTTGTCCAGTGGACATTCCCATGAGGTTACACAGCTATCACGTATCGGTAATCACGTTCAAACTAATTTAAATCGGCTAAAGTCATAGTTGTCATTATGTAAGTTTTTCGGCTGAATGGAAGGAATCGAGTGTTTATCCCGACAATGCAGAAGGTCAACGACCTCCGCGACATTAGATGAGTACACTTTCACTAGTTTACTGCGAAGAGACAACAGTTTGATCAGTAGTAGCAACAAGCATCATGTAGCATGTCGTTTAATGCCCTTCGTGAACAAGTGTTACAAGTGCGCACTTCTTCTATTCTGTTGTAAGCTGTCAGCAGCAGCAACGAACCGATCTACAATACATATATATATAGCCGCAACAGTGAGTAACCATCGCGCAAAACTAGGAATAGGATATGTAGTTTAGTTACGTCGGTGAACAAGTTTATACTTCTTATGCAGACAAAATATTCCATTTATGATATTGCAACTTTGATAATGGATTTCATAATATGAATCGTTAGTTATTTTGGTGAACGAATCATGTGGATTATAATTGCCATACTTAATCTTAATTTAGTATGGTTGTAAAAAATGTTCTCTTCGATACTACTATGGAAAACAATAAGGCCGCGTAACTGTCAGGAGGGTCAAGCTTACTTCTCTTGGGATGCGTGGGAAGGTGAATAAGAAGGTATGAAATGCAATAATGAAATGCTTTTTTTAGAGTAGGGCCAAAGAGGTGTAAATTTAATCGATCTTAACTCATTGCAGCTTTTTTAAATTGAAAACAAATCTCTCTAATATTAAGCTCACTGATGAAATTACTCTGATCATGTGTAGAAATTTTTTATTAAAACTATGACAAATTCACGTGATGCCGGCTTGAGCGATTTGTTTAGAAGAGCTTAAGACTTCAGATACTAATTACTATGATCCTCTTATTCCATATGTCAATTTTATTGTTTTCGTCGTCAGGTATATTTAACATATATCCACTCTTAACATGCATTTGTTCAAAGCTGTGGTGACGCAAAAATATAATTTGCAGAAGCTGTGTAATTTGTTTTGTAAAATATTATCTTTAACTAATTGAGAAATTATAAAATATGTACATATAATTAAATTATTTTACAAAAAACCACGTGAAGCAGGATCGATTTAGTACTAATTAATCCAAACCCAAACAAAGTCAGATGTAACCTGAAAAAACTCGAGTAAACCTATTCAAGATGTAAAAATTACAGGTTTTTTCCACGTAAGCTTTGACATATCTAAGAAACAGAATGATCTCATAAAGAAAATGCATGCTATTGTGTCGGTTTTAAATGTAAAGACGACCAGTACAAACATATAAATAAATAATATATTGACTATCGACGCAGCAGAAAATCTCAAGGTACAAAATGGCTTCGCGAAAGATTTGCTAAATGAATAACTTCTTCGGGCTAAGCTTTGATACAAAGACATAACCTATGTAAAAAAAAACTCAGAGTGAATAGAGAGAGAATAGATGAATTAGATTTTTGGTCGAGATACATCAGGTGTGCAATATTTAGGGTGTGAAGGCGCGAAAAAATCCGAATAATAATAATTCCGTTGTGTTATATTGCGCCGACTGTCGTCCTCTGTGGTTGCGAGAAAATATAATCATAGATCAACAGGAACCGAAACCTTAGGCCTTATAATATAATAAAATTATAACGATGATAGAAAAAGGACAAATCTTAGTGATCAGTCCCAAAACTGTACCGTGAGTTTGCAAACAATTTAGCAGAACAAGTGAAAGGTAGGAAATATGCTACATTAATAGATAGTTATTCTTCTGATTTTTGATCTGGACATACTGGGATAGCAGTGGCTCGGTAACAAATTTTTGACAGATCGTACTCGATAGGCTTCGTGGTAGCCTCAGAACAGCTGCGAGAAGACTAATAACAAGCAGAGGTAATCTCTAGATTTGCAAATGAGCAATGATATTTGTGCTTTAGGTTCAGTAAAAGGTTGAAGGACAATTATTGGACCGGTTTGCATTCTCAAAAAAATTCAAAATGCAGTGGTAACCTGTTTGCGTAATAAACCTAGAAGTATGGAAGTGATCTGCATTACAACTCGGGCATAGACATACGATTCGTTCGAAAAGACCAAGGTGTCTGAAGCCATGCTTAACGGCAACATCTGACGGTAAACTCGGAACGTTTATTATTGAACCTAATAGATAATGTAATTTTTTTTGTAATGTAGTCACACTTGTTACAATAAATCTAATCCCTCTATTAGTAAGTTCAAAAATTTGATGTGTTTGAAAAGTGGCGCTTTTCGTTCATCATTGGGTAAACTCTTCGTTAGAATTTGTAACGTATTATTATAAAATAATAATTTTGAATTTTAATGCACATGCATTCGTTATCATCAAATGCCGTTAAAACGATAGTAGTATGTTCCTGGCGGACTTGTGAGCATCGCGCCGTTCTTTTTTTGCCGTTAATTAAACTAATTTCCATAGTTGTTACAATAGAAAGGCTCTCAAAAGCGCGGACGTTTATAGCTATTAATAATTCAGTTCTTATATAATGAATATGACAGCTGTTTAAATTTCGTTCTTTTTTATATCCAATTGTTCTTAAAGGATTTGCATATTGTGTTCTTATTGGAAACTGTAGGATAGTCCTTACTGAATGGAACTTACTGAATGGTAGGATGGATAAAATTTAGTTTCGTAGAATGAGTTTCTAAACGCAAAATGAAAATAATAACACTAATAACTATAGAGTTTATTCTAATAGAGACTCGTCATGGCAACAGGCCTATATATAGAGGCGGGGTCAAAACATCCGGCTTCAATTTAATACAATACCTTTCGTGTTTTCCGCCATATGTATCTTATTAACTTCTTCCATTTCAACTCTGAGTTGTTTTATTCAGTACACCGCTTTCAGAGAGCCATACGTGATGCGTCTTCAAGCTGGATTTAAAAATGCACAACGGGAAAAACATTTTATAGGTTGCAAAATGTTGATTGTTGACGGCCTACCAATGCAATTGTTTTCGCGGTACGCGGAAGAAGATTTGCCGATGTTTCACCGCTTATCCGCCAGATGGCGGGCAGAATGAACCCGCGCAGCGATCCTCAACTAAAGCGGTGGCGCTTTTACAGCGGGGGTGCTAACATACGACGAACTCATATAAAATATATGTACGTAGAAAGAAAGAATGTACAGATGATATAATCTGATATAAAATAATGATATAATTTGTTTAGATGTATCGCACGCTGCAGCCTTATATGTGATATATACCTAAAGAACTAGAAGAGTTGCGTTAACTCTCATCGATCTAGTTGATTGCGTAGAGCGCCCTTTCCTGCGCAGCTGTCTAGGCCGCTTCGCATTAAACAGCTGATTCACTGTGGGCCGCGGTAGTAGCGCTCCTGGCACAGTCGATTGTATCGCGTAGAGCAAGCATATAGGTAACGCCATTTGCCCGACAGTATCGAGCCACTGATCCGCAGGAAAGCCTAACGCCCCGTAGAAAGTCACCGTCGATAACTGCTTCAAATCTGTGTGATTTGCGCCGTGTGTTTGTCTAGTCTTACAACCTAAACCGCTATGAAGTTTAAGTATAAGGAAGAACATACCTTCGAGAAGCGTCGTGCGGAGGGAGAGAAGATCCGCAAGAAATATCCTGATCGAGTTCCCGTAAGTATATACACTACGCTAACTATTATATCACGCAGCATAACGCGTTGGAAAACTGATGACTAAGTATCATGTCTACAACTCTTGTGTGTATCATCCTTCACTACAGATGCGTGCTATCAGTGATGGCATAGCTTCCACCACTGGTTGGGATCCTCATATTTAGATAGTCGCGTAAGTTTCAGAAGCTAAGCTTAATTATATGAGCGCATTCCTTGGCCTAGTGCGCAGTTAGGCCCATGGGGACATATGCCGTTCGTGCGTTTTGTCAGCGTTTCATGAATTTGCCTGCTACTCATCATTATACGCAGACCTCTGTTAAACGAAACACATTTTGTGTCTATTATGGATGCAATTGTTGCGCTGTGTTAGTGGTTGCCAATAAGCGTCGGAAGCTAAATGCTCTAATATACTTGGCATAGTCATTCACATTAGCTTACAATTAATCACATCAGATATGTTTCCTCTCAGGAATGAGTAGCTCAGGGTGGAACCATTTCGTTTATTAGCAGACTGCAGCAGCAAATCAAAACCTATTTTTTATGCGTAAAAATTATATAGAAATTATATGCTTTTCCACGCAATACAGTTACTACTAATACATGTATGTCTTACAATATCATGTAAAATGTTTTGACATTGTCTAGCAATTTGACGTACACCAGGGCATGAAGGGCAAGCACCATTCGCACACTTTTTGGCACGACTCCCGATTTGACTAAAGTATTTGCCTACGGCAAGATAAGTGGCTAACTAAACAAAAAGCGAATTAAAGCGAGAGATAGAAGAGTGGCGATAACAATATGTTACCTGAAAGACAGGTACAGGCTGACGGCCTACTCTGAGGTCATAAGGCCCTTATCAAGCCTGCCAAGATCTTGCAATCATGATCCGCAGCACACGCTACGTCATTTGGCTTCCCTGCATTGCAGCTTCAGCGGCCAAAAATGATCAGCTTAGTTATACATATTGGTAGCCAATGTAAAGTAGGAAAAAGCAGTCTATCCACTAATATTTTCGTTGTTGCTAGTCGTGTCCTGGTAACCGTCTCAGAAATGGAGATAACGATAATGATGGTTGTTGTTGATCCAGACCGAGTGGGGGCTCTTGCTCATTGTTTTCTCTCTGGCTACGAAGGCTGCGGGGTATAGTTTAAACCGTAAAATTATCCAAGCCTGTTACGCTATAGGTATAAGAAATAGGTTTTAGGAATCGCCCAATGTGTTTTTAAAATACCCCTAAAACAGAGGATTATTTTTGTATTCTATTAGATATGGACGCATTTAACGAAGCATCTGACATACGTTTTATAATAAAACGCCAGTACTATTTTTTTTTTCAAATTCAACTTAGTATTAGTGAACCATTCGTGTTTACGAGGCGCGGGCATAATTAGCCAGCATTTTCCACTGTATTTGAAGAACGCAGATAGGGTTGTGAGCAGTTTTCTGTTAAGCCTTGTGGCAAGCAACCGATGGTCGCAACACAATATGGTGCAAACAATGCAAAAACGGTATTGAAATTCAGGTGTCAGGACGGGACCGCTAACGTGGGACCTCTACGTTACGTGGTAAGCGTTAAGCAAAGCGACTCACCAATGTTGTTTTTTTATCAACAAAGGAGAAAGTTCGGCGTATAGTTATCTTTCGCTGGTAACTTTGCTAAGCTTTATACAGGTCTGTCGATACCAAGTGTTACGTTTGTGATTAACCACGATTTGTTATTTTCACTAGTAGAGCCTACCTTGGCTAGTTGATGTTGCGTCAAATTTTATGTATAGATAAATATTTTTTCAAATGTTTGTCATAACCTGTGGAGCTCACCCTATATATATATATATATATATATATATATATATATATATATATATAATGAGAGAGAACGAGATGTAGAGGGACGCTCTTTGTTAAACTGGCACGCCAGTTGATCAGAGTTAACTTTAAACGGTAACCCGGTATTTAAATAACATTGCGATTATTGTCAGGATAACTGCCTTTAAAGATCTTATAATCGTACCTGAAATTGATATGCAGTTTTGATCAAGCGTTTTAGGCCTAATGCATTTATGCCATTTATACTACTGCTTGTAACTCCTACCCCCTATATATCCTATGCATGCTACAATGATTATTCGTACTTGCGTGACTATCAAGTAATGCTGCGACAAAGGCAGAGTTCTAAATGATCATGTCTTTGAGATGTCCCGCTTTTTAACGTGAAACATTCGGCTTCGTAATATTTCTGTATATAGTTATATATAAAATCCTTCTCGTCCAGTTTTTTTTACGCAATGCAGACGGAGCGAAAACAGTTATTGTAATTTTTATTACAGCTTCTAAAACCGATAAAAGAGAAAAGTTTTATATATATATATAAAACTTTTATTTTTAATAATTATATTTTTTACACCTTTCTCATTTGCTCAAGCTCAATTTTTTGTCAGTTTCTATCTCTACGATCTGAGATAACCTAACCCGATGGCAAAGTTCGAATTTCGAAAAGAAAAGAGCTTACGTGAATTATTCTTGCTTTAGTCGTTGTACATTTGTCTTCATCTCAACGAGAAGATTTTTTTTTGTTCCTTTCTCTGTAGAAAAAGGAAAGATTGTGTGAATGATCCAAGCGGAGAGAAATCTGACTATGCGCGTTTCTGCTAATCTTGGCAAAACATAACAATATGTTTGGCTTAGCACGTACGTTGACTTGAATGGTTTAAACAATGAATACGTTCGTTGCATTTAGCGCACTTCGGTGCACGGCGGTATTAATATAAAATTAATATCAGGCTTGGATTTATTATCATTTGCAGCAATCATATAAATGTCCTTCCGTAGATTATATATATATATATATATATATATATACTTCTTTGCTAGTTTTTTTATTCCTGTACGACTCTGCATGTGGGGCTGAGCTTTGCTTTTAGCATAATTGGTGCAGAAAAGTTGCATGTGACGGTTCGTGTGTTGATTATAAAGAGCTAACTGTAGAAAGAGCAGCAATGAAGCAAGCAGATGCCGCTGCTCCTGGTTGTGCTGGCCACATCTTTCTATTTGGCCGGCAGCTTTGCGCAGCAGTCATCGCATTATGGTCCCTTCCCTGCACTGCTGTGATGAATTTCTGGCTTGCGAGCCAGGCACTGACTGAGTATGCCACGACGATTGCTCTCAGCATTACTAGTCTCTACTGCGACTAGCAGAGGCAGCACCAGTAGCATATATATACATTTGAATATCGCTTGCTAATGGTCTTCTGCTTTGCTATTTCTGCGATGGTTACCTAAATGACGAAAAGAACTGGCATTGAATCTAGATTAATCAATTCACTCGCAGTGACTTCAGTACCTTATTCGTTAGATAAATTCCGCCTAGACATTGACTACTATTTAGACCGAAAAAATGTATTCGTTGGCGGTCACCATTATTCGTAGACAGTAATGCGAACCGATGATCACACGGAATAGACTGTCGCGGTTTAATCAACTGACTGTCTCCATTCTGTTCTTCTATCGGCTCTTTTATCACGTCAAGTCGCTTCTACAATTGATAGCTGAGCCGATACTAGTATTGTACACATCTTGCCCAGGAAGTTATGGCCGAATTATCCTGTAACCATGAACAGATTTCATTCAGATTTCCGTTTAATTAAAGAGTTTCATGTAATTCAATTTAGTGGACCGCGTGTCGTTAGTACTTGCGGGCGTTCGTTCTTTGAAAAATGTTACGTATTAGGTAATTTTTCGCGGTGTTCATTTCACGCTCTAGAGGTGGCCGGTTTCTTATGCTTGCGGAGAAGTGCATTTCAACTCCTGCCACACGAGAAACGTAGAAGTTCAACATCGCCGATACCGGTAAAGGTCTTCATTATGTTTCGTCATATTAGCAATTCTGATTGGTATATTATGGATTAACAAATGTTTGTAGGGGTACTAACGATTGCTCTGCGCCCCGCATCATCGTGATTTGAGAAGCTCAATGCTCGCACCCTCTCCCAGTTGAACCAAATTGATCTTACAAATCAGGTCGTTTAGAGCAAATAATTTTTGTAACAAATGTACGATAGTTCATGAAATTACAGATCACAAGATCTCTTAACCTTTAGCGAAGTGAAATAGTGTATTATGCGCGAAAGATGTACGGGTGGTTTCATAAGCGTAGTACACCTGCGTTCCACCAGTTAGTATGTGATATATGCAACACAAGGTTTCTTTGCATGTGACATTTCCCTCACCGTTTGTGTCAAGGTGTTAATCCATTGAATAATATTCCTGATGATGATATCTATCATCTGTACAGCTCATGAACGCATGAACACGTGGGCATGCTAAACAATCATTTTGATTTAGAGTAATCTTTGTTATTTATGCATTAGTGGAGCAATTGTAGTGAACGAGGGAAGCATACATGAAAAAGGTAGACCAATTTGATGTGCAAATATTTGTGTTCTTCGTAGCAACTAACACATAAGCATGTTTCCGTTATAGGTGATCGTAGAAAAAGCTCCTAAGAGTCGTATCAGTAACCTAGACAAGAAGAAGTACCTCGTCCCGTCTGACCTTTGCGTAGGACAGTTCTACCTACTTATCCGCAAACGTATCCAGTTACGAGCGGAGGACGCACTGTTCTTCTTCGTTAACAATACCATTGCTCCGACCTCGACAACAATGGGTGCGCTCTATCAGGTTCGTTCAGATCGTTTCTTTCTTTAGCATATAACTTCTGAGTGTGATAATCACATGCATTTTCTACTTTCTTTTTGTATGGATTGGTAATATTGATTGCTATCAGAACAGCGTATATCTTATTCGTTCTGTACGTTGATCTCCTAATCTCTTATATTTAGATGTATACTTCGTCGCGTTCTTAAGTCTTTTTGTACCTTTTGATCTTTTTTATTTTAGGAACATCATGAAGAAGATTTCTTCCTTTACATTGCGTTCTCTGATGAAAACATGTACGGCGCAGATGTTGAATCAGGATTTGAAAGACTTTGAAACTGTAAAGCAGAAGTTTTGGCGCTGGGCTTTGCAAGGGGTTTGGGTCGGTGGGGGAATACGCAGGCTAATATCATTGCTGTGCATACAACACCAGATAATGCAGTGCGATTTAGTCGTTTTCCCCTTACTTCGTGATTTCGTCATTTTTATCAGCGTGTAACTCTCTATTATTATTATTATCCTCAACCATACTGATGGCATAAGCAAATGTGTGTAAAAAAACGAGTCCGAATGTGGTTCATTCGCACAAGTTCAGTCCTGATTATTGGTTGAAATGTCCACATATACTTTGAATTAGATAACTAAAATGGGCCACTAGAAGGTGCAGCAACTCATTTAAGACGCGTTGCCTCGGATCGTTTATTATGGATTCCGCGCGGTCGAAAGGCTGAATAAGAACATGAACACCACGAAAACGAATAAGTAGTATGTTGAATGAGCGAGTGCAGATTACCGTGAAAAATCTTGTGTGAACGTGAGTGAGAGAGCACAGGGAGAGCGAGTGGCCAAAAATTTACAAACAAAAGCTATGGAATTATAAAACGGAGCTCTTTAACGAGCTGACGAATAGATCGCAAAAAATATGAGAATACTAAGCAACTCTCCTTAACAGCAATTATAATAGTCAATAGCGCCGACACAGGAAGCGATAATGAAATATGTAAAAAAACTGAATAGCTGTGACACACTCCCCTACACAAACATGTGCCGATACGATAACACATACAGCTAACAATAACAGCTAAAAAAAAAAACGTGTTATTATTTTGGCTGGGTGACTACGAATTACTGAAAAAGCTGAAAGGAAGAATGAAGGCAGCATTGTTGTTGTTGTCGATGAAGGCTTTGTGCAGTATCTGTCGTAAATACTATTTATGCATACCTACCTTATTATAAAGAACCATCATAAAGATAATGAACAGGCTGGGAGCCGCTCGTGTCAGTTTTACCGTAAGATATCTGCCCGCTTCGAGCTATGAGCTCATGGGCTTGACTAATAAATAAAGTTGACACTTATATACGGATGGTGAAATCGTCATCACCCAATACCACACTTTATCACCGTCATAAGCAAGCATTGTACTATTTTCAATTAGGAGAAAAAATAATTCGACGAGTCGTCAGTAACGAAATTGCCCTAGTGAGTCGATGTTGGTGTAGTATTCTGTTACCCGTCCTCTTAAAAAATGAGCAGTTACATAAAAATTGTATGGCTAGTCACCAGACATGGCTATCCTGAAACAGAAGCGGTGTTCTAATAAATAGCTATGAAAATAAGTTACGTGGTTGCGTTTTATTAGTAACAACGCGTTTCTCTAATAATATGAGAGCAATACGATCTTCATGATATCTCCTCTTAGCCTGTTTAAAAACTCAAGATGGAGACTTCTCACACGTATAGAAAACAGACAAACATACACCCACGCATACATGAGAGCAATATACATTGGTACATTGACTTCGCATTAACACATGAGATGTATACGCATCTCTATATGTAAAATGTTGAAAAAAATGACAAAAGCATTGAAAAAGTAATGCAAACCTTCATGTATGTATAAACTGGAGAATGCTAATGCTGGTACTTCTACGTAAATGAAACCGCTGTCGAAGTAAATGAAAATCACTAAAAATATGCGTTTTTACTTTAAAATGGCAAATGCTTAATAGATAGATTGTGAGCGTTGTATTGCATATTGTAGATGCCGGCGTCCCGTTTCACTGATGTGAACTATCTTACTGAAGATATAGTTGGTCAACAGAAGTGTGCATTTTCATCTAATTCGTATCTAAATAAGAATAATCACTAATTAATATAAACACAATAACCTGCAATTACGATCGATTGATTATGTCAAATAATTAATCCAAAACGACGTTATATTAAAACAGTAGTAGCAAATTTTCATTGAGGTGCGTATCAAATGTTGGGACATTATTTAACATGCATGATACAATAGCATGCGCTAGACTGATAATAATTACTGTTTGGTACATAATTTGGGGGTTCAGCCTCCGCCATTTATACGAAACCTAAAATATAACCCTTCATAATTTCAAATTGTCAGGTAGACCGGTAGAACCATCTGACCATCCCGGTGTGGACAACATCTTTTTTAAATTTTTTGAATCAAAGAGTTTTTACTTTTTGTACTATTTTTCTTCGCATACCAACTACCCATAAATGAAGAAAACCGACAAATAATAAAATTATCTGCATGTTTTTCTTTTTATTAGTTAAAATCATCTAATAACGAAATCAGACTATTTCAGGTTATTCAAAGAAATAGGTCATTCAGTCCTGTATATTATATCTATTATAATAATTATAATAACAATAAGATATAAGTAGATACATATTGCCATGAGAGCTAAGCTATGCGCTTAGCAGAAGAATCTAATGTCTTCAACGGAAGGATTGATTTAATTCTGATCCTGTTTACGGTATGATGTAGGTATGCCTATAACGTTCTTCCTACAATAATAGGTTTGATACCCTAAGTCGCTGCCACTAAGCGCGAGTCTTTGGTTGAAATTATAAACAAATTAAAGAGTTGTAGCAGTAACAATAAGAATATCAATAACACTCAACCTTTTTTTTCGTCCAAGACTCCCTTTCGTTCCATTTTTTTCCATTTATTACGGCGTGAGTATCATTTTCTAAAAATATTTTTTTCGGCCAGTTTCCTTAATAGAACACAGACAGAGATACACACCACGGCCAGTTGTCACATTACGAAGTCAGTTGACTACTGAACGCTTAAATTAACTCGCTTCTAATGCAAGTTCTTTGAAAAAAGGATAGGTATCCTGTGCCACACGTTAATCGTACGAATGTAGGGAAGGGGGCAACCTAAAATGTTTTTAGAAATATAAGCTTGTGAGAAGTTCGCATTTCTTTAAAATTTTGTAGGAGGGTTAGTAGTGAACCCAATTATTTATTTTTTTAACCTTTGTCTTAGGCGTTATCTGTCCGCCTAAAGAACAGTCAAATAATGTATGGAAGTCTGTTTTTTAAAAAATCCTGACATGTATGGATGCATGGATCGATCAGACGATTGATATACAGCAATTGCGCAATTATTGGTGATAACACTTATTCCGGTGACTGATTGATCCAGATTGGAACTTGAAAAAAGGATATACTTATTCGATAATGAATGACTGTAGTTATATGCGCACAGAATTGACAACGCAGATAATCAAAGCGGAACATGATGCATTAACAACCAAATAAAAAGAAAATGTAACATTTTGGATGGGGTTTTGAGGGCAGGGCATGAAAAAAAGCAAATATATGTAACAACAAAAAAAAAGAAAATATGCTTATATATGGAATGTAAACATTTTCGAGATACACGGTCGGGTGCGCTCCCTGACTGCTAATTTTATTCAATTTGTCATAAAGCGCCTTTAATAACAAGTTGCGCTATCATGAAACAAACCAAAAACACGGGACAAAGGCCAAAACGCTAAATAATTTTAATGGAATGTTATGTTTGATAATACTAACAAATGATTGTTCTTTGAAAAAGCGAACAGGTAATTTTGGCTTATCAGATTTTGATGAATTTAAACTGCTGCCTTTTTCTTTTAACTAAAATGTGCATCCTGCTGCGCTAAATGATCTTGTCGACTCCTATATATATATATATATATATATATATATATGTATGTATAAACACCCATGTAAGTATTCGTATTTTAGATATTGCTTGTTGTTTTTGCTGCTGCTGTTGTAGCTGCTTGCGCTCTCTAATTCAAAAATGTTTTGCTTTGCTTCCGTCAAATGAAGAGACACAGCCGTTCGGACGGTAGCAACATGTATTACGAATACTCATGCAGTAGTCAAGATTTAGAACAACTGAGGTGTCTCTATAAAATTTACATAATAATTATAAAAGAGAATTATCGTCGTCACCCGGACTATTAAGCTGCGTATATTTTTGGATCCTCTGTTTGTTTTATATTTGAGAAGTATCGATTCCTCATAATTAATTATTTCCCTTTCTCTGGGTATTATGATGAGTCACTTTAGGTTTTGCCCACCTCCTCAGTTTCTGAATTTCGTAATATGGGTCGCTCTGTCGTAACGTACGTGGACATTTTTCGAAGATTATGTCATTAATATTTAACCGCTCATCGCTCTCTTCCTTTAACTAAAGCAACACACCTCGAGCACCGACACAGACAGCGTCTCATATCAATCAAGCACACACATCTAGTATAGACTGGACAACTTTTGGCAATTGTCTTTTTCAGCATCATAAATTTTTGAGCATCAATCAACGACGCTAACGGCTCTGCTGGCAATTTACGTCATCAACCCAGTGAGCATAAAAGTCATTATCCTCACCACCATCACCATTATTTTGCAGCTTTGGTGCAATATTTAGCAATCAGCAGCCAAAACCTCTTGAACTAAATCATCAATAATTTTGCGAGGCGAAACGTACGTTTACACCGATTTCCCTTTTCGACGAGTTGTGGATAAAGAATGCCATTGCAACTACATCTGTCTATTGTTTTTTATGCATTATTATTAGAGTATAACAGGGATTTTAAGCGCAAAGTGCTTCCAGCGAATAAAATCCGTCCCTAAACTTTGAGTCTCCGAATTTGAAACTGCCAGTTTACTTCATAAGGAAATAGTCAATAACTCGCGTAGGATTTGTATATTGTTAACAAGCGATTATTCTGCCCTGGACTTTTTTTTTATCTGAGCTCATATCTGCGTATGTTGAGATGTAATATTGCCTAGCATGCGCATATAAAAGTAAAACATTACTATTGTTGTGTACGATATTTTCAGTTGTAGCGTAATTCTGCTCCAGTGTTGTAAAAGGTCTCTCAACCAGAAGAATAGGGTCAATTCGAGCTAGTAAGAGCGTAATAAGCAAGCATTAGCCGTGATGTTCGTAATAACATGGATGGATTAGTCTCAGTGCAGACAACACAAGAGAATTATTCTATGATTCTACTCAAAGTTCCTAACAATGTCGGATAAGAGAAACTATGCATAATAATTATTGTGATGATAACAATGATGATGATAGTAATAAAAATATTAGCATGCTCAATATTTAAAAAGATCCGAATATTTCTTTCAGCCGTACTACTGCTGCTGCTGCTGCTGATGCTATCTATGGTCTAATTAATTCATAGAGATAATCAAATTTGTCCTCAGTGCTCGTAGTTTTGTATTTAGTTGGCTGTCCTTATTTCCGTGTCGATATTCAAGCTCAGGGAGGTCAATTTTTTCGTATCGCTTTTGCTAATCTAGGGACACGTCGTGATGTGTATATTAAGGCGTATAGTTGACAACGCCGCTTTTTATCATATTGCCGTATTGCCCGCGGTTTATTTGTAGTCCTATCCATCTAGTCTGATGTTAACTATGGTATAGATATTATATTGCTTGTCTTTCACCAGACGATATCCATCCCATCTGTGGTGACTCTTCCTTATATCATCAGCTTTCCTCATGACGTCTCAAGTTTTTACCTTTTATCTTTCTCCTTGATAAGTCTCTTCGCCTACAGTCTGGTATAAACCTATTATGTCCAAAAAGTGTAAATATCGTGAAATAGGCGCAGATAGAGTACATGTATTATATGTGTCAATATTTATGTGTATGTCTTACATCAATATAACTATCACCGCCATCTTCGATTATAGTAGATTTCTATATTATTAGTAGCAGTAACAATGACTTCCCCACCTGGTGTGCGTATTCAGCCTCACAGCAGTTTTATTCTTTCTTTGCATGTTTTTTGTATCCTGTGTAGTTTTAACCTAATATCGGATAAGCCAACAGACAAGTCAATCATATTGTACTATGTATAATTCTGATTACTTTCAAATATTAGAGCCCACAATGATAAAAATGTCTGGGTCATTTTCTTCGCTTCTTCTAAGAGTCCAGTAGAGGAAATAATGATTCAGTGCAACGCATAATGCTGACGTTGTCACAAGGTTGAATTTTGTTTATGCTTTTATACCCGCTGTTCACCTACAAAGTTGACTAACATTTTCTATATCAAAGAAGCATATCAGATGGCATCGACCAAGCTTTCCGCTAGTTCCTTAGGAAAGGAAAATAGGGGATAGTTTCAGCAGCAGCGCAGATGTAAATTTGGGCATAATGAACATCGACCGTTCTCAAACATCGAATACATAAGGGACGCATACGTAGTTTCACGAGTGCTTTAATGCAGTTTGGCCTTAGTCATGACAAATTGGATAGCTTTATCAAGTACGCCGTTCTGTTTGAGGCCAGGCGCAAGTAAAGCAAATAGGGTAAGGACCCATGCAGCGAAGAATCCATTCAGGACAGATCCCAGCCATGATAGAAAGAATAGTACTCCTAAAGAGCAAACCAAAAACTGAAACGAGAGTACATAAACAGACAATAAAAGGTCAATCACCGTTAGTCACTTTCCACAATGCGGTTAGCAATCAGGGTGCCAGTTACAAACGCTAATTATAAGCTAGATACAGTTCAAGTAAGTCTATTTATACGTACTTCATATTTGGAGTGAAAAACTTCAGTTGCTTCAAAATAGATCTGCTAGGTTACTAGAGGTGTGGCCGCAGTAAATCGATCCTACATTCATTGCTACACTGAAACTTCGGTCTTAATAAAGGAAACCAGATAATGCCAACTCAACTAGCGCCGACTTTGTAGGTGGTTTTGAAATAATACTGACTAAGCAGTTCTCAAAAACTAAAACCTTCCATAACTCTCGTGTTAGTTAGATAGAAAACGTCTATAATTAATTCCTGTTAGAGTTGTTACTTAAAAGGAAATAATTTAGATAGATACTCGTTGGTTTTAGATGAAAATAAGTATTCTTAAGACCCATTTTTCGTATTCAACCAATGTACAAAAAAATTGGCCAACACTACTTACTATTCTGGGGGAGTTCTCCCTTGACTGACAAATCTGGTAGCCCACGTTGGTAAGGTCACGAAGTCCCTTTGCAATGGTCTAAAACGAGAAATCAGGTAAACTTGAAATGTTATTGAATTTGACGTCACTCTACTTTTTTTCTGGTAATCCTGAACTTTTTTTTAATAGGTACTACGTAATGATTATGTAATTCAAGAATCTAATAAATAAATAATAGAGGTATATTAAAAGTAGGTAAATAACCTCCGTTAGCCTGATGAATAAGTCACCAGGTTCACACAAAAACAGAATATCGTGGAGATATCTGTTGAATAATCCTTGTTCATTTAATAAATAAACTTACGTCGCAGATTTCTTCAAACTGGTTTTCCTGTGCAGCACCCCACTTCGCAGGGTCAAACACCTATCAAAATATAAGTCGATTATAGTAATTTTTTGACTATTGATTCAACTCATAAACGAATGAGTGCCGTTACCTGCATAATGATAGCACTACTTCAAGAAAGGTATACTAAGTGCAAAAATCAAAAATACACTTGACATTTTTTCTTTTGTATATTACCACGAAACTCTTATTTAATAACATAAAAAATTTATATTTTGTAATATCATTCAAACACGTTTAGTTCGTAAACATAACTTAACTGAATCGTTTCTTACAAAAGACCATACCTTCGGTGCAATGAATGGTACAACAACGTCCGAAATAAGCACGAATGCAACGAGAAGTGGGAACAGTGTCAGATTCGACATATCCATACAGTAGAGAATCCTGCAAAAGCAGAAATCGCACGAATCATCACTAGGTATATAATATTTATTATGGTGTAAATGCACAGAATGAGCACACAAAAACAGCATGGCTGTTTTTTTCTGTTTATTAAAATCCTTTTATTTCATTTGTATCAGTCCAGATCTTTATTAATGCTTTAAGCAGCGTCTTATTCGGCTCATCTAGAGGTACAACACCACTTTTTACCACGAACCCGATGAATACTGCCAGCTCTGTGTCGCCATGTTGCTATTGGTGCGGCTATGGTACATCACCGAACGTATTAACGTCATCAGTCGTATTGCAGGACAGTTTCATGCGTGTAATAGCCAGTACGATGAGTACCTTAATGTCATCAATGTGAAAGTAGGTTTTGTATAGTTTAACTCACAGATAGAGCAGAGTGGTTACGCCCGTAATGATCGCAGGGAAGAGTGGCTTTTCCCAGGTGAGCAGCCTTTGCACCAGTAAAGCGATTTCACGCCAGGGTTCGAGGCGCTTCTTGAGGGCTGCCGCCCCCGAATCCTGCAAAGGGGAAATGATTTCCTGTGAGACTTTAGGAGCGTCCTTAAAACATAAAAGAGTACAAACATTATAGCACACAAAGTAAGGTGCAACTTAAATTATAACAAACAAGCCAAAATGCAAACACGATAACCAGAAAACGAAGAACGAATAAAACGAATAATAACCCACCAACGACCTAAGATTCGGTGTTTACTTTGCTTTTGCTACCAATTTTTTAAGTTCAAATGTATATACCAAAGTGTTATGAAGTAGCCATCGATTATGACTATGTGTATAGTGTTTGACGTGTTTCCCGACAATTTGTCAGTTGGCTCATATCGGATACTCATATGACGGGCAAATAAATCAAAAAGCCATGCGGGTATAGACATAGTAAAATCAATCGCCGCCTCTGTTCTCAAAAATGCATTTGCATTATTAATTAGTTAATTGCATTGATAACTGTCATTTAGGTATGCTTGGCTTCTCTATGCTACTCATGCCCATCAACGCTTCTTTAAAGCCTTAATTTGCATGAATATGCAATGCACACGTAAATTTACTGGTTCATCCTAGTTTTTTGTGTAACGGACGTACACATATAAGTTTAAACTTCCATAAACTAGTGAGTAAAAACAGTACTGGCTACACATTATTATTATTTCGAATTATTTACTTCGATTATTACTTCGAAAATATAAATGTTTTGCATTGAAGCAAATGGCAGGACGAACGAAATTCGAATATTATGTTCCTTTTATTTAATCATACTTATTTACTATATGTCATTAACGGGGTTTGTACCAGCAGTCCGTGGCGTCAGAGGCTCAGCCATTCAAATATTATGCATGTATTGATAGAGCTATTTCATATGTCTATAGCAAAAAAACGAACTACATAGGCTCTTGATATCCGATGAGGAAATGCATGACTAAACAGAAATTCTTTTCCCTTCGGCCAATCTTTTATATCCGTTGTAGCGGATAAATGATTCGGTGTCCGGCCGTAATAAGCAGCAGAAGACAGATAAAGCAACGTCCCACTAATAAACATAAATTCAAGGCTCTACCCCTCCTCCTCCTCCTTTCTTCTATCATCATCATGGCTGCTACCGAAGCGCCCAACTAGTCTGTGATAATAACCATTTCTCTGTCAAAACGGACGTAGCATTCTTTTCCTTTTCTTTTTACTATTGGTACAAGAAATCTCGCTTACGAACGGAAACGTCTGTTTGAGTAATATCCGTCAGGTTTCGCAGGCAGCTAAGGCGATGTGGCTGGTTAATCGTGGTGACCGCGTATTATATCTATCGTTGATCGTCCCCAACATCGCTCGCACCATTAACCAATATAGAGACACGCTGCATACAAGTAGAAACGATAAATATTAACAACGTCCAAAATCCTGTTTTCGTAATCAACTGCTCCATTGTCTTCTCTAAATAGTTACTGCTTTTTAAGGCAGTTGTTATACGTCTAATGTTAAATATTCAAACGCACCTTAATTGGCTTAGCTATGGTATTGGAAAGGGAAAAACTGGTAAATCAATGACCATTTCCGTCATTAAAACATTAGGATATGTAAAAGTTGAGCTTTGAGAATTCGAGAAAACATGGATAAACCAAGCATTAAAAAAGTTATTAATAAGGCAGAAACCTTTTGATATTTCAATTCGACATTGAAGATATAAACTAGTCAGGTACTAAAACGTATCTGAATACTATTATTCTACATATGAATTTTGATAAACTGAGAACTGATAGAAAAGAACGGAGTCTTGGAGAACACATACCTGAAGCTGAATAAAAAAGCTTACTACTTATTTTTGCCCACTGCTGGACATATAACGACTGGTAAGGACTTCGACTCTTGCAACACACTTGCACGTCGTTATACAAAAGTTTTCTAAGTCTGATTTGCTTTTACCCTATATGACTTCTTTTCCCCATACGATAACAGCATATTGAAAGTAGCCACCCTTGCTGTTGTATTTCGCGCATTGTTTTAATTGACCCTAGAACGGGTTTTGTATGTACGCTCCCACAGTGTGCTACCTTACAGCATATGAAACAACACGACGTTCAATGCCCCTATCGATTCCGGACCATAGTGCCTCTCTAATAAGCTATTTTCCACCTAACATAGTGCTAATGCTCAAATAAGCGCGCACCAGGGGTGTAGTAGCGCTTCCGTAGGGCGCGGTCCACGCTCAGCAACTGCGCACATCAAGCTCTTATAGGCACTGTCTTTAGCAGCAGGACGACAAGTCCCACCAATCCTGACTTAGTTACACTTCTTCTTTTACCGATGGGATTGAAGCGCGAACGCACAGTTTGTCCTTTGAAGGAGGGCCACCTTGGGTGTTCACATCCTGACACCCCTATTATTTATATTTGAAGAAGGACAAGTATTTTCAACGATACAAATTGGTTGGTGCATCCGCGCAATGAGCAATTACTGCACTGAATGAGTCGGCAGAAAGTTGGCCCAATTCTATGTAATGCGCGAGGGTACTAGTGCTTGCAGAAGTTATTCCCAATCAAACTGGCGGGCAGAAACTGGTCGCTGCTGTCTATCAAATACGCGTTGAGCCTCTGAATACTGAGCTTACGACCTATCCAAGGGAACCCATCACTATTTCTTAACTATGTCAGGGCAAACACTTACGAATCCGTTTCCACTGCCGTCGCCCTCCATGTTCTTCGTTCGACAATTGTATAGATGCGCACGAAGTCAAAATTATGGTGAAAATTTCCTTCGTCTTTCCGCCTCACAACACAGCTAGTAATGCAATACGAACCAAAACGGTCAAATGTCTTTTGCTTATGCGAAAAACGAATTACTCGCTGGTCCACGTCGCACTTCGTTGTTCACGTAACTGCAGACGTCAGTCACTACATTCAACACACTACTGACTTATAACTTGGAGTCGCAGTGACGACGCAAACAAAACCCGAAAAACTGCCACCGCTTCCACTTCTTTAAGCAGTCAGCTGCAGTCAGCAAAAGGACAAACAACCAGAAGGAGACAACAACGACGATGAGGACGACAGTACTGCCTCTAGCGGCTGTCACGGCCGCCTCCGTTGCTACCTCCTATTCAGAGTGACGCACGGCACTTACACTAGATAGCAGTGCAAAGAGTATACGTGCCAGGCAGCCATTTCAGCCAGTGCCGTCCGCTGTTCCACCACAGCAGCAGCCACACAGCCACCCCTCACCCTCTGCCTGAACGATCAAACAGCCACTGCCATCGTCATTAGTTAGCCGCTGTCGCCGCCATCGCCTCACTCGCGAACTCCGGCCTGTGCCACGCTCTCGTGCGCTACTATCGCCGCTTCCTTATTGACTGAGACTCTCTCGCTCATCTGGACATAAGAGCCTAGTGAGCCTTTCGCAGCACAGGCTCAACAACAACCGCGCGGTAACGGCAGTCGCAGTGAACTGAGTCAGAATGATTTCGGTCTGGCGCATTTCGAGCATAAAGGGTCGTCGAATGAGGAAGTTTTTCGTAGCATAGCACAGTTAGGTAGAAAAAAACTCCCATTAACGAGCAGAGAGATTTTTAATGGTGAAAGCTTGTAATTTATAAGTAAGTCATGTTCGTTTACAGGGTACGTAATAATGGCGGCGACAGTAAAATAACGCGACAAAAAGCGAACAGCTAGACCGTTTAGCTACAAGGTCTTCGCTTAGTGCGACATATGCTATACAGAATCATAAATATTGGAGTTGTCAGTAATTTTGCTTCGAGCAAACGGTAAACTTCTATAGTAGAGATCAATTTTAGGTCAATTTCGGTATACAGCGACGGCACCATGAATATCGCCACTTTCTGGCGTTCGCACACAAATCTACAAAAAAACACACAGGCAATCCAGGGATATGATGTTTCTTCGTTGTCCAAGCGATTCATTCGGTCATGAAGTCCAGGTTACGGAAGACTAAAACCGGGCTGATAGTTCGGCTGTAAAATGGTAACTAATGAATTTGAAAAACACAGACATTATGAAAAAGCCAACCTTTGCGAAGTCAGCTGCGCATCGATTTAATAACCATCTTTGGATTGAATTTCGGTCACATTGATTGCATTAAGACGGATTATGCAGTCGAGGTAAGGCTCCGACTAAAAACAGCGATCATCATCACCGATTCTTATAACAGTTTGCGGTAAGAAGCAACTAGATCTTAGTCGTTGTAAAGAATTTGGCGTGCATTTACTTTATCAAAAATTAATATAATAACTAAAAATACTACCAAGAGCTAAAAAGAATAAGGCATTTTTCACACCCCATGAAAATATAGATCATGTAAACCTGAATTGAAACGATCTAAATACCAAATAGTTCTAAAAAGGTGAAATTTGTGTGCGTACATGCTTATTTCGCGCGTAAGCTAGAGAGGTAAATAAAAGAAAAAAAAAGAAGTAATCTAAAAAAATGGAGAGAGCTAATACTTTGATTTTTCATTGCGCACTTGCGTGAAATGAAAATTTATTAAACATCAATAAAACAATTATATTCGTTGCTTCAATTTCAGAACTTCTTATCTCATGTCGGTCGGCCATTTGTTAGTGGGTTAGAACGATCGATCAAAGCAGGTTGTGATTAATAAGTAGACCATGGTGTCGGGCAATATTATAGAATAATACGCCTTGTAACATGGTTAAAAGGTATTTCACTGACAGTGACATAAAAGAAGTTTCGAATACACCAAAAGTTGGATAATTGCTGACAACACTGACAATGCATGGATCTTTTTACTCGGCATCTGGCACTAATGATTCTACAACTTTGTCATGGGGTTCGAGGTGAGATTTCAAAATATCATATTTTTAAACACAAATCCCATTTCAAATCTACGTCAGTTAGTGTTCAGGCAAAAACATGAAGGCATCAACCATTATTGAGAATATTTATTGCAAACGCGGTTTAGGTTTAATAACCAATTAAAGTTAAAGGAGTGACCGCCTGAATTGATTCAGACAAACACAGCAACACACAGCGAACTTCATTCAAGCTAATTAAAAGGGTTAGGAAAAGAAAGTCTGCGTTAGTGCTAATATTATTTTGATACAGGTCGGAATCAAAACTTATCAATGAATTTATTATTCTTGTTTTCCTTTCGTTTTTACAAATCTTTACTCATACGGCCTGCGTCGTTTAAACGATATTTTACTTCTATCTTTAAGCCTTGTCTTCTCTTCGGAACACGTTCTATCTTGGTATCTGCAGTATTTGCGGAGAAGTTTGAATTAGTGGAGTGATCTTGATAGGAAACAAACGGTCACGCGAGTTTCTCCACTCGGGCGAAGCAGAAGGCTTGGTTGCATCAAGTATTTCATTACTTTTCTTTCTACTTGAATATGGTTTCTGAGTGTTGTATTTAATATACAGAGCATTATCGCTTTTGTGAATTATTCATGCATATTTAAGTTTATAGTTGTTACCAAAAAATGAGTTGTCCGATTTGATGTATTTATAAATTCAAAATAAAAAGGTGGTCGTTTGATAAGTTCAACTTCGTCTACTGACCAGATCGTTCATTGTTCAGTCTAAACCCGAGCGAGCGAGAGAGGCGTCGATGACTGCCACAACTATTGCCACGAACCACCTTGAGAGAACCTCACAGCTGCACACGTTTCTTCAGAACACGACACTAAAGAGTTTAACATGTTATCACAAATAGTCTTTTACAAAAATCTTTAATGCTTCATAAAATTACCTTCTAGAAAAAATGTTTCGAACTTTGAACATTTAACAATCATTTCAGGGATCTTAGGAATCAATATGCTAAGCGCTTGACACTTTAATCGATATAAAAGTTTTAGTAAAAATGACAGTGTTTCCCTCTACCAAATAACACCATATCCTGCTTTTTCTGCATCATCATCATTGTAAGCACTGCCGAAACAAAAACTAAGCCTTCCTCCTCTAGAAAAGGTCACTAATGCCTGATTCACGTAGATACAGAGGTGGTATATTTTAAAGGCTTATGCCACGGGCTGTATGGCCAGCGTAAAAATAATTCGCATGATAAGATATATACGACTTCGAAAATTATTACTCCTATATATCACATTAAGTAGAAAGATGAGGGCGCGCATTCCTTGTGTTACAGTGCGATATAATCTGAATGTTGGACTACAGTGAATTGAGTGCAGTAATCGCTATCATCGTAATTGTACCTACGCCCCTAGGGTCTGCTTCGTTACCTAGAAAATTCACGAGACGCAACGAAGCGCAGAACTAGTGTAAATATCAAGGATACATGAACCATGGGCAACCTCAACCTTAGTGCAACTGGAAGTCTTAAGTTAGCAAGTGTGTAAGCGGCATGCTCACCGTAAAATTGATTGGCACCGTAGATGGAAGTTAGTATAGTACAGTAAACGAGATAGCTTTCAGTAGGAATACTCATGACCCACAACGACTATTATGCTCCATCAGCACACTGTATTGCGATAATGAAAAGGGTAAAAAGTATGATAATAACACATAATATGGTATTTATTTATCCAGTAATTAAAACAATCTTATATATTGACACAATGGGTTGTATGCGCCTAAAGTTAAATTATAGGAGCATAAACCAGTCACAACTCTACACGCATTTTTATACCTTAAGGCCTCTTGTGGACAGCACACTGATGCTATGGGCTCCCAGACACGTACAATGATGTAATATTATTATCATTCTGAAAATATTGTTGCGAAGTACAACAATAAATCGCTAAAATTCTCATTATATACCACATAATAAAGGCTATAGACAAAACGTTAGTGACACAGATAATTAAGATATTAACTTAAAATAAACGTGCACAATTAATTGTATTAAGTAAATAAAAAGTATTATTCCTTTAAGTTTTACATAGAGCGCTGAAATTTTTTGATACATATTATAAAGGAAGCAGTCCCCATAAGAAATATATTTAAGATTTAATGGGAACATTATATCAAAATGTTTTTGCCCTACACAACCCTCAATCTGTGGAATATGCTAAAGGTCTTGATTCGGCCCCCCCTTAGCTAATTGACGATCAACGAAGTTAATCAAAATGTTCCTCTGCTGTTGAATGACTTGAAGAAAGCTTCATCTACCGGACCATACATACGTGAAGGCAGAATTCGACGATTTGAAACTACCCGACATTGTAAATAGGCTGAGTTTGTACACGTACGCGTATAGTTAGCTTGCTACGAAGTGCCCTTCAACTTGTATGGCCGCCCAACCGACCTTTCAGGATCTTACTCTATTTGTATTTTTACATCGCGATACCTAACGATAACTATAATGACGCTTCCATAAAACAGGGAAATAGCTGAACAATGCAGGTGAGAAGAATTTGAGCTGGTCTCTCCTTAATAAAATAGGGACTTAAAAAAGACGGTATCGTAACTAGCTGAATCTTAATCTATCAGGCTGTCAGTCGATTTCTACGACAAATGTTTCTTTAGCGGGAAGGTCGAAAAAGTCGAACGAAAAATGTCGAAAACATTTCTGACTTCTGATCATTTCGAAGGTGCTTTTGACGACAAGCAATGCCCATAGTAAATGCATAAACATAGCAAATGCCCTGTCGTAGATAATGTGGCGAGTAACGAACAACATACAAAATATATGACAGTTATTATGTGATACTACTACCTTATGTGATGGAAACTACTTTTACAAAGACGTGTTATTTATGTAACTAGAATAATTGAAATGATATTCTCAGATATAAAGTGGCATAACAGAATTTTTATTCTCTATTTAGTAGCAAATAACTCCCGTAGCAAGGCCTGTCGTACAGAAGAAGTAGGACCGAGACAGAAATCAAAATTACTTTTTTCATTTCTTTCTGCGAACGAGTATACGGCGAACGTACAGCATCAATTATTAGACTTTATTGTTGATTGCGCTTTCGATTCAGTGCACTGTTTATACGATCTGGGAAGAAAAAGTTTTATCGCTCGGAATGTTATAGCCGCTTCTCTAATCGCCCGATACTTACTCCTCGTCGACGTTTTCAACCATGTTGGTGATGTGCGTTCATTCGTGCATCTGAATGAGCTGAATGAACAAATGTAAATGGACGGAATAGATCCATGTTTGATTACATACAGCCCATCATAGCAGGCTTTCGTATAGCGCCGAATGTTCTACAGCGTTTCTCCAGCGTCCTGGCGGATCTTTATTCGGCGTTACAGATCATCAAGAAAAGTGTGTGCATAGGTATTTATGTACAGTTTGTACAAAACTCAAACGATGCTCCGGCATGCAAACTTCGACCTGGCCCGCTGCCTAGGAGTGCGCGGTTATCGCAAAAGCCTTATTCCCACTCTACATGTGATGAAGAAACGACAGGAATTGGCTGGCGAAAGGATTTCACCTCAGAGGTTGGTGTAATTTGTTTTCACTTCTTTTGTTCGGTTCCTCCAGCTATCGACTGTTATCATCAACGCTGAAATTAGTTTGATTTCAAAATTTCTTAATCTATTACACAATTTTCTTAATCTATCAATAGTTAATAGTGTCGTATAAGCTACTAATATAAAATCATAGATGATTGCGATGCTTAATGCATCATAATGGATTAAGTAACTGTGAGGTGGAGAAACTTTTAATTATTAGATGCTCTAATGTAGTATTATCTTCACTTATTATCCAACAAAAAACGTGCATATATAAAAACAAGTTTAATTGGCTAATGCATAACATACATTAGAAAATTAAGCTTATTTTTTTCATTAATTACAAGAACGGATTACGTGTGCGGAACAATATCGTCAATTCATGTGAGAATTAAATGTCTTTTCTTCATATATTGACAAATGCATAATTTTAATATGTTTCGAACAATTTATAATGATGAAATTTATAACAATGAATAATTCACCATAGAACGAGCAAGCACTTAACATCCATTTGCAACATATGTTTTTCAAGATTATAGTTTTTTGAAAAAAATATGTATATATACATACACTTTATTTACCTAATTTCTTATATTTGGTTCTACTGTTTATCACGCAGGAATGCACTGCTTGAGTGGGATTTTGGTCGTGAAATAAACTGTTTATGCCGCCGTTTAGGCATTGAACCAACAGAAAAAATTAAAGATTCGTTCGTTACCGAAGCGTATGCTGAGCAAGAAGTGCAGCGAACGAAAGAGCTTGGCTTGGGTTACAAACCGGTTCGATCAAATATAGCCATGGCGCAAGAGGGCCACGAGAAGCTCCGTGAAATCCTCAGTGTCCAGTTGAGAGAATCTTATCCATTTTTGCCGAGCCAAGCGCTGAATTCTCTTTTAGAGTACCTTACCAGTGGTGAGACTCTTGTTGATGTAGCAACACAAATGGGTCTTGCACCATTCGTATTTAGGACAGGTAAGATTGCCAACTATTATTCTATTTATGTATTGAGTGTGCCATACCTTAAACGGACAGGTTTTTATAAGGTGTGCATCGGTTTAGATAAAAGGTGCCTTTTTTGAATAGCGGATGAATATGAACTATGAATAAACGTGTCAAAATATAATATGGAATTATAGGTCGCAGATATCGCACTTTCGTTTAAAAAACTAACAAAGCTCAAGGAGACTGGCTGTTCGCAAAATTGTAAAGATTCCTTCTATGCTTTAGAGTACTTGAAAGCTCTATGTATTGGCTTCCCGCTGAATCATAGCATACGCTATAGAAAATAAAATTCAATTTGTTCTATTTGATAGGTTTTTCCCACTTCCAAATACACTATGTAGCTCTTGTGATAAAATTCCAACTATTGTATTCTTAAACCAAGGCAGTGAATTTGTAAGCGAATGGCTAATGCTTTATCTATTCAAAGCCCGTACTGAGATACAATAAGGGGTGTATAGATATAATAAGTAGTCTTATAAAAAGAATAATGCAAGCATTGCTACCCAAATTCTTTCCTCTGGATATATGCTAAAGCTAGTCCCTGTATATTTTAGGTCACGGAGAGGAAGTTGAGCCTGAATTATTGTACAGCTCTATTCTAGCTCTGTTTTCTGCTGTTCGGGAAAAGGACGAATTTTGTCGTCGTTATATTCTCACTCGGTTATGTGGAAAGGATGTTTTCGATTTATGGAACCCAAAAGATGTATCCTTCTTGCTCAATACCATACTTCAAACACAGAAGCATGCAGCATACGTGCCGCGTATTATTGGCGAGGCGGGACGTAATACTTTGGAGTCACTATACTACGTTGGCGTGTATTCAGATCGCAAGCTTTTAGGAAAAGGAGCTGGTACAACTCAAGCGCAAGCCGTTGACGTAGCTGTCCGAGATGCCCTCAGAAGGATATTTAAGGTCACGCGAGCTGTTCGAAGCCCCTTCGAAAAAATGGCGATGAAGAGTTTGGCAGCGAAAATTGCCCACGGTGCTATGAATACATCGCTCACCGAGACATGTCCTACATCATAGAGGATTATTATAATAAAGTAGATCTTTCAAATGAGGACTAAATACGTAAAGTTAACGACAAAATCGATGCTAATTTTATAATGAGTAGTTGTACGTTAAGTGCACTAGCAAAAATAAGGTAAGTGGCGATTAGGGACATAAATAAACATCAACATTGCTAAGTAAGGATGCAAAACTTCGTTTTTTTTTGTGCACTCATTTATGGATGTTGCACTGATACTGCTCAAAAAATGTATATCTATTCATCCGTTTGGATACTTGATATTTTAAAAAATAACTTTTGGCCCAATATAGGTAATATATTAAATGTTCCTAGTCTTAAATCAGCCCATAGGTGATGCTTTATTCATCATTCAAGACGTCTACACGTATTTGAGAAATATCAATTACAACTTTCACTACCATTTACGCGCTACCATGGTACTAACTAGACTAAATAGGTGTTAAACTAAATATGCTCTCATGGGTCATCGTGCTAGTCGATTTTAGCTTTTGACTCCGTTCAAAGAAGCGTATTTTTTTGTTATAGCTTTATAACACGAGTTCTAGTTTAGAGAGGAAATAAAAACCTTTCCCAAATGTTGATCTTGAAGTCATTTCATTGACGTTGCAATCGTTACACCTTTATTTACATGCGCTATGAACTTTGTTCAAAATAAAAACATCGTCGGAACACCAAACGCTATGTAATTCCATTTTTAGTAACATCATCGGCCAGCGGCTGACAATAACCAAACCACTCGACTGATGAACGGGCAAATTAATTGCGTATAGTAACGGTAGGAGTAGTAGTGGTAATAGTCGACCTCAGACGCCATTGCCGTCCGGCGTCTACAGCGATCTAAACAACCCCCCCCCCCCCCCCCGGCGCGCGCCTGCCCTCATTGTTGAGCAGCCATTCAATCCGCCGCCAAGTCATCAGCGCTCTAACGAGCAAAAAAAATATATATATAAATATATATTCATCGTACAGTAAGAGGTTACATATGTAATGTCCTAATAAATCTGATCAATATGAAATTATTACGGCCTATTATTCATTCACTAATAGTAATTGAAACATTGATTTGCAACTAACATAGCTAAGAGATCGCTTCAAACGAAAAACAGCCTGTTACATATGCTTGCTTCGTTGCTTGACTTTATCCTCTCCAAGCTCACTTTGAATAGGTTCAGTTTATCGAAGTTGCCCCCAATGAGTGAATCCTCCTCTATTCATTATATTCAGCGACATGCCGGCTTAACATAACTTTCCCATATATAATATTTCTTAACCTTGTTTAGACAAAAGTTCTTAGGGAAGTTAACAACATTGTAATTATACACTCATAGCAAAAGAAACGTTCGGTTATATGTGCACCTAAAGACATTGATGAAAAGTAGTAACATTCATTCATCGAATGTCTTCGTAGAAGCTGGAAACTCTGGCGGCAAGAGATGAGGTTTCGTTTCAGTTCGAAAATAAATTCATCACAAATTATTGATAGTAGTAGTAGTTGTTATCTAACAAATGTCTGCCCCCAACTTAGGCAGAAGGTCGTCGGTAGAAACTAATAGAAGTGGCTTTCGTGGGTCTTTACCAAGGCCATCATTAACCTTTGAGCCAAATCGGTCGGTGACACGAACAATTTAAAGTGGACATTGCCTTGAACTTGAGTAGCCGTTCTGATGGTCTTCTCGCAGAGCTGGAACGTGTGCTGCCCACCGCATCCCCTGCAGCTCGACAAATATATTTTTAGCCGTAATAAATATATATACCATGTACATACGTCGTTAAAGTGCCCGTCATTATTCTCTCTCCCTTTCTCTCTGTTTTCACGCCCTCACAAACACTGTGAGGGGTTAACTGTCTAGAACAACATCGTTTATTTTTACTGAGAACGCATTAAAGAACGTCCGGAGTGCATGATGCCAGTGGGTCAACCGCCTTTTTTCATTCTGCCCTGAAGCAGTATGCACGATAAACAGCAAATATTGGGGTGGGCATACAATGCAAGTGAATATCGGCATCAATCTATCACGTGACCATGATAGCGCTAATTTCCAAAACAAGATGTATATCCCCACTAAATTACGTGGCCTGCCCCGAAAGCGAGTCGAAAATGTGTAACTTGCCAAGTACAGCAGCAAGCCATTCTATCTAGCCGTACAAGAGCTTAGTGATTCAATAATGGATTCGTACAACAACACTACGTCGTCATAATTGTCATTGATGCATTTGCCGTTACTTCTGGCCATCGAGGAGCAGACAAGACCCACCAGACAGTTTCAAATCTTCGTGACACGTGAAAGAACGTGCTGAGCTTACTCTTGTGGCGCGACCCCGCTTGAAACCGACACGAACCTATATCATAGCATATCATAAACCAGGTGCACACATATTATAATAATTATTCATTGTTAGTGGTAACTGATTGGTTTTCGTCATTTAAGCGTTGTTACGATGTGCCGTTTATTCCACCCCAGCGCGTGGTTTATTGGTCCGTTGGCCATGCATCTCAATGAAGGACGTTAACTCACGAGGGACTCGACCCTTGTAGTGAACCCCGTGCTTGTGAACTGCTTTGGCGGCAATGCACTTGAGGCTAATTTCAGATTGTGCGCGCAACACCAGCTCAGCTACACCTGTCGTCGCAGCATCCTGCGGGGTCTGACCTGTAGCACAAGAGTAGAGATATTCATATCATATACATAACACTCTGCATACGATGTAAAAGTAACATGTTTGCTTCGCAATTATTTATCATTAATACTGAAATTGACTGAACGAAAAAATCGAAAGCATTGATCGAATATCTTTATGAGTTATCATGAAGTGAAAATATTTAGCGACTCAGCAGCATAACCTTTACCATACATTAAACTTTCTTGTTTTCAAAATAATGCTTTTGGCATGAAATCGTATTGCATTTCTGCTGTACTGCTGCAAGTATCATGAAAGAAACGATTATTGTTAAATAACCCACCTTTATAATTAACAACATCAGTGTGTGCACCCCGCTCAATAAGAGCAGATATAATGGAGTGCAGCGTGAAGAAATCTGTGATGGGTTTTGAATACGCAACGATTAGATGGAGTGGCGTATCTCCCTGCTCGTTTATGGCGTTCACGTCTCCTCCACACTCCATTAAAAGTCTAATAAGCGCGCACATAATCAAAAAATGAAAATCAGCAGTTATTTGTTTATCAATATATTCGATAAAATAAAAAATTTTGACCCACTTTAATCTTTTCTCGACCCTTTTGTGATACTCTTCAAATTATTTTCTACTGGCCTCTAGTGGTGTCATATCTACTCACTTAGCCGTGTTCGCGCAGGGGAAGTGACAGAGATTCCGAGTGTGAAAGTCATTGACTGGTGTCCGACTGTCGACTGCCAAGTGTAGTAACGTATTGCCATTGTTGGTAGCACATCGACTCCTAGTCATCCGATAGACCAACGTACAAAGTGTGTGACTCGCTTCTGGACGACACCGCTTGCTTAATTTCGAAACGACTACGAGCAGATAGAGGGATGTCAATACAATTTCATGTTCATCCGCACCCTTCGGACGGTTGCCGGTCCCGTCTTTTTCCTTCTGTTCCTACAGGATTTCATCCAGTTATTGTGATTATTTTACTAAATCACTTACACCTAATTATGTAGATTATTGCCACCGATAATAAGAGCAAAAGAGCAAACAATATCTCAGAACTTAGCATGGCCAGTTTTCATTGAAGGTACCAGTAAGATGAAGCAGATCAGGTGAAAAAAGTATCGCGAATAAAGTTATGCGAATAAAGTATCCCTCAGAATATTTCTGCGCTCACGTAAGAACGATATTTATTCTGTTCGTTTATCACGCACTGAAATATTCTCCCCTATGTATTTGCATGACATAATAATCTTTCTTCTCCGATTCGCAATGCTTACCTTTTCAGCCAAGTGTTCCAAGTAAGTGACGGTTGTTCGCATAACTGTAATGAGAACGTCCACGGAAACCTGGACCCCAACGTGCAACATTTGACAGAACACTTGCGCAAATCGGAGTAGGTCTCGTACAACACACGCTCCACTGCGCTCTTTTAGTGAAAGCGCGTGTAACCAAAGCTCCAGACAACGCTCGAAATTTGCAGAATCTAATGCAACCAACGGAAAAAATGTTAAAGAAAGACATGTTTGAATATGAATTAGAAACTACCACTTGAATAAAGGTTATTTTACAGGCATTTGTCTGCTCATATTGATAAAGTAATAATGCGTGGCTTTTAGGTGACGCATATAGATTGTACGTAAAATAACTTTTATTAACTGTCTGTTAGCAACTTACGAACCTGCGAAAACAGCGCCTCGAAATGTTACTGGATGCGGTACTTCGGGATTAAGTGGCCCAAGGATTCGCTCACGTATAGCAAGGCTTTCCATTTGCAGTGCATTGGCGTTATATTTAATCTGCTGTAGTTCTTCTAGTGAGCGACATTCGACGCGGTTTTCATATGCTGGTACGGGCGGTGGGAGCACCTAAAACAGCAACATCCTTTTTATCCAGACATCGTTCTTGAATACATTAAGCATAGTACTATTCATGCTTCATGAATGTAACTTATCGCATTGGGCTGTGGACTTTGTTGTAACTATTCGCTATTAGGTTTTCAAGAAGATATAGTAACCATTGCACGTAACTATGTTGTTTAGTAGACAGCATACCTTGGGAAGTACACGATCTGGATCTCCGTAACGCCACTTCATAGCCAATCTCAAGTAATGATAGCATCGTTCAAGGTCATAGTTGTCTTTATCATTTGCAAATGATGCACCTAAGAGCTCAAGCGCATCAATTTTTGTTTCACGACTGTAGTCAGGATGGGCCACGAAGAATTCGACTGCCTGCAATAAATCAACCGATCCATATAACGAAGTGGCAAAAATGTAACAGTATATTAAACACATACACATAGATAGGATATAATATGTAATAGTAACACAATGCATAAAAGAGTAGGCCCTACACGCGTAATAAGGGCAGTTGCTTAGATTACTTAAATATTTACTTTTATTTTATTTATGACATCGATTACTGATTATCCTGCGAAAGAACGTTCTCAAATTATCCTCGATCACATTTTTAAGCGAAGTTGTTGCAAGAGCATTCAGTAACAATAATAATAATATCAGGAATTACCTCAGGCTGTGTTCTCTCAGCAGCAGTGATAATGGGGGTCATTGCGTTTTTGTTGACAGTGTGTACCGACGCTCCAAAACGTATCAGCTCCGAAATAATTTCGACGTAGCCATGTTCAGCAGCGAACTGCAACGCCGTATTGCCGCAAAGTGCACGGGCATTTACTGGTGCTCCATGTTCAAGTAAACATGTTACCACTTCCTTGTGGCCCTTGTACGCTGCGATCATGAGGCACGTGTTTTCAAACTTATTGGCAATATTGTAATCCGCCTTATGGTCAAGCAGCAACTTAACCATCTCAACTTTGCCATCAAAACAGGCTGCCCTTAGCGGTGTTGATCGGCTTCCTGTGGCGTGGTTAACATCGGCTCCACATTTGATCAGCATCATCACAATAGTCATATGGTTGCCCCCCGCAGCACACCATAATGGAGTTGCACCATCGATTTTGTAGCCGTCAAACACAATTGTGCCTAACCGTGATTTTGAATTGATTAGGACATAGTAGTGTTAAATTATATACGTGGTAACTGGGAACAAATTCGAAAGTACCCGCGAGCAGAGATATCTGTCTGACCTAATGTTTCATTAAACATAAACGAATAAAATCACTAAGTACAACTATAAGTAAATTACGTAGAGAGCTTATATCAGTTCCATAAACTCTCACGTGATTTGATAGTGCACTACCAAAAAGCTTTTTTGGCAACTGTTTTACTCGTTTTTCCGTTATAATTCGCATGAAGTTATGTTAGGTGTTACAGAAAGTTTTACCTGAAGATTTCACTATTTTTCATTCGTTCATACTGACCTTCCGTCTCCATATCGACGTGGTACTCGTATATAAGAAGATCGCATATTTCAACATGGCCTTCTTTTGCAGCAACAAGTAAAGGCGCACACAATTGTGTCTCGTCCTGGTATCTGCGATTTAGTAGCTCACGCACACGCGTTTTTCCCACTTGCGTGCTTGCTTGAGCTACACGCGAAGTCAGCTGATCAAGAAGGCCTGAAATAGGCGTACCAACGTGTTAGGAACACCAGTGATATACATGTCTATTGAAATAGGTAAAATGTTCATGTCAAATTTGCCGTAGCCATTTTCAGATGAAAGATACGTACTTAATTCAAAAGACCCTACCAATCAGACAGTTTTTATGGTTATACGACGGGCATAGCATACTGCCGAGTATGCAGCATTGACAGAGGTTACGATTAAGCGGTATACTCCTGAGGTAAAAACGTCGGTTTTATAAAAATAAATTTGCAGCAGTGACTAATAGTGGTGTTTATGTCCGACAAAAATTACACTTGTTAAATGTTTCTCCTGTTAGCAGCCTCAGATGATTCACCTTCGCGGCACATGACGTATACATCACAGACAAATTGCATCTCTTCAAATTCAAGGGGCTTTGAAAAGGGCAAAGCCATTGCGAGACCATCTTCGTCCACCAATTCGTTTCCCGGTATCATAGCAGATTCCTCCTCCATACCGCGCATCATAGTGAAAAACTGAAACGTTGCAGATATTGTTAGGCGGATTCCATCATGTAGTCGTATAGAAAGTCAAGATCACTTACTAACAATTGATGGATCCTTAACAAAAACACAATGATGCCAGTCTGAAACACCTAACCGCTACATCAAGTATGGGTACGCAAACAACCCATTAAGACGCCCTCGTAATATTACAACTTTGAATGCCATTATCTTCACACTAAAAATTAAAATACAAATTATTAATGTGCTACTATTTTACGGAGTGCAACAGCAACATACTTTTAACATACTGAATGTAGAAATCTATACTTTTACATAGGCAAATATAACGATGATAGACATTAGCGTACGCAAAAGGCTTAAATGGACCTTGGGGTATGGCACTCGCCAAAGCTTCCAACATTGTAGAAAATTGTTCATCCAGTCATCCATCTTCTGTTCTGAACATAGGAATAACGTTTCTATAATGAAAGGTGTTCTGGCTGTATTGACGGTGACACTAAAGTGTCTTCGTGTCGCAAATAACTCAATCTGCCAGGGAGATAAACTACGTTATATATCAACCAAGGTAATGTAATACGCTTGATAAAATCTCATGCTTATCCTCTAGTAATTTACCATATTAATAAATTATTAATTATTTTGTTTGTATTAGTATTAGTAAATTTTACTTCAGGTAATTGAAAGTTTAGAGCATGGAAACAGAACTGCCTCTTTCCATATCTTGAATTTGTTCTAAAACTCACGAGTGCTAACCGCTATTGCGGACTTGCATAGATAGTCAAACTCGGCCCAGAGAATAGGGCACTTGCACTACAAGAGATACGTCTGCATATATACTACCAGGCAGCGAGCGAAAAAAAGGAAAAATACTTTATTCACCATCATGATCACCGGGTACTACCTTTTAAAACATATCTAGCCGCTTACATGTGTACTTATGCCACACAAGATTAGTCCACGCTGTTCACGTTAATGCGTAGGAAAAGAAAAGTTTTGATTGGGCCAGTATTGGCATTTGATCTGTCCGCATGTAATACTGACTTAAAATCATTCCGGGTAAAACAATAATCGCAAATGATTTTATAGATATCCTGAGTGTGTGGATGCTTCCCGTAGGTGCGCGATAATTAATTCTCAATTCGATTAATGGTCAGTTCGCTTGGCCCTTTCGAGATTCTCGACAGCAACCTGTTAGCATCAGATCTAGCTAAAAAATAGAATACTCAAAAAATATTTAACATTGGCGCTTGTAAGAGATTCAATTTATGAACAGTTTCCTTGTAATTTCAATACGCATATTCACGACTCGATTAACTGATTGACTAAGCTAGCTGCCGCTATTGATGATGATTCTAATGGAAAGCTTTGGAAAATGCGACAATCGGCGCTACAGTCAGCACATACATATCATAAGAGTACTGAATTAAGCAAAGCCAGCGGCTACTCGCAAATTCGAAAATGAGACAATCACCACCTTCTAACGTGAGTTTTAAAATTAGTTTCTTGCTGTATTAACAAAGCCGATACATTCTTTTTATCTATTAATAGTAACAGTTTGTCGCATATTTTGAAAACCATTATTTTCGTAACTTTAATCTGAATCCGTTCCCACCGTCACACAGGTACGTATTAGATGGTTCATCAATTCGGTCTCAGTTGACAAGAACATCTGAAGTAATCTAATGCGCTTCTAGCGTAATACACTTTCTCACAACTGTTTTTACTCGCCTCAATAAGCCGTACTATAATATATGGTCTCTTCAAGCCGCTGCCTCCATTCACAGTGAAGTGCTGAACATCTATCTTTAGTTGAGATTAATTGAACTACAAATCGCCATTTACACAAACGCATTGACTAGCCTAGGCACTAACACTGATACCGATACTCGTTTATTTCTGTGAATGCGCAAGTTCACGATTATCCCGCTTTTATGGTCGTAGAATGTATATATTCGTTATGATGATGACAGCCTTATGCATGATTAAAATTTATGCCCGACAGAACTAAGCCTCATCGACGACCTGATAAATTGATCGCGTCACATTTTACTAAGCTTATATAATGCACGGTAAATAGGTGCCATTGTAACATTAACTTGTTTTATCGTCGACTTAGTAAACACCGCGACACCAATCAGTTATTGTGACTCCGAAGGCCCTAGAAGAATCAGCCAGCTGAATTCAACGTGTCTGCACAGTTTAGAAACAAGACGAACAAGCGAACGAATGATAAAATACGTCTAACTAAGTTTTATTCTGATTGGCAGTTTTGCCTATTGTGAGGGCAAAGCCCTTTTAGTTGATTTAGTCATGATGATGAACAAGCCACTAAAAGGTAAACTTTATGAACTGTGATGCACCCTCTGCGAAAGCTGAGAACTCAGTCGTGGCTGTACGTAGAAGGAAAGGAATTGACTCTATATATATATATATATATATATATATATATATATGGGGAAAGAGAGAAAGAAGGAGAGGGGGGCCATGTCAGGTTATTAAATAACAGGCCACTACTTGTTAGGTTGGCCTCCACTAATCCGTTGGCAGTATCTATAGTCGACTAGGTAGACTGTACGTAATGAACGCACTCACCACACGGAAGAGCAAGTCTACCATGACTCGGGTGGATTTCCGCCCGGCTCACGAAAACTTGACCTACCAACCGAAAATAATAACGCGACACCAACCACTAATAAAACTAATGAGAAGAGTACAGCAGGTTACACAAGGTGAATGTACTACGACTACCACGGTAAACAGGTTACATGTAGTAACATACAGAGAACAGATACACGGTACAGACTTAAGACAGCGACAATCCCCGACCGTTGATGCCGATCGTCTTCCTACTCTAAAGGAAAGAAAATGTCTTGCTCAAGTATCATATTGTCACGACAGTATAGTATAACTGAGCACTACGCCACCCGGCCTCTCTTCGTCCACACGAACAAGCTTTAAACTGACTGCATTTTAACTTTAGACTATGCGTCTGAAAAGACACAACACACAGATCGAGTTCTGCGTACTAATAGAGCCATGTACTTACAGTCAAAACAACAGTAGCAAGCGGATAGCTTTGGTCGACGCTAACACCGTGATAGCTGCACTAGGGTTGGTAAGCTAGCATTCAGGCCCTAGGGACTTGTCAAGCAACTGTACACTCGTCGTCCCACCGATCACTGTCTAGTAATTGCATTGTGGCGGTATGTTTTGTCCTTGTGACTCAACCCTTTCACCTCTATGCGTTTCATTCAACGGCGCAACTCAGTTTGCTCGTTGCTGACTCGGTTTCAAGTGTCGAACTCCGGAGCAGCCGACAATCGACAGCAACAAGCAGGACAACCTCAATGATCAGTCAAGTTTAAAGGTAATACATAGAGATACACGTTCTTTCTTACCTAGTAAAAAGACACAAAACACCTGCTCCTCTTCGTGGAAGTGCGGATACTGCTGTTGCTGCTGCGGATGACAGGAATCGTGCACACAGCTGATCCGTTGCCACACCGTCACGATGAAAAAACTAGTCGGTAAAACTATAAAATTCAATGAAAACATTCGAAGGAGGACAGAAGGGTTGCAAGACCGTTTTCGATTTCCACACTCATATTACCGCGAGTCCCAGCTTGCTAGACTAAAGCGGGGCGGAATAACGCTTCGCTGATATCTGCCAGCTTGGGGTACAACAACACTACTTGTGTTGTACGACAGCACTGTATCGTTTCTTTCCTGTGTATTAAGGGACTATTTGGCTTCCGCGTGGTATGGTCTGCATACAACATAGAATCGGGGGCTCCTGGCGGGATCTAACTAGCTAGCTGACTACTGACAGAGGTAAAGGACAGATTTAGAGTAGATGGTGGTAAATCTGTGATCATCACACAACGTTCACAGGAAGTCTACAGGCAAATTGCGACGCGACACGTGAAAACGACAGACAAAATGATTGAACCGTTATAGCAGGTTCACGGCAACCCAATGCAAGTAGCAACGGTAAACTTGCATAAGATAACCAAACATGCCAGCTGTGCTTCTTTGTATCGCGGCCAGGTTGGTTCGCAGAAGAATCAGGGGTGAATAGCAGACAACGTTAGCCGTCGAAACCCTATTGTTTTTGATATTGTGAACCTGATCTCCCGTAAACACGACATTGGGCTAGCTATATCTCTTTACGATCTGTGCATGTATGTACATGCTTTCCTCTAAATAACGGTTCATGGAATGTGCGGAAATGCTTTATTCAATCTCATCCATTAATTCAATCTCAAACATTCGGAAATGTGCCAATGACTCCAACGATCGTAGAATGAATGACTGAGAGAACTTGGACACTTCTATGTTTTGAGTATTGATTTCTATTTCCCTAATTCTTCTTATTCTTTACCAAACGGACGCATTGCTTTAATGTTCGGACACTAAACGACGGAACCGAGTTCTAAACTTCGGTGTAAAGGCGCTGCCAGCGCAAGTATCGGTTTCTATTACCAAACAACTTTAGTTTACAATGTTTTCACATAAATTGCAAGCACTGAATTACCCGAATAGGGCTTGTTTTAATGCACAAGGTCAGTGTTCATAAAATCGGTAAATAATCCGCAACTTAATATTCATTACTAGTGTTAACCTATAAAATAAAGATGTATGTGCAAACATGTATACTCTAAATGATAATGGCCGTCGCTTTAAGACTAGGTTATCTCTTAAGCAAAACGCATTCTTGAAATACATTGGATAAGATGTTGCAAGTTTTACCTTACTTGACATTTGTGGAACGTACCATGGAAAAGATGGAAAGGATTCTAGCACTTAAAATAGCATTCCTTCAAGAGAATTACGTCACCTTAGCTTCTGTTTTGATAGTAAACGACACGGTGCAAGCAAAGATTAAAAGAACGGAAAGTCTTATTACGGATTATGAAAACTGAATTTTAATAAATTAAATAAGATCTATATCACATATCGCACTTCGCGGGTGATAAAGCTAGAGCTAATAGCAGTCAAAAATTGGGTTATCAGTCGATCGTTGATATCGTATTCTTTGCAAACCAGATAATTCTGATCTCCGGGAACTTGTCATATGGCTGGAACAAATGAAGATTCGGCAGTATAAACCAGAAGATCGTGGAGTGTTGCTAAATACGCCGCTACCTCAATGGCTTGAAGTATACGCTGGTTATCTACGGGACGCAGAGTGTCCATTCAAAGAAGATGAACTTACAGAGTGCGTCGATTGGTTGCTGGGTCATGCCGTGAGATTGGAATATGCTGACGATGGTAACTATTGAACATCATAATATGTCAGTGTCTGGGTAAATAGTATCAATGACTGTGTTGGCGACTGTAATTTGATTGTATTGTACTGTAGACAATACAACTATCAGTTGTTAAAATATTGCATTCTTGAGCTAAATTAAATGAAACACTGTGCTTCTTTGAATAAATGCCTTTCAGTAACGAAATATTCTGAGAATTCCGCAGAAAATGTGCAGCAACGCTGGAAACATGACGACGAAAATCCGCTCGACAAACTCAATTGTAAGTTGTAAACAACGTTAAATTCGAACAACCCTTTCAGTTTTTGTTATGCAAAAATCAACAACTATCGATAATGCGATCTCATTGATAACACTATATTCGAAACAAAGGCAGTAACACAGATACTTTAACGTAGGGTTTAGAATATCTGTATGTTGCAGAAGATGCTTAGTTTTTGAATTTATATAGGTGCTATGTACTAAGATATATCCTCGTTAAAATTTCTACCTGCGAGATGTGGCAACACAAGATCTGGACTAAACCGCGTTGAGAATTATTTTACTATGCTTATTGTTCGTTTATTTTAGTCATACAATTTGCACGCGTATACTAAGACGCGCATTTGTAACTACTAGTCTTTCTGGTTTTTACCCGATCCTAACTAGATTGTAGTGCGGAGTTCAAAGAAGGGGTCAATAAACTGGCAGATCTGCTAAACATCCAGGCACATCCTACAGACGCCCGCATCACTTTTAGGGCAGTATCCAAATATGCCGAGAAATATTTGTTGAACGCGCAAAAGGGTCCCAAAAAGGAAGGCGAACCGACGCCATTGCACAACGTCGACCTTGGCTTCGATTTAAAAGGTAAAGTTGTACTTTTCAATAATCATAGTTAGTTCTCCGATTTTTTGTACTGTTGTTGTGTTCACTGGCTCATAGAAGGGCGATGAGCTGCTAAACGCTTTCGCCAATGATCAGTGAATTTATTTGTAACAAAAAAATCATACACTCTGAATATATACGAATCATACACTCCGCTTCTACAGCTGCGAGCAAAATCGCAAATATTTAAGATGTACGCCTTTTTGCAAACCTACATGAAACGTAATACCGAAACCGAGTCGCTGCAAAGATCCGGCCTATAAGGTAGTGTCCTTTCCCTGTCCTCCAGATTTCATCAACTCTTTTAACTTGGTTGTTACTACTCGGAATTGAATATTGACAACAAAAGTGAGCTCGTAGGGTATGTAACGAAATCTTGAAGTTTAGCATAAAGACGATCTTAAGATGTAGCATATATTTTTCTTGTCAGGCCACACAAAACCGTAATTGTTACAAAGCGGATTCATGCGTCATCCATTTCATCCACGAAGCATCGTAAATTTAATTACCTAGGATCTTTTCCAGTTTAGTACATTTTGGTATTTCACGTCTAGTTCCGCTGTTCAGCATTGCTTCAGATGGCGGCTTATTTCAGCATAATCGTTTTCTAACGTATTTTGCGGCAACTGCATTGTTTACATGATACTTTACTGCCGCTTGCTTCTGAGGGCTCGAGGAATGGAGATCAAGCGCATATCTGATGTCAACTTTCTCGTTAGTCCCGCGGTGACAAAATTCAAACCGATACCAGGAGAGGGAACTCACAGTACATCAAAGAGGAAGTAGTGGGTGTTTCGATTCAAATGATGGCCTAGATACATGGATACGTGTTATTAGCTTGTTGGGTGACTATTTAGCCTAGCCACGGGCATTGAGCCCACAAATTTACTTTTATTCAGCTCCACGCAGCATGTTTCTTAGAATAGTGCTCTAAAACAAAGAAGGGAGTCCGAGATCGGGTCGTCGACTGTTTCGCGTTCAAAAATGAAAGTTTTCTTGCGATGGGATTCAAGTGCCATTCGAACGATGCGCGATGATTATCGAGTCCTTTTTGTCTTCATCAATATTTATTTATGTTTTAAAAAGTTAATAAAAAAATAAAATTACTTACAGGTCAGCGAAGAATGAGAAACGTACAAACCATTTAAGAATCGCTTAAGGAAATAGATGTCTGTGTCCATCTATGTCTTACACACACTAATTTTTACCGGTTTATGTAGAATAATCTTGAGAGTATCATACTGGTTTTACTCATTTGACTTAGAGATCCAGCCTCTGGCTGCAAACAGTTTGATTTAATACTGACAAAAACAGGAATTCATAATTTGCGTCTGCTTAGCTAACTCAATGCAGTCGATTTTAGACAACGGTGCGAACCAGGCAGCGCGAGTGCTCCGACTTCTATTTGTCCAGGATATTCGAGAACTGCAGACAAGAATTAATGAAGCAATTGTCGCCGTGCAGAAAATTACCGCGAATCCCAAAACGGATACCTCACTCGGAAAGGTCGGACGATGAAGTTAAAACGTGATTGGTTTGAAAAGGTTGACATTTCGCAGCCAAACTCTACTAGAACCAAACATCTGAGGAGTGGACTTGAATTAAACACTACAAGAATTCATTTCAATAAGACCTTTGCTTTCATTATATGTCATGAAATATCTTATATTATTTAGTAAAATTATGACCAAGGCATTCTTTCCGTAGAGATAAACGAAGCAGGGACATCTATGCTCGAATAAAGGGTACACAATTTTTCTTATTTAAACTAAATGGGTCTTTAATTCTGATAGAAAAAAAAAACTGTTTCTTTATAGATTATTATTGTTTCCTATGATTTAGATAGAGAATAACCGTTTATTGTGCATATGCAACGACTAATGAAAGGATTAATACTGCAAAAAAACCGTGCTTTTCTATTTAGCAAGCAAAAATCAAAGTTCAGCATTATAGCGATATATGATTCTAAAATGTACAAATCTTTATACCTGTCGTCTTACTCGCTCTTTAGAGTCATATTTTATATACTTTCTAGACGGATGAATTATCAATTCTTAGTTCTGTATCTGAAAACGTGTGGGCAAATGCTTACAGTAAAAGTATTTAGAGTGAACTAGCATTGTCTCGCAGAACAAAATGGGATAAACAGTTAACAGATTAACCAATTTTTACGATTATATAATATAACCGTAGGCTCTTCTCTTATGTTCATATCCACGCAGATAACTTGCTTATAATTTTTCAACAATAGTACTCATTAGTATTATTATGCTATTAAAGCTTGAAGGCGCATACGTTCTGATTGTACTGTCTATGTATTAATTGAAAAAAGAATACTATGAAGTTCGTTTACACATTGTTTGATTTTGCTTCATGAATTTCTGAACAATAGTAAATGAAAAACTGGCCTTGTAAAAGTTCTCGCGTAAACCGGTTGAATTTACTTCAGTAGTGATGTGTTCAGAAAGAAAAATATCCTGTAGTGTTGAATCTTAATGCTCAGCGGTCAATTTTTGCTCCTCGAAGGCCACAGCGCTCCGAAAATTCATGGAAGAATAGTGAAGACACCAGGCAAAATGGCCTTCCGCAAAAGCATAGTATCTGAATGATACGAACGTTCCAAGAACAAAGACTGGACTGTTGAAAGCCAGCGAGGAAATAATCAGATGCCGGGGTTCGAAGGAAAATAATGCATTGGCGCAATAGAAAAGGTTTTTCATGAAAGCAAAGCTTGGTTCTTACAATCATGTAAGGAGAAACAAGAAAGTGGTGTTACTCTAAGGACAATTTGATGTCAGTATCGAATAGGTTCGGATGTAAAATGATGCTAGTACTTGCAATGAATCTGCATGTTTGTCTCGAGTACCTCAACTTGCGGATCATTGACATGACAATCGAAATCATGTAATCTGGTTATAAGATGACCACAGCGCCATGCCTCAGGTACTTCATGAATTAGAAGTGGAGTATATAACTTCAACTCCCTTCTATCTGAGCTAAGTCTGTGCGATTACGAGGCTTTGCATACCCTAAAAAGAATAACTGGTGGGCAAGCATATCCCACTCTTGACGTACTTCTAGAGGTCATAGATAAATTATGTATGCGAGACACGAATATAAGGTAGATGCCTGTCTAGAAACTACCAGAGCGTTTAAGCAACTGAGTCTCGAAGTCATGTCGAGGGATCCATTTATGACATCCTCCTGAGTAGGCTGACAAGATAATCAGCTACAAAATATGCTGCATTTGTGAGCTCAATGTATATAACATCAACGCGATAAATTTATAGCTGTATAATCTGGTAAAGCATTTACCTTTAAAAATAGAATACTCATATGTTCGTCAAATATACAATAATTAAAAATAACAAAGGATTTATTGATCACAATAATTTTCATCACAGAAGCGTATGCTGTCCCTTTGTTCCTTCGTTCAGGTTGTCCTCGTTGGCTTTCCGTTTTGCTTTGTCTCGTTCATGTTGCATTGTCGGCATCTGTGGTGTAACGCCTTACATCGGACATGGTCTTCGTCATTTTTTCTTTTTCGATTCTGCATACATCAGTTGTAAGTTTTTTTTTCTATGTTTCAGACATCAACCAGACGTGCTGAACCAATTAGACGTGAACGGCCCAAATCTGCATTTTAGACCGTTAAATGGCGTCTCCTACACGAGACTTGAATGATTAATGTATATGCAAAATGAATATATACATAGATTTTTCGGTCACGTAGTCATCGTGATTCTACTCTATCCCATCCAATATATTCATTTATAAATTTTGCAGCATTTGCTTAGTAATGGCAACATTGACGCGTATTTTCGTCGTTCATTATACCGAATCAACAAGCGCTTAGTCAAGACAGTCACATCGATCAATTATTCTGCCGGTTCGGCAAACGGTCAATCGATCAATTAACTTTGTCAGTCAATCGAACAACTCAGTCAGTCAGACAAATCGCTAGTAATTCTCCATCGGATCAGCTCTGAGATCTGACAACAACGAACTGAACGTGCCTAGGCGTTCAGTTTGTCGATGTTTCACATGTATGCGTCCAGCACAGGTCCTCACTGTAGTCGTGGCATTCTCTAGATCTAAATGTATGGTTGCAGGCAGCACATGAGATTATATACGACATTCTTTTCTGCTTTGTATTACTATACGTACTATATATTTATGTAAACTCTGAAAAGCTTGGCACTTGGATTTTGATGTTCGTTACAAAGGGTCGGTAGCATATATATTGTTAATTAGTTCACGCCTAGCTTCTTATATGATAACGAGTAAGTTGCAGCGGCTGCCCATGATAAGATGAAGCTGAATCCTCGATGCTCATTAACCACTTGAACAAAATAGAAATTCGTACAAGAATCACATAAGATATTTGTTATCATGATCAAAATATTGTGTCCTTACTGCTATTGCTGTTACAATGCTGTGCTGCCTGCCTTCATCGGTTTTCTATTATATATCAGCCCAGAGCCGAAATCCGCTTAACAGTTTTCTCGTTGGTATGTATACATCTTTAAAAATGTCCATCTCAAATAGTTTGCTGCCTGAGATGATCGTTTTCTTGGATTAGTCGACGATTTTCTGCTTGTAGCTTTGAGATCTCCTGCTGGAAGACAGTGATCTTAGCAATATCTTCCTCTGTTGCCTGCACCTCCATAGGTTGATCGCTTTCTTCAGCCTTCTTAACGGCTTTTAATTCCTCTTCGAGCTCATCGATTCGCGCTTCAAGTAACAGGTATTCGTGCACGAGCTCCGGTTTGCTCATCGCGTGAAGTCGCTCCGAGGCCACGGAGTCATATTCGGCGCTAAATTGCGCCTGCAAATACTCCTCGTCATCCTCATATGATGAGGATTGGTAGTCTTCGCCGTAAGAATCCATCTGTATATGTAATGACACCAAGAGAAATCAGAAACTATGACTGTGGTTCGAATAAAGAGATTCGATCAAGGAAGTAATGACCTAACGTTCATACAATTTCTGCCCATATAGGCTAACACTTACGTAAGCGCACGTAAGGACAAGCAAGTAATAATCCTATATCTGTAATCTATGTATGCTACGCCGGCTACCAAATTGCTCCGACCATAATGCACAATTTCTCTCGTACAGCTAGCACCATATGAATATTAAAAATTAAGTAAATTAAGAATTACTTTTTAAAAGTTTAATTCACATTTTATTCAATTCAACAATACTATAATGAGTACATTAGTGGTAATTTACTTGTTCACAAAATTTTCTAAACTTCAACGTACGTCTAGTCTCTATCTGCGGCTTACCAACATACTGCAAAATGAATCGAATTTATCCTGCAACTTTGACAATGCATATACGTTTTTTATCTCTTTTGTTCAATTTTAGTAATTTGACAATCGTACAAATCGCTGCTGTGTTTTCCAGAAACGTCTGTTTTGCGCCTTCTATAGTATAATTATGGTAAATTTTTCCATACTTTAGTTTTCTTTCAGTTATTTAGCTTTTAGTGCTTCCGATAAACTTCCCACATTTACCCTTTATCTTTGCACCACACATGTACCTTTGTGGAACATGCTTGTTTCGGTGACTGAAAACTGCGTGTAGGTAGCCTTTGACCACTCGAAATACCATCAGCAATGGCAGTATCACAGCAGCATTCGAGCAACACCAAACACCTTTTGTAAACTTGTAGATCCTGTTTAGTTGATTGGAGCACCATCGTCATCGTTATCGAAGCAGAAGCCAAGCAGACGATGGCAGCAGTGACGCGCACGCAGCCTGTTGAAGTCAACCAGCTTCCGTTTGCGTTGCAAACCCCACCGCAGCAGATGTACCGATTGTTAGTAGTGCGCATGCAACCACAACGGTGGTCACCAAACCAGTCAAGCGGGCTTGGCGCCGATTCACGCATCATTCCCACATATCTTAATACATTCCCGTGTTTTCCCGTGTGTCACGACAAACAAGCGACCGCCTGATCCAGTTGAATATGCTGTTAGCCATATGTACGTATCAACATATCAGCTTAGATCTACCTAACTGAATGTCTATTACATAGACACGCGCCAATAAACAGGACACGTAACCAAAAGGGACACTACACGGATTGGTTATATGCCATCGATGTACTGATTATCTAAGCTTTCTAAACAGTATATGAGGCCAGGGGGTTACAGTGAGCAACAATATGGGATGGACACTGACTCAAATGCAGTCACAAGATCTTTAAAGAGATTCCATAGCACGAAAATACAGCGTATTTTCGTATGTTTACAATTGACCGCGTGCCAACCTAAGCGGTTAAAGAATTCGATTCCTACTCACTTCCACTCGAATTCTGTTCAGCTGATTAGAAATTCTGTACACATTTGAGAGCATGCTGAAGTTCGCACTGGGTCTGCTTAGTCTTTGTCATAGATCATCCTGTGCACTTTGTCGGCCTTCCACTAACAACCTGGTGCTTTTAGCTGTCGTATACTATACTAGTTATCAACACTTCCTCGAGCCATCCCTTTCCTAAGTCTCTTACCCTTACCCCTTCTAAACGCACATGGGATGTTACCCTTCTAATTTGTCTTCCATCCCACTCATGGTTCTACGATTTGACACAATGTGCAGTCTTTCTGCTCACAATCGTCCTTACTCCGTTATTATGGTATAAAGCTCTATTGATCGTTATTTACGTGCCTAATTTTTATTTAGTAGCTACTATAGGTAGTAGCACAGTTATTACCCTCCTTTGGTAGTTCTCGCTTTCCTTTCTTGCATCCACCTTATCGACTTTCCCCTTTATTGTTTTCGCTCCACAATGACACGCAATAGAGAAATAGAAATCAACCGTTATCTGTCTTTCGGAAGTATTTTTACCTAATCTATATTAATACAACAAAAAAGGGCGTTGAACGAGTGTGCGTTATTAAAAGTTATACGGCCTACGGCCAATGTTTGTGCTAACTTACCGAGTTAAAGCTGTCACCTCTCCGACGGTGATGGCGATGTTGTCGGGGCTGCGTTAGTTGTTTCTCGTCCAGTTCGGCCTTGTGCTCCTCCATGAGGAACTGAGTCGTGTTGTAAGGCGCGACTGGTTGACCCAGTGACTGTCGTCGAACGGCTGCGCGCCGTCGACGGGCCTCCTCGCGGCGTTCCGCCCACGAGCTGGCTGATGAGTTTGACCTAAACAACGACATCAACAAGGATACCAAACAAAAACAACAACAGTGGTATGATTATAGCAGCGTTATCACGTGTTCAAGTAGCTTGGAATATGGTCACATTTTCTTATACCTAGCTCTCACTACTGCTTAAGTCAATAATAAACAAAGGCTGCTGTAAAACAAAAGGACTAGAAAATTCAAAATAATATCCAGAACATAAGAAAATAAATAAAAAATATTTTTATAATTTTCTAAGGGCCCTGCGATAGTTCCTGCAATGTGGAGAGCTATAACTTGCAGCACTGCTTCTAATTATAACGCTGAGAAGTCAATTAAGACTTCTCCGCATTATGATTGCAAAAATACAATGGATAGGTTTACCCTAAATGTACTGTTATTCCTTCTAAAATACATTTGGAATCTCTACATATAGTTTATTCCATTATTGAAGTTGGTAGGATGGTCGTTCGTCGAAGACAACGGAAACATCAATGCTTTAGAGACTGATCTATGCACAAGCCAGCTCGCACTGACATCGACAGTGATGTATTGATTACAGAGGTCTCTCTACTAAGACTTTGAAATTTAAAAAATTGACGATAAAGCACTGCATGCACGAGATTTGAATTCACTTTAATTAAGCAGACGCCTCCATTTTGATCACTTAGCGCATGCATAAGTTGATTGGATTTAGTCTTCAGCTAAGTTAATCTACCAGACTTATAAAAATAAAGGCAACCCTTAAGGGTCCCAGCATGACTGGACACGATTGTACCATCACTGCAACAAAATTAGAGCACTCAGTAATGGAAATCAGCTGAACGGATCAGCTGATAGTAAGCAAAGAACAGCTGATTTGAATAACTTCAACTAACGTCATGCACTATGGAGACTAAACTGTACATCAGTAGTATTATGTACCTTTTGAAAAAGTTAACTCTCTTCCGTCGTCGAAAAAACTTTTTCTTGCCATTAAGAATGGATTCTCGGTGTTCTATTAGAACTCCGCTTCCGCTTTGAACGTCGGCTTCCGGTACAGCAACAGCCATTTTTAAACCATCGTGTGGCGCGCTCTCTGCCTGCATCGGACTGTCGCCCTCCATGTCGCAAATGAAGCCCGTCGAGTTCCCGAAGTTCTCCAAATCGTTGCACTGTTGCTAAACCGGTAACAATTAGCAATGCTTGCTAATGGTCAAGTAACTGTAGTTCGTAACAGGGCACACATAGGGCTGGCCCTGACCTCCAGTTTGAGTTTGCTTCTGCTGCTTGTTGCTAAGCCTAGTATCCGTCCCACTCGAGTCGAACACGGACCCCAGAGACACCAACATCCAAACATCTAACAAACGAATGCGCACTTCTCTCTCCTGGCTAGTGCTTTTACCCGGGGCCGCGTCACCAACAGCAGCGCCACCTATAATTTAGGTCCCAAGGGTGGAAATTTACCTCATTTACGCTCGACATTCACACTGTATAACATCGCTGCTTTCGACAAATATTCATACGGAGACCATTTTAATGGATCTTAAGCTTATTCTAAGCTTAAGTGTCAAAAACTGATTAAAAATAATCCGTCCAAAAACAGGTTACAAGCAAGCAGGTAAAATACAACGTTTATCATATGACCATGCATAGATCACGCAAAAAATCATGTTTATTCTGTTCATTTGTGTTGAATTTGTTAAATAAGATCAAAATTTTGTATATAAAATATATAGAATATACTTAATAAGCAGATTTAGACTAATTTGATGTCGACGCATGTCATCAACCCGTCTACTTGCCATCGAATAAAAGCTTACTGATAACCTTATTCCGACATCGAAAATATTCTGCGTAAGGCGCGCAACAAGAGACTACGCCCGTTTGGTGATTTTCGTCGTTGATTGTTATAGTCGTGTTTGTATCTCAGTACGTGGATAACTGTCAAGGCTCCACCTCAAACAATTCAACGTGTTGCTGCCACCCGTGCATCCGGAAAGTCATAACAGTTCGGGTTGAAGCTTGTTCCATTTTTCCCGCAGGGTGATCGTTCAGTCGGCAGCAACTCCTGACACGTAGCGTGCACATGGTCTAATTTTCGATGAAGTATGGCATTTTTAATCAACTGTGATTTAGAAAATCTTCAGATCAGCTCTGAGTACAATTAGCCGGAGGGGATTTGTGGTAAAATTCAGATTCTATTGAACATTATTGGCTCCAGGTCAGTCGTATATAGTGTCAGATTACTAACAAAGCGAAAGGGTCGCAGAACATACGCATGCCATTTCCGTTAGTTGGCACGCGAAAAGTTTGGCCTTTACGGACGAGCGCGCGAGAAAGGCGGCCGTATTTGAATAAATTGATATGGAGCGTATTATTCTCTCTGTGTTTCCCTACGAAGAGGTTTGCGCCGCCGAAGGGCAGCGCCATTCACGAGAAGATTCATTATAGCCATCATAGCAGATATTACAGTTGGTTCACATTAGTTGATCAACTCAGGAGTTGAATTATGTCTCAATGTGTCTTATACTGATAGACCCAACGATAATCTATTTCTAAACTAAATGTGTGATCTAGTACATTTCACCATGCTCTTTATATTGTTTGTTGTAATATTAAATACTTGTATATACCACGTACAGCTGTTTTTCGATTTCCAATCCACTTTGTTTCTATATTATATTTAAGCTAATGAATACTTCATAAGAAATAATTAGGGTCCTAGATCGAAATGTTATCGGCTAGTATTATCTAATTAGCACCGATTGCGGAATGAAATTTGTTGATGAAATATTAATAAACGAATACCTTGAATTGATGTTGACTTCCTACAGAAATCTATCTAAGAAGCATATATTTTTTTTATAAATAATAATACTGTTTATATAATTAATAAATCAATAATAGGCAATGTATATAACCATTGCGCAGAGACTTACAACGAAATTCTATTTTACGTCGCCGTTTCTCTCTTATATTCTATACTATTAATATTGTGTTAGGTATAAACGGGACAGTTCCACCTTTCGTTGTAAATACACGCGTCTATTTGTTGTCGTTCGTTTTTCATAAAAAAGAAAAAACACTTTACCAATCCACTAATTGCAACACTAACGAGGGTCGTCGGGGGAGCGACCGGAGATGCACGGTCGACTTTATTTTAGATCTATCTGAATCTAAACGTTATGGGTTCTTTATCATCGTGTCTGTGTATACACGAAGCTGTTTGCACATCTGTTTGTGCCTCTGGGCGGTAAAACCATGGTAGGAAAAACACTAAAAACAGCCGTAGGATCCAGTGCTAGGCTCAGCCGTAGCAATTAGCTTCGTTCGAGCTAATATATAACTAGGCCACCTAGTACCTCGCAGGTATGTAATACATATTAACACATTAAGTTCTGTTCGGCAGATTGCAGAAAGATATGTAGGGTCTGATCTTGACAAATCTTTATTGTTTAACGTGTTTATGCATCCGTGGCGGGTCATCGAAGCTCTCTGATCAGTCCGTTGCTTAAATAGAATTAGATAATAGTTGCTTTTGCTCTATTTATCGTCGGTTAATGTTATAGCACGCAGCTAGGATTTATAAATACCGAGAGGAAAAGAGGCCAACGGCTAATGTTATTATAACACGAACCTAGGATATATAAATACCGAGAGGAAAAGAGGCCAACGAAAACGGAAAGTTTTGACTTATCTAGAAGCTTCTTATCTGTATAATAAAAAATAAAGCATAATAATTTTGCTGACCTGGGCATACAATAGCCAAGTCGCTCCTCGACGTAATCGTATCAAAGGGCTCACTGCTGTTGCACTTGATTCCCTTTCCGAATCGGGTGTTCAAGTCGACGAGCAGACGACGGCAACGAGAGAAAGGGGACGGTGGTCGTTTCCGGCAGTCAACGGTCTTTCTCATCAAAACAAAATACATATCGCCTAAAAATAAAACTACGACAATGTGTTTTCAAGTTTACCAGGCAATTACGTTATCCACTGCGCTCTCACGGGGGCAAGGCGGCTGAAACTTGGCAAAGTTTTGAGTTGCAGTTCGTGTAGCCGTTCCTGAGGTATTCTCATGGTACGCTTAACAAGGAAAGCGCGCACGCTGATGCACTTTTAACGTGATCAAACTTCGCGCAGGTGATGCCGGCCTCAGGTAGGACAGTGTCCTCACTTCTCGTTCTTCGGAATGAACGAACTTGAAATGATTAAGCCCTCTTATAGTTTGCATTCATGCTGGTGTGCTGGTAACATTGCGCATGGTACGCTTCTTCTGAACATGGTAGGTTTTATAAACATAATGTGTGTACAGTTACTTTCGCTTTGGTAAAATACATTCCTAGAAAGTGCCGGAGGCGGGCACCTGATAACCGATTATTCAATGGCAGACACGACAGCCGTGAGCTTTGTTGTAATTACACGAGCGGGACTTGGTACTCATAGTCCAATAATATACGGGGCATTGAACTAAAATAGACCGAGACAAAATCAAACCTCCCGTGAGTTTTCTGAAATGAGGAGAAATAGTTATTTCGTCTTAAAGTATTCAGAACAAACGTAAAAATACCGCGCTTTCAGATCCGAAAAATAATATTAAAATTGCAATCGACATGTTTGTATTCATCCATGATCAGGTTATCCCAACTGAAATTAAATCTAAATTAACGAAAATTGACAGAGACCTTGATTGAACACAGGGGAAGCGGGAGAGTGATAAGAAGAACGACCTGACAATTAACTAAATTGAACAATTGTACAAACGACCTGATAATTAATTAAATTGAACAATTGTACAAACGACCTGATAATTAATTAAATTGAACAATTGTACAAAAGTGCGTTCTTAAATTATCGGTGGCTTACGGCTTGTAGAGTTTATTAAAATGCAACATTGCAAACCTAATATAAAAAAAAGATAGTTTGATGCTATCGGGCTTTGTTGCAACATATTATTAGCCTCTAGAGAGATTCGATCCGAAAACACAGATACAAAAAGAGACATCTATTTTGAAAAATACGGGTACTTTATAGTGATGATATATATTACACGGAATAATAATTTCCGGCCAGGACTCATGACACTTGGTGTTAGGTTGTTAGTTTTTAATGTTTCACAATAATAATATTTGTGCGTGATAGCAGACAATTTCCTTATTGAAACGTTGATTGAAAAACACGTATTAGTCAGGTTTTCGTTGGCTTTAATTTGAATTTCAGAGATGGCTAAGCCTAGAAAAGCAAAGCAGTGCTTGCCCCAGGCAGGAGGGGGAGGAGGCCAAAGTAAACGAAGACCGGCCTCATCTTCGCAGCTGCTCGAAGATTCGCACGATCGGATAGAAAAAGGTTTGAAAAAGACAGAACAATCCTCCTACAAGAACAGGGTTGTTACCTGCCTCGCACTGCTCTGTGGGGCTCTCAACTCCTACAACGGTTACACGCTGTTTGAGAACGATCGTTATTTTAGCCATCTGTCAAATTTGGAAAGGGAGATGACGTTCCGTACTGAAATGGGTCTCTACTATTCATACTACAAGACAGTTGTAAATGCTCCAAACTTGCCTACGGGCATAGCAAAACTTGTGGTTAACAACGTGACTGAATATCCGTCAAATATCAACACACTAAAACGTTTCAATCTGTATCCTGAGCTCGTTATCGGGCTTGGGTATAGGATATTTAGCAAGCTCGCCGCATATCTTGGGGTCCAAACAAAAAACTGTTGGATGATCGATCGCAAAGAGCTCCCAGCGGTGGAAAGTTGCACCGGTCTTGGTGATTTAGCTATTTACTATGTCGTATCGGTGTATGCGTGGAATGCAGTAACCGGCATCGCTCTCGTCGGCTTGGCATATGTGGTAAGTGGGTCAGTGCTGGGTGCCATCCTCACTTCAGTTGTGTACTTTTGCAATTACAACGAGTCCACCCGTATTCAGTGGACTCCACCACTGCGTGAAAGTTTCGCATATCCATTTCTGCTCTTTCATATGTTTCAAACGACGCGTTTATTACGTGCTCCTGTCGGGTTGCTGCCAAGCGTAGCTTACGTTGTCACAACAACCTGTTCTCTATTGTTCTGGCAGTTCTCACAGTTCGCCTTACTTACGGAAATTTGCTCACTTTTTGCCGTGTACAGCATTCACAGCCGAATTCACTGGAGTCAACTGCAATATATCGCGGCCATGCATTTTTGTTCGGTGTTCATAGCCTATATTATGCTCTTCACGAATGATATGCTCCTTACGTCAATGTACACGGCAACTGTGACTGCTACAATCATAGTCGTCAATGCTCGTCTACTGAACACGTTTAAAAAGCCTGTGCTAAAGACACTACTTCAATTGCTTTTGTTAGCGGTAATTGCTGTCGGCATCAAACTTTTCCTCTGGTTCGTGCTTCGGGTGACGGACGATAGCCATATCTGGAATATTTTACTGGCAAAACTGACCGACTACAGAGACTTTCACACAATGCTATACACGTGTGCGCCGGAATTCGATTTTCTCAAGGTCGATTATTTCAAATCTCTCTGGCCGACCCTTCTTGTGCCATTAGCAGTAGCCCTAACCTTAGTTTGCACTCAGGTATTTCGACGGCAGCAGTTGCCACCTGAACTCCTTTTAAACCTCTACCAATGTCTGGCATTCTTGGCAATGGCTTTCATGGTTATGAGACTCAAAATGTTCTTGACTCCTCACCTTTGTATACTTGCATCACTGGCAGTACCCCCTCGATTTCTTTCAAATAAATTCCCACTTCGGTCGGTCGTCGTGGCAGCTCTTGTGGGCATCATCGTTTTGCCTGGCTGGAACAGACTGGTAAGCATCCACTCGCATAAGGGCGAATATTCTAACCCAAACCTTGAAGAGCTGCTTATTTTCATTGACGATTATGCCGAACCTACAGATAGCTTTGCAGGTCCAATGCCGTTGATGGCAAACATTTTGTTGTCTACGGGTCGCCCCATCGTCAATCACCCGCATTATGAAGATTCTAGGCTTCGAGCAAAGACGGAACGAATTTATACGCTATTATCTCGCAAGACGCTACGTGAAGTGTACGACCATCTCAAGAAATTAAAGGTTTGCTATATTGTATTGAGTCGGGCGTGGTGCCATGGAAAGATGCGAACAGGGTGTGCACTCGTCGACATATGGGACGAACTCGATCCGCTGAACAAGTTTAAGCCGCAAGTGTGCGACCGACTAGCGAGCGACGACACAGAAGGACTTTTTCAAATTATTTTCCATAACGAAGAATACACAATGCTAAGACTAAAGTAAATAACTACTAGCACATATATATATGGACCGTCTCTATGCAAACACACCTGTAATGATCGGTAAAGCGCTCAACGACTTCCCAAGACTACCAGATTCCAGCCGCTGCTCTGCCAATTGCATATTTTTCTTAAAAGAACTGATAGCAGGTAGATCGAAATAACGGTATAAGACCGGGAATTTAACAGCTCGCATAAAACACATGGTGATGCAATGACCTGACATGTTACGAAAATGTGCCCCTTCTAAAGTCTGTGTTTTCACTTGTTATGATAATAAAATCACAGTATTTTTTTACCTCACACACCTGAATAATCTAATGGCGAACAGTTATACGCGCGTATTCGAAACACGAACCAGAAGTGTTGTAAAAATCGTGGAAGTCCAACACACTTTATCTTCTTGCAGCTAGTGAAATTGAAATTTTCTTGTATGTTCTCAATTCAGTACGAGTCAGTAACGGAATAACGTACGTTATTTGTATAGTTATTATATATAATTACAAATTAATAGCAAAAACGAAAAGCCAGCACTTGAGACGGAATTATGAATTACTAATTATTATCATAAACCTGTACGTTTTGCCGATAACCATTTGAAGTTGTGATATTTGGTCAACGTGGAAATTTTGTACTCAACTTAGTTTGTGTTATATATGTAATACTATGTTCATACACATAATAGTCATCAAATGCCAAATACATTGTATCATAAACGAGGTTGCTGATAAGGCGACATTTGTTAGAAAACTATCAAAGTGGGATCATTTATGTGCGCTAGGGATACGCGCGTTGGCAAAGCTATATGCACATTACTTCTCCATTAGGTAAAGACATTCTCGATTGCAGTAGTTATTTTTTGTTAGATTTTAGCAGTCGTTTCGTCTGTTCGTCAGACGTAACGACGTACTGTTTTATTTCTAAACTCTTACGGTACTTTATTGTTGCGTCGAAGTGGGGAATATAATAAGGTACGGGCTTCTTATTGTCCAGTCCGATGCTGTTTAGGTAAGATCATCTTATTTTTTTTTAGGTTGTCAGTCGCTAAAAAAAGTTTAGAGCGTAGTGGAAGTGTCCGCGGGATTTTAGTACCCTTGGAATAAAAAAACTGAAGTGCGTCTCCTTGCGTGTTGTCACTTTATCGTCAAACCCGACCTGGCGGTTTAATTCTCACCACACATGGAAAGCGAATATCAACGCGCTTCCTTTTGCCCGTGTTTGAATTACATTCCGGAATAGTTTCTATGTCACCAATCGCTATAGGAATATGTTAAGTGATTAGGGAAATTGATTGGGGCAACTTCCCCATGTAATCGCCCAACTGGCCTAAGAACAAACAGGGATTCGAACAGACTGTTTCTTAGATGATGTGGCAAGTTGGATCATCCCGTTTAAGCCAATGATTGTTCGAGTCCAACGCTCTCGTTTCGGTCCACAAAAAGGCTTGCAACATGTAGCTTGTTTGTAACACAGAGCCATCGCTACACGTTCCATCGTCATTTTTAAAAAAAAAAAGAAAAGACGAACGACAGCGTCGCCTAACGAGCCGCACCATTTATTGTAACTGAAGTGGTTACTCCACACTCAATCTTGGGTTCGCTAAAACACAACTGGAAGTTAATTTTAGTAGGATGTTTGTCTTACATTTGACTATTATGTAAACGATAGTTATGAATCTTAATTGTGGAGTCAACTGTATTCTATAAGGCTAAAGATGTGGCTCCTGTTTCAGATCGAGTCGATAGGCCGAATCGGCGAGCATTAGCTCATGTTGAAATGGTTGGATTAGCGGTATCCACCCTGCTCCGTAGTGCAGTGCTTTGTTTCTCCATCTTTTCTAGCCTCACTTCATCTGCGAGTTACTCAATTTCAATTTGAATTTTTTTCTATCAATCGCCGCCCGCAATGCTCCTTGCAGCGACGAAAAGCGTCATCATATCCAGTGCAATATTTTTTGGCACTTTATTCGGTTCCGCATTTTAGTAGTAGGTTTTAACAAAAATATTAAACGCAGTTCGACGTGTAGCTTTCCATTATAATAAAACGCACCTCTGCTGTCTTTATCGCCTTTTAGAGTGCTAGCCCCTGGTTGTTTACAAACACAGAGGAGAAGGACGAAATCCTCCGGACATCATCAGCGCACCCTATAGATTTTTCAACTGGCACTTTCTAAATACACGGATAGTCAACAAGTGTCTGTCTATTATGAAAACCTAATGTCCGTTCAGTAGTAAAAGACAGTCCCTCTTGCCTTTGAAAAACAGTTTCTAACCCAAATAGCGCATTTTATTTCATATAAAATGGCTGCTCTCTTTTGTTCCCCTTAATATCTAGTCAATTCAGTGGTGATAGATAGATAGAGATTTCAGTGGTGATAGATAGATAGAGATATATATA